ATATATATATATATATATATATATATATATATATATATATATATATATATATATATATATATATATATATCTCCAAACGTGATTTTGGTCCACAAGCCAACAAGATTATTCCTTGCGCCCATCAAGTGCATCTGAGCCGTTCAACGGATTCAGTAGTTGAGGTGGTCGGCGGTATGACGACCGCCGCCTGGCAGCGGGCATGCGTGCGTAAGCGAGCACACCTCGGATATATCTGGTTGTTCTTCCCGATCCAGCGGCGGAGTCGGCCGTCGTTGAGGAGGAGGTGAAGGAAGAAGTTAGCAGACCGGAGGAGAGCAAATCCGCCATCGTCGGAAGTCTTCTCTCGACTACTGTTCTCGCTTCCATCATGGACCAACTGATGTGTTAGAGACGACGATGGCGCGAGCTCATGGATTGAAGTGGAGGCTTCAAAGCAGAAAGACAAAAGAGGTGTGATATCATTCCAAGACATCATCAATCGCTTCAGACTTCCACAGGATTGAGGAGATGCGTTTGTATCAACACACCCTTCGTGCCATAAAATTGAACTCTCGCACTGGCCTCAATACCAGTCATTAGAAGTCAGCTTTAACAAATGACAAAGCAAGCTTAGATCATATCTATGCATCGATGCATCACACTTTGGATATTGGAGTCAGAACAAGATTTTCTCATGCATTATTATGCAACTGAGACTAATAATACATGCAGATGTGCAGAATATACACCAAGGGATCTTGCAAGCATTCAGAGTGACAGTTTAAGATCCAAGTCTAGTTCTTGCGCATCATTGGTATCAGAACTCTGACCGATCGATCCTAATCTTGGATCATGCTGATTCCTCTTCTGTGCCGAATCCTCCTGTGCAGTGGATGACAGTCATGATAAAAATGCATGCCATATATGATGGGTTCTAAAAGATTACGTAGAAGCAAAGGAAATCAAGACGACCTCAGTGTTGTGTTCGAAGAGGGACAGTGTCAAAGTTGGTGGCACATAGCAGTGGGGAGAAGAAACACTCCTCCTTTGATCTAATTGCGATCTGATGACACGAAAAGTAAATGATATCTGCTGATCGTGTAGAACTTCTTTTTCCACCCAAAATCTAATTGAACTGCATGCATTACCTCGACCAATGCTCGCCATAATGAATGATGCCTCTCTCTTCAGCATCTCCAAATCTCACCTACAACCATCGTAGCAAGAATAATCAACATGAGAGGGTTATTTCATGTGAGGATTTCTTGTCTGCGAAAACATTGTTCTTTTATTTTCTTAGTCTCTTGCTTACTTTGGCGGAAGCACATAATGAGCGAGTGCAAGCTTGACATACCATCATATTAGGACGGAGTGCAAAGGATGAAGATCCTGACCGCGACAAGGGAGATGATGATGAAGGTGCCATTTCTACTCTCGAGTGTTCCTAAGGCAATCATCATGAGAGAGTCTATTTAAATTCGTAGGAAGAGGAAGAAGAAAAAGAATAACAACAACAAAAGACAAGAAAAAAGTTGCTGATTTCCTCAAAACTCGAGCATATGCATGGATCGGAGAGAGACCATGTTGAGATTGCTGCAGAATGGGGGGTTAAGAGAAGAAACGTATTCGTCCATTTGACTTTGTAATCTGATCTCCTCCAGTTGAGCCACCCCGAGTCCTCTCTGGGGTTGCTTTGACCGCTCCTTCTTCCCCTTCCTGGAGGAACCAGTTCTTCCGCTTCCCGACCCTAATCCATTCGACTGTTTGCTTTCCATCTCTCCTTCCGATCTCCACGCCTAAACCAAACTAGTGCTGGAGAAGAAGCCCAGAAACCAGACACAGAGAGAGAGAGAGAGAGAGAGATCAACGTATAGAATACTACGAAATGACAAAGATGAATCGCCAACAGCCGTTCAAAAGGGTGCGCTGTTCCCTGAAACCAATGAATGCATTGCTGGATCAGATTTATGTGGATTTTATTCTTAATCGGTAGTGTCATCATCATCTAAAGAATGGTCAATTTAACAATATTAAAATCTAGCTTCATATATTCTTTTTCTGAAAGGCTCAGAGAAACTTACGGGCTTTTGATATGATATTAAAAGGTTTACTAATTAGCTGCTCCACAGATCATGTCATGTGGAGAGGATCGCAGCGTAGGTAGCTGCTGCCATCCTTGGATTCGTATCTGGATTTGGTATTTGGGATTTGGTTTCCACGGCCAATTGCACGTGCGCGACAAGGACCACTAGATTCCTACTTGCTCTACTCTATTCTACCATTACTGCAAGAATCTTTTGCTGCCTTGAAGCAGATCTCGTTCCTGTTTGGGTGTCTGGTCAATGTTAGATTCTTTGCTGTGTAAACCCCATTTACTTTGAAAGCACCGTAGCCTGGTTGAATTGGTGCCTTCGTGTATGCGCCAGATGGATCGAATCGAATCAAGATGTCGGTGTGCATCTGAATGATCCTCGCGAACAAAACGTGGTGGGAAGGAAGAACATGTCACATCATCATATCATCAACATGAGTCAGCAGGCAGGAGCCACGCTTGGGGGACTCCAATACCCATAGTATGTGTCTGCCAAATCTCCTCTCCCAGGAGTCGCCTTGGCCATTGCCAAACTGATCACACCATCTCGAGCAGAAGGCACTCAGGTTAGGCTCCGATGAAACACATATCTCATGTTCTTGTAGCAAAGTCCTGTGTTTTCAGGTGCACAATAATGTTTCTAGTCGATCCATGGTTCTTTGGGTGGAACATACATACAGCATGTCTTCTAGATAATGTTCATTATATATGCAGTTAAAAGGATGAGGGTAGAACAGTGAACTACATAGAATACCTCAACGTCGAAGGAGACAAGTGACAGGTTGGAAGACCAGATGTGGAGATCAAGCTTCATGTCTTTTTAGTCATAGGGAACTGGTTTGAGATTTAGTGTAAGCCATTGCGTCATCATCTCAGATATAATAAGAGAGAGAGAGAGAGAGAGAGAGAGAGAGCATCAGCAACTCATTTGAATACAATAGATCTCTGCATTCCTTCACTTGAAGGTTTGATGAGGAGTATTATAATGTGAATGTGTATGGTGTGCTCCATTATGTGCATATAATTTGGAGGGAGCTGATGAGCTAATTCTTCGCAGAATAATGGAAGAAGGCATGTCCCCTCTGAGGATGGCATCGAACAGACGACCAGCATACAGGAGAAGAAGAGTTTTTGCCTGTGATGATACGACTTCCGTGTGCTCGACGACGACTGCACTACTTTAATTGAAATCTGTTGGGCCAATCGGGCCTAATCTGACCCATCTGCGGCCCATCTATTAGATTCTTCGAGTCAAGTCGATCAAGGAAATGACTCCGACCAGATCTAATCATGATGGCTTCTGGTTTCATCTCGACCGTCCATTAAATCTTGACTCCGGGGGGCGAGGGGCTCACCTGCACCCGCCGAGGCAGGGTCCAGCCTTCTCCCCCTATTTAGATCCTGTCTGAGACTAGACAGCAAATCCGTAATTCGCTTACGATTCTTGGCACTTTTCGTCGCGTACCCGCTCGCCCACCTGCCTTGTGATCGGAGTCATCAGTGGTACTCCTCTTGGGACCCACTAGAACATGAATTTCCAAATGCAGATAGATCTTCAAATATATTTATTATCGTAATTTTTTATTAAAAAATACAAAATTGTTTTTTGTTCTCATTTTTAATCCGATTATTTGATTATTTATTTATTCTAAGATTAAATTTCATTTACCACAGCACAGATGGGCACAGAAACTGTCGGATTTAGTAATGCTCATCCTTGGATTCAGAACAAAAAGAGAAGTAGATATTGGTGTCGGATTTGAGATAGATACCGTTCCCTCGTCCGGTCAACAAAAGTAGACGAAGAAGAGGAGGAGGAGGAGGACGTTCAAGCTTCAAACTCCGAGGCCAAACTTTTCTTCTTTTTCTTTTTATTTTTCTTCTCTTTTGTGCTTTATTTAGAGCTCCATTTACTGTCACCTACGGACACTTTTCGAGCTCACCAAGCGTAGATTTTGCTGCATGTAGATGTCACCGTCTTCTTGCAATGTTTAATGGGACAAAAGAAAGCTGGTGTCATTGAATCTAGTGTGCTAATAACTACTGCTACATTCCTGTACAACTCTCGGACAACTACATTTCATCTCCTTGTCTTGCTTTCTTGCTCTGTAACCCAATGCTGTAATTAACTTTCCCCGCCCCCCTCACAGCTTTTCTTGCTCTTTTACCTTATTGTATGTTCCTGCTGGCTTCCAAGAGAAGCAAACCCATCAGTGCCTCGGCTTCTATATAGCGTCTCCCTCCTTGCTTGCTTGCTCTCTACCCGATAGGTGGCTGGAGATCAGCGGAGAGTGAGGATGAGTGCTACGAGGTTCATTAAATGTGTGACTGTCGGAGATGGGGCTGTGGGGAAGACCTGCATGCTCATCTGCTACACCAGCAACAAGTTCCCCACCGTATGCTTTAACCCCCTTTTTCCTTCATCGATTTCTTTCGATTCTTGTATGGCTTGGCAGCATTCGATTTCTTTCAAACCTGGTTCTTCTTTGTTTTAGGCGTCATGGCAGATGTCTAATGATGAATCAGTATCATTTGTAGTCGGGCTTCTGAGTTACATGTCCTGACTGAATCAACATTATTTTGGGTTATTTGTTGATTACGTGCAGGATTATATTCCTACTGTGTTTGACAACTTCAGTGCTAATGTCTCTGTGGATGGCAGCATTGTCAACTTAGGGTTGTGGGATACTGCAGGTTCTAATATCTTCGACAGCATCCCTTTCCTTTAGTTGATTTTGCCTACTAGATCTGCAATGTTTTGTTAGCTAACTCTTTTAGGTCTATAGGACAAGAAGACTATAGCAGATTGAGGCCTCTGAGTTATAGAGGAGCAGATATATTTATTCTGGCCTTCTCTCTAATTAGCAGGGCAAGCTATGAAAATGTTCTTAAGAAGGTTTGTGATTAAGTATCAGTTTCTTGTTGCATTGGCATTCATGTTATGGACATTGATTCCCTGTTAACCATCTGGATCGAAGCTCTATGTTTCTTCCTCCTTTCGGTTTGGTGCTTTTCTTGTTCTTGCATGAGAATATTGGCCCGAGAACTGACAATAATATCTTCTATTTACTTACATCTAAAAATTGTCTTATGAGATGAGAAATTAATATATTTTCAAATTTTAGGCAGGGATTTGGGCAGATAGTTTTTTTGTCATGCTTTTTCCAGAACTGGCAATAATATCTTGATTACATTATGTTTTCGTCGCATGTAAGAATGGCTACATGCTTATTTCTACTTGGTTTCAGGATTTAATTAGCGTCGTTGCTTCATTAGTTTTGAACTTTTGATTCATCCTCTCACCCTTAGAACTTGTGATCTTTGTGGTTTGTGAATCAGTGGATGCCTGAACTCCGTCGCTTTGCACCCAAAGTTCCAGTTATTCTGGTTGGAACCAAGCTAGGTGTGTGTGTTTGTGTGTGTGTGTGTGGTCATTTCGTGTTCCATCATGTTAATTAATTTATGGAATTAGCCCTTTGAAAACTTTAATCACCTTGTTATCTTGTAAATTTCAGATCTTCGCAATGACAAAGCATATCTTGCTGATCATCCAGCTGCAACTACGATAACTGCAGCACAGGTAAGCAGCTTCTGGGTTCGATTTCTTTTGTATCAGTTCTCTTACATTTGGATTTTATTTAGCTGGTTTTGAGGCTTAAGAATTGCATTCTCTTCCTTACTAGGGAGAAGGGCTCAGGAAACAGATTGGTGCTGCAGCGTATATCGAGTGTAGCTCGAAAACCCAACAGGTGTGTAGTACAAGAAGGATTCGATATCGGTATCCATTGGGTTTATCATGAATGCAATTGAAGTGAAACCTGCTAAAATGATTCATTCTTTTTTCATAAATGACAGTAATTTACTGAGAACCATTTATCTTATTGTTTGTTATCGACTGGTTAGAATGTCAAGGCTGTCTTCGATACTGCAATCAAGGTAGTTCTTCAACCTTCACGAAGGAAGGAGATGGCCAAGAAAAATAAAAGAAACTCTGGTTGTCTAATGGCGTAAGTAGCTGACTGCAAAACATTAATCCCTTCCATTATTTATGTGACGTGGTAAATTAGGATCAGCATTTTTATCTGTTCTTTGTGCCCACCTTCAAAATGAAGCTTGATTTATTTTTCTTTTTCCTTTTTTTTTTTTTTTTTTCTGTTGTTGTTGAAAGCAACATCTTTATAATTGTTAATCGATCACATGAACCAAGTTCATGTCAAAGATTTGTTTTTTATTTATTTTCTCTTGCCATCCTTGTGCTGTGACACCTCTAACTGCTGATCTTTTTGTTTTTTTGCAGGAATTTTGTGTGTGGAGGCGCATGTGTCGCCTAGAAATTAGAAAGAAACTAATCATGGTATGCTGATAGCCATGGGAGTATGCAAGTTAGCAGGAACTTGTGGTTGCTGGGTCTTCAGTTCACCAAATCTGCTGACTAATGTTTTCTATAGGTGGATTAGAACCCACCTGTGGTTCTCATGCTTTTCCCGAAGGAATCTGTTCCCTTCTCTTAATGATGCAATATGGAAGATGAATTCAATCTCTACCTCTATATCTTAAACTAATGTGACATTGAGTTGAAGTTGTTGTAAACAATTTTATTTTAGTGTGAGAATTGCAACCATGGCCTGATGATTGTCTCTAAGACCGAAACGAAGACCCAATGATTATTCTGCAGCTGCTCATTTATCATCCTGTAAATAATTATTGCATGCAGCTGGACAAATTATAGGGGAAAATAAAAAGCTTTGCCCAATCATAACAGTACTTCATCAGTACTTCACACTTCCTAAACTAAGATGTGCCAATGAAGGCTGCAGATGAGAGAACTTACTGAACCAAACTCATGATGGGCCATTTGGTTGTAAGTCCTTATCATTGGTGTCTAGGAAAGTGCCTGCAAACAGGCACAAGCATGGATGAGTTCTCTTGGCTGGAAGTGAGAAAAGTTGGCAGTGAAAGAAGAAACAAGTCCTCTATTTTGTTGCTCTCTAAATGGACAGAAGAGATGGACAAAGACATTTTTTTCTCAGATTAAGCCTTTAGTGAGAACAAGTCCTTGCAGGTGCAGAGAGCTAGTGCCATCAGGATGGATGTACATGAAGCTGCAAAGCTCAATCCAAAAGATTGATATCTATGAAATCTTGACATCAATGTTCTCTAAAAGTTTTGTTCATCAACGAAGAGTGGGCAAGACTGCAACTACTAGTCAAAAAATTGACATGCTGTGTCTGACTGAACCACATGAAAGTTATGCTGCATCTTATGCTTCCAATAATTTACCATAAAACAGTGTTCAGCTCTTGTATTAAGACAACTGAAAGAAGCCAGGCACATGACATCATTTGGTCCTTCCATTAGTAGAATCAATCACCACAGAAAGCTGAGCCAAAGTAGGCTCAAAAGGACAGTAACAGACTAAATTCTTCTAAGTCACTTTATTATTAGGATTTAACATCACAGGGAGACATTAGCACATCAAGATGGTCATACATACCAACTCAACTATATACTATTTCACTGACAGTCAGGGGACCTAAATGCTTATGTCTTTACATTATTCCACAGCTTGGATAAGCTCTTTGAGGAAGCTAACAATTAACAGTATACTGGCCCAGACTTGCAACGACTGAAGATTTTCCATCATCATCACCTGTGCTTTTGTAGCTGAAGGTAGATGGAAGCAAACCAAATTCTAGTGTGTATATATAACAACATTCATACAAGGATTGGCTACCAGGATAATTCCCGCAGATAAAGCTAAACTTGAAATGCAAAGCATCTCTTCTGCTACTCAAGGTCCCTTCAGAACTGGAAGCTTCATCGTCTGCCACTTCTTCCCATCATGATGAGTTTGATACCATGGATTTTTGTGGGGGAACGGACATTTAGAGCTTACATCTTCAAACCCTCGCATGTAGATGTTGTCTTCATCAGGTATGCTGAAGTCAGCAGGGTTTCTGTTGACAATGCAGTTTGTAGTTGTGCAATCATGTCTAACAGATTGGATGAGCTCATTGTTTTTGCTGACCCGAACCTGCCTCATCTCAAACTTATGTACAGGAGAATCACCAGCTTTTACTATCGTTTTGGTACTTGCAGTCACAGAGAGTTGGCTACTGTGATCACCATATTCAGTATGGTTAGCTGAAGAAGAGGCATCTGTTCTCCCTATTCCTTCAGTGAAGAAAGATGGAAGTTCGCCAGACCATCTAGCTCCACAACCCAGTGGTGCCACACACTTGTTTGAACGAGTCATGATTTCCTTTTGCAGCAAAGACCCAAGAACACCTACTCTAGGAACTGGGCGGTGAGGTCTGCTGAAATTTCCCTCATTTTGATTATGAGCAGAGTACCCAGTTGCAACTGAATTTTGATGGGCTTCTCTAATTTTGACCCCATTTTTCACACCAGGCACCTGAGTGGATTGATTAGTAAAATTTAAGTTGGAATTTTGGGCAATTCCGACACGGTTTATATCCCATGATGTACCTGTCAGAGCTGCCTGATCAACTAGCCTAAGCAAATGTAATGCTGATATCATATCATTGTTAGACAAATCCATTGGCCCTGTTCCTCCTGAATGGCACCTGTTTCCTCCTCCCACAGTGCAAGATGTGGTTGGTTGAGTTGTCCTGTTTGTGGATTGCTCAGATTTTCCTCCCGCATTCAGTATATGGGAACCAGTTAGCATCACTGGTTCCTGATAATCAGTTGTTTTAACAACTGTGTTCTGATTTCTATCAAAAACTGAATCATAAGGTACCATTTTTCCATAATTGCAATGAGCATGGTTGTTCCCAGAACTGATTCCATATTTTCTACCTTTTACTGGTGCTGACAACATGTCATGGGTACCTGCAGCTGAACTCTGAGCTGAAACTCCATCTTTTTGATATGATCCGAAATCTTGCATCCTGATTCTGCCACAAGAACTTGGAAGAGAATGGGTTTTCCTAGGATCAACAACAGGAATGTGAGTTGTACTGGATTGGTGCCCATCATATGCTGGAATTGCCGGAAACTCTGTAGCTTGTTGGTTCAGATCAATGAGGATATGCTTCTGATATTTAGCACAATTGTAGGCTTCTGTACCATGGTCAGCATTCTGTTTACCACAGGAGGCAGTGGGAACATCATGTACTGTATCATTGACCAGGGCATTGCTCTTATACAGGGCATTTGTATCCTTGCTTCCACAATATTCAGATACACATGAAATATTTCCAGACCTTATCTCACCATTTATAATTGACAACTCATGATGCTTTTTGCTAGCAATCTCAGCATTCGTCAGACTTCTTTCATGCTGGTTTCTAGCTAAGAGTTCGACAATATCCATTGGAATGTCATCTAGAGCTTCTTTTTCATGCATCTTTGTGGTCCTTCGTTTCTTTACCACTCCTTTCTTCATTTGTGAAGAAGCATGTACATGTGAGACAGAAACATAAGTTCATTTATCAAACATAATACTATTTATTTTTCTAAAAGGAATACTCTACCACTATGAGCCATAAACACATGCTGTTGAAAATTTGCATTTTCTTGTAGCCAGGACAATATAAGAATATAAAATTATCAGCACTGCACAAGGAAAAAACACATCTGTTGATCCCATATCTAAAATTTTACTTTCCTATCCTAGGTGCCATTATGATCCAAGGAAGTCAGAACACACTCAGAAGTTAATTTAACAATTAAAAGCTCTTACACAGCAATATTTTATCAAGTGTGGCTCGGCCGATTCGACATTCACATTAAAGATTTTATTATAACAGATTTCCAGCTGCTTTTGAACTATATGACAGCTTGAACATAAGCTTGAATATAAGGATGCTGATCAGTGTGACACTAAACTAAAATCTTAAACAGTGAATGCTGAGAAATCGAAAATCAAGAATAAAATTAAAAGTAAAATGAGATGTATGATTGCTAGACATACCCTTGACCAGTTTATCTGCAAAGAATTTCTGTCCTCAACTTGTGATGCCTTTTTCTTCCTTCTATTAAAGTTGGCTTTTTTATCACAACTCCTAACTAGTTTCCCAGGTGCAGAAATCATGTTTCTCATTTTAGGATAAACATTGTCAGGACAAACATGTTTCATCATTGCTATTTTAGAAATTAAATTTTCCTTTTGTGATATGAGGCAACGGCCACTTGGTTTAACTTGAGGCACCTTATTTTCCTTTTCAACACTATAACATTTTTTCTGTTTACTTACTCCAGAACGTTTAGGAAGAGGATTTGCATCCTTCTCATTATGTGTACTAGGAGATATACCAACTTTCTCCATGTACATGATTTCAGCAGATCCTTTTGCACCAAGGGCCTTCTTGTTTTGAAAGTCATCAGTGACAAATTTCTTAGAAACCTTCTTTAGCCAATGAAGTAGAGTAACCTCCTCATCTTTGCTCTGATCAGCTTCTGCACCATTAACAGGATTGGCAGTTGTCACTTCAGAGTTCCGGCTAGCAAGATTGCTTTTGCAATTTCTGGTTTGAGCTTCAAAGTTTGTTCCAACTGAACATCGGTCATCACTGTTCATCATTTCACATGTTTCTGCATCTCCTTTGAAAGCACAAACTTTTTTAGGTACATGTAACTCTTCACTTTTCAGAATATCCTCCAGCAACCGTAGCTTACGAGCCTTTTTGTGGTTCACTTTTTCATGTGAACTGCTCAACAGACTGTTCTGATTTTGGCTACAATTCACACCATCAGATAAATCTAGAGTACCATATGATGCTTCATTGTTGCTCTGATCTAAGCCTGTAAAATCATAATTGGTGACATTAGCTGCAGTTGCAGTTAGTGCATCATCTCTTAGAATGCCAAGATCAACACCAACCAGATTCCTACATTCTTTGGGCATGCCATCAGGTATTACATATATTTTGCCTTTGGCAGCAATCCCATCAACATTATCTTTGTTTCCATATGTTGCAGGATTGGTGCCTCCGAAAATCAGTACTCTATCAGATACTCCATTGGTTGAATGTCTATTTGGTTTGACAGAAACCAGGGGAGAAACATCATCACAAAGATGAATAGTATCAAATTTGTTTTGAGTAACCATAATGTTTCTTGTCTGGGTTTCTCTTGCTTCTAATTCCACACCTTCAGCCACAGCCAACGCAGGTTTGAATGTCTGATCTTGATTCTCTTCAGATCTAAATTTCTCACATATAAATATTTGTGTACCTGTCAAAAGAAGGAAATGATTATGAAGATTCATGATGATAAAGATAGAGAAACAGCCCAGGTACCTTCTCTGGCTGCATCTTCTGTTGTAGATCCAGTCTCTTTCTTGCCACAATATAGTGCTGTGCTAGGTTTGACATGACTAACATTGTTACAAGAATTTGAGACTAGCCTCTCCCCATGTACGATGTTTTCACATTCTTTAGAATGAAAACATAACCTTTTTGTATCATCATTTAAAAGAATTTTTTTTATATTTATATCTTTGTGTTGTACATTTGTAGAGTCTGCATTTCCTGTTGCATCTGCAGAAGCGTTAATCATATGAATACAGTTCAGGCAACTCCATCGTTTGAACTTAGAAACATGCAGGGGTGGCAGCATGTTGGCGAGTATATCTGAACTTTCATTGTCGGGCATAAATAATGGCCAACAAATCCTTGCATCCCTCTTCCGAACACCAGCAACGTAACCACTGTTAACAAGGAGAAATCTCAATTATGATTTACTAAAGCAAGTAATACAAGGGTAACTGTTATCAACAAGTTCATTTATGTTGTATTCAGTATGTAAATATTATGTTTTATATAAAAGTAAAGTAGGACATGTTACCAAACCATAGTTACAAGTTACAACAATTAGCAGAACCTAATTGTTGGGCCACAGAGAGAAGCAGCAATTCAGCATTCCATCCTGAATGTCAAGTTTCAAAAAAGTCCTACATGTTTAATCTTAAGAAATCCTCTTCAACGGTAAGAACCAGGTAAATAGACATCTGGGATTACCGAATTGTAAAATGGTTGCACTCATCTGCATCATTCTTGCCATCAGCCAAACGAACACATTCTTTTCCTTTGGTATTGAGCTCCTTTACATCTACTTCCATAGCTTAATAAAATGAGAGCAATCATATGCAGCAGATCGTGTATGTCTTTGCCGGGTATGCTTCGTCTTGCTGTATGATAACAGAATCCCGAACAGCATTATTATTTTATCAAACTTATTTAGACTCAAATGCTACAGACAACTTCAAGCACTGCCAAGAAATCAAACTTATTTAGACTCAAGTGCATTGGAAGCCATAGCTGGTCAAAAAACAATTTCTTTTTCAAAAGTATCAGTATAACAGTTTACACAAGACAAACTGCAAGAACAAAGTTAGTGTTAGGATCTACACAGAGAATGATACACTTGTCCAAGAAACAAAAATGATCAGGGCATCACAACAATTAATGTGATTTAGTCAACTTAATAACCATCAATATTTATCGAAGGAGCGGAACAATATCAACAACAAATATAACCAATCATGTAAGAGTAACCATAATCATTTTGCTTCACACATTTTTGCAAGAACACAACTTCTTAGATATAGAAAAAGAGAAGCGTGACATTTGGTAAGTGAAAGAACTTCCTTCAAGAACTTAGATGGACCACGGCTGCACTTGGTTCATCACAATGAAACAACATGGGAAAGACCTTGTTCTTACAGACGAACATATTCCCCAACATGAAACTGAAAAAGAAACAAGAAGCGGGCATCGCTGAATACAACTTAAACCGATACCAGTAGTAGTCCCCATGAATACAAAATAAAGAATAAAGCACAAGACAGTGACCGATAAAAGAGGACCTTTGCAAATTCGTAGCACAATGAGACTTTAACTCAAGCACATAACATGCACTTACACTAGGGAAAAGATGACCCGCAATGGTTTTCGGTTACCAGGGACAGAACAAATTTGCAGCATGAAATATAAGAAAAACAATCTTCCGGTGCTCCACCAGTGGTGAGAATCAAGTTCAGTCATCAATCAACCTCCAACCGTTCGAAACTAATCATAAAATAACGCATCAAAATGAGACAATGGTATATCGCAATTGTCCTAGGGAAAATAATGGCGTTTCCGCGAGAAAACTTGAACAAACAAAGCTTTTCTCCAACTTCCCATCGTTTGCAAAACCATAAATTAAGCTAACAGATGGGCTCGTCAAGTCAACCAAAACCACAAGATCATTGCATGAAAACACACGAGCAGAAGTTGCAGAGGACATGCTCAACATGAATCAACACTTGCCACATAAAATAACAAAAGTGGAAAGAAATACACCCCATAACGCACATCATCCGAGCCATATTTTGCCGGTTACCCACTTCCGCAAAGGAGTAAACAGGCCACCAGATCACAAGTCTAAGGCCCAGTCACAAACCTCAGTCCACAACAGAAAGGAAGCTCCTTTTTCCATTCAACTTCTGGACTACATCCCTAACCGTACCACACGCGGTAGATGCATCGAAGAACAAACCCCACCAATTCCAGACCAAATTCTCGAGCGATAAACAGATAAAAATCCGACCTTGGACCCAAAACTCTTTCCACCGAGGTAAAGAACGAGTACCTCCTCCGAGGAACCGGGAAAAGGAATCGTCTTGCTGCTTCTACCGCGATTCACCGCTGGATCGCGAGCCAAATCCCGGTCCCGATCGGGGCGAGCGAGGCGAGAGAGATCAGCAAGGGATCGATCGGAAGGCAAAAAGGGTTTCGGGAAACCCCAACTTTATCCTAGGGTTTTGCTTGTGGGAGAGGGAATCTACGGGCACCAAAAGCAAAAGATAGAATACCCGCTTCCATCGAACATAAATAAGCAGTAAACGGAGGCACATGTGGTGTGACATGTCATTCCGCAACCATCACACACACACATGCTCGCTCGCTTGTGTGTAAGAGAAGATCCCGCAACAAAACCCTAACCCTAACCCTAGTTCCCAACCCGGGTTGAAACCCTAACCTGAGCTGCCACTGTTGCCAGAAAAGGGACAAGGAAGACGATCGCGGCCGTCCATGGGGCAATGGTTGCAGAGATGCTCGCTCCACGAGAGGGGGAGGTTGGTGTTGCTTTCTCGGTGCCTTCCCTCTGGTAGGGGTCCAGCTAAAAAGTTGTGGCCTTTGGCGAGTGTGGGTGATGCAGCAGCTATGTGCTTGTTTTTGGTGCAAGAATCCAAAGAGTTCTCTTAGGGTTTCTGATCTCTTCCATTCTCACTGTGTTTACTGTGACCGCGACAACAACAAGGAAGGCTGAAAGATGATCCGATAGGAGATTTACTTCATACACATGTCTATGCAAAGATCTTCGCATTTGGATATTTGTTTGCGCATTAGATTAGGGAGGAAACAGTACCGAATGGCCCACTTCGATGCAGTTTTTTTAGCTCAAGGAATTAATTGGCTCCACACCATCACATCATTACCAAACCTTACGATCATAATGGATGCCTTCTAAAAGTCGCAAGACTTAACCCCTTGATCGGTAAAGTAATCTTCTTTCTCCTGCTCGCACTAAGAATCATGAATGGCGACAATAAGTACTTCACATTCACCTTATGCAGACAGATCTTTGTTGCTTGTGTCATCACCGATAACAACACATTGAACAGTAATATATATATATATATATATAGAGAGAGAGAGAGAGAGAGACTCCGATTGATGAATGAGAAAACTGTTTATGACCCTAATATGCCTTCTAACACTGATTGATGAATGGAAGGGAGACAGCTACCTTCCTGGGGAGAAGAACAGTGGACGCAGCTGCCTGTTTCTTCTGGTCATCTACAATGGTGTACTGTTTGTTCTCTTGTGGAGCTGCTGCCTTTACTGTGAAGGCGTGTGCAGGGAGGGAAAGCTTGACAACAGATGCAATTCTTCCCGTAATTTCCACTGTACATGGCTATTCCTCCTTCTCTCTATCTCTCTGTTCATCCAAGTGAGTCAAAGGTCGTTTCGGTGATGAGCATATGATCAGTGGTCATCCCCATGATTGCTTGGGTCGAATACTTGGGTAAATACCATTCCGTCATAAGGATACATCAAGAAAAAGGGAAAAGAAGAAGCACTAGAGGAGACATCTTCTCCGGTTTGGTGTTGGAGCAGGATGTGTACTGTACGAGGGTCAGAGGCTACCATTTCTATTTAGCTGGTGCTGAAGGAAGTCATCGTCTTGCTCGCTCGTACAAAGCATTTATTCTGAGTGCTCGTACTTTTCATAGCAATGTAGAGGATGAAGAAATAAACCTCATAGACATCGTATTTTTTGCTTCGAAGTTGCTGCGTTGACTTGGGGGGCGATGGAGTCAGTCAGTGGTTGAGCCACTCCCTCTCTCTCTCTTAGCCAGAAGACAAGCAGACAACCGTAGGAATTGATACGAGAAGAACTGGAATTCCTCTTTCAACTCTCAAAGAGACCTCACGAATGCTCAACTCAGCCGACTGGGAGAGGACAGGACGAAGAGATCAGCCCACAGTTGATGGAGAGGTAATATACACATACTTCATCCACACCAAATGATCGTTTATCATCAACTTGGTGGTAAGCCATTTTGGGTTAGTGATCCGATTATATTAAATTAATGAGTTAGTTATTTAATCGGCTTAGTCACCATGAAAGGTATCAAAAACAGATATATTAATATTATACTTAAATGAGAAGTTCCAATAAAAAAGAAATACTCGATGACAATGAATTATATCGTGATCTAATGGTTTAAATTTATCGAGTTAATAAACCGATTATTTCTTCGAATGAATGAGATAGTGAGATTTTCTTTTCTATGGTAAACAAGACCAAAAAAAAAAAAAGTATGGGAAGATGAAAGTTACAGGAGCATTTGAGAAACCTTTTAGTAAAAAGCTAAATTGGTGGAAATTGACTATGTGAAGACCTAATGTCTAGATAGAGAAAATGATGTTTGGACCACCTAGGTTGAATGACCGACCATCCAAGTCAAATCTTTGACTGCAAAGTGGGTCTCATATCAATATCATTCCTTGAACATGCAAAATACATCTGAAAGGGCAAAAAGATATACTGCATTTCACTTGATAATAATCACAAGGAACAACAGAGTCCAAAGAACAGTACTATCATTTACAGAAGCTACTAAGATCTTAGAAATTTTACCATCTTAATTCTGACCTGATTCCATGAAAAAAAAATTATGCTCTATGGTGCTTTCTGTAGCTGCCAAGAGAACAATTGTAACTTGTTCATCAACATCAGCTTTTGCAATGGACAAGTCATATCAAAGCAAATCCTTGAAATAGGTCTGTGGGGTTCTGAAACCCCCCCCAAAGAACATAACAAACAGCTGAGTGCCAAATAGCAACAGTATCATCAGCATACAGTACTGCTGCTAAACCATTTACAGAAAAGAGTTGGTACATGGATAGCATTCTTCCCGCAACATCACATTACATGTTATACATCCACCATAAGTTTCACCACATAGTTCCCTCTCAATTGACATTCAGCGGAGCGGACTCCTGTGTATACACTATTATCTCACAAATATTAAAATCTTACAACAATTTGCATCATTCGGTAGCATGTAATTTAACATTGCCATTTCTGAGGTGCTAAGATCTGACTTTTCACCATCTATTCATCCAGTTACTAACTGCTGGAACGTCAACAATGCACTGGATTAATAGCCACTGTCCAACTGAAAATAGTTAGGCACCCTGAAATAGAAGGATTTTAATCTCTGATTACTGTAGTCTTGTTGAACCTGTAGTCGCCATAGATTTCTTATGCTTCAACTTGGTGCAGTCGGATTCAGTGACCACGCCCACCACAATATGCACAACTCTCACTTGTGTCGGTGACAGCATCACCGTTCATTGGGTCATCGAGTGCTGCCAAAACTGAAACAATAAGTTGTTATGTCCCAAGAACAGGCTGTTGTTGTTGTTGTTGTAGTTGCTTCTTGTAATAGGTGCTTCGAGTCAAAAAGAGTTGTCTCTGTTTGGTTCTTGTTTATGAATGTTGTTGTTGTTGTTGTTCCTGTTTTACCACACCACTCCTTTTGACAAAATGATGAATATAATTCTCAATTTCAGCAGGCATATCATATTAACCACATGATTAACGTCAGGAAAATCAAGGCCCTTGGAAGTAACATCAGTGGCAATCAAAACATCCCTCTCACCAGATTTAAAAGGATGCAATGTTGTGCTCTCTTTCTTCCTGGTCTTTGAGAACATGAATGACAACAACTTCAATTCCCACAAGAAGAAGATACTCATTGAATGTCATCCATGCTGTCTTTCTTGTGTTGGAAAATCGCAGAGAGCATCACATGCACAACGAAAAATAAAAACAAAAACTGATTTCCCAAAACAATCTTATCTAATCGTCGTGTAAAGATTGGGAGCAAAAAAACTTAAAGTGACAAAAACTTGGTAACTGCATAAACTGGTTGAGACGTTCTCACTTAGGGGAGATTGTATATCCCCTAATCTGCAGATCCCAGTCCATGGATGAAGGAGCTCTCGCAAACTCCTCTCTAGCAGTGATCCACACAGCGGATACAACGACAATGCACCAAAGAGGATGCAGTCAACTGGAGGAAGGGGCAGGGAGGAGATGAAGGAGGTGGCGGCAATAGAGGTCTAGCCTATGACTCTTTAAGCCCCAACCCCTATATATAGAGAGCTCTCTTAACTTACCCTAATGGATCATTCCTTTTGAGTATTGAATCTTTATCTAATAACCTATGACATAATGGATATTGAATCTTCATCCAACAATCACTCTAAGTCTTATTAGGTCTCACCCAATAGATCCAATAAAACAGGGGCTTATTGGATATCTCATATTCAATCCTCTATTCGTCGCATTGTTCATCATATATGTGTAACCCTCTAGGCCCAATATCAAGCTGGTCGTGAGCTGCATTTGTTAGAACTCCTTATAACTCAGTGATCACTCAACTCATCGATTATAGACGTACTAGGCCACTACGTCATAGTTCTCAAACGATACAAGGGGATCTAATCCATTGGACTTGTTTGTCTTCAGTTACCGTGTATCTATAGTCCCTCATTCATCTAATATCTCATAGATCATATATCGGGCATGGTACCGTCAGGCTCATACGATATTCATTCGGGTCTCACTCTAATCCGAGTCTCACGCTTATCGAATTCATCCCTTTATTGACATTTAATTGTCTTCGTAAGGTGGACTATCACTCCCGACGACCGACTGTGCTAGATCTAAAACTTCCAGATCTACAAGTCCGGTATCAAAGAATGAAGTACTCAAACAAGACATCCTTGGTGTCTCAAGTCTAATGACCAGCTACACAATTGAGACCATGAAATCGCTGTCTGACGATGAGGTATCATTAACCGACCAGCATTCCATAAGCGAATCATTTAGTGAACTCATTCTCCAATAAGCACTTGCATTATATCCCTAGTATCCCCACACAAGCAGCCATGAAACTAGTTGCCTCCATCATATAGATGGGTATATAACACAGTGGTCTATTCAGTTATCTCAATGTCCCTCTCGAGTAACATATGATCGGGCATATTTATGGTTTGTGTTTATAGGCGAATTGATCTCATTATCATAGTCTCTTTATCATGATCTCATCATAATCCAACTCTCATTGCACAGATCTAGGGACATCACAATATATTCATCATCCAATATAAAGTGATAGAATATCATAATAATAATAACCAAAAATATTATGCAACATATCACACGTGTCATCACTCGCGTGATTGGCCTGCAAGACAACTGTAACTAGTATCTTGGAGGTGTCTTTTTGAGGCATTCAATTTTTTCCTTTTGTTTCGCGTACTCAACCTCTTGAATGACATTAAAGTTCGCTGCTCCAGTTCTTCCCACATTAATTGTTATGGGTTTCATTAGAGCACTTTTTTGTAAAGTTTTGTATCTCTTTTTGGGCATGGCAGCATTAAAGAGTAAGTCATGTATGACATCCTCAAAGCCCAAGTCTACCAGCCTATCAGCCACTTCAAATGGCAACTACGTGTACCGAAAAATATGTGAGAAAGATCATATAGGTGAAATGAAAGATGGGTCAGCCTTCCTGTCCCTCATTTAAGAAAAAAAAGGGAGTTCAGATAAGTCATAGAATCAAACCGAAAGAACAACTTTGAATACTATTCTTTTGAGAGCAAAGCTCATGTTCTTTCATGCTCAAGGTCCTAAGAAAATAACAAACAAAATTTCTCAGAAAAGATAGCCACTTCTTTGAAATCTTAGAAAAGCAAACTCAGTTGGAAGGTCTTCTGTCCTGCATGGAACTCAAAGATCATTTATACATCACGAGCATGAAACAAATACAAAGAAACAGCAAAAGCTTTCTGAACTCCACCTTGAAAGAAAGAATCACTAAATAGGATCCTACTTTTGCAAGAGAACAACATTCAATAAAAACAAAAGGGACATGGGTGTGCATTCTTTGTTCATATGCATTCGCCTATATCTTGCCCGTAATAGGTCGGACGAATTCCCAGGTATAAAGCTGCACCGATCATGTGTTGACCTTACACGTCTCTACATGAAAGAATATTCAGCCAAAATCCATCTGGAACTTTGACTTCATACAATGTCTCATCCTGGTCGGACCTAAAAATTTCTTGAAACTCTAGAAGATTGAGGCACCTCTTTTTTTGAATGTCAGTGTAAAGTTTGTTTTTAGTGGAGAGAAAGAAGTCGGTAAATGCAAGAAGTACTAAATGATGGTTAGAGGTGCATGAGGCATTTTCATGGTAGAACTTAGGACTCATGATGATCTTCCTACTGCCTTTTAACCGAAAAGGGACTGATTTCGATACCTCCAGATTATACAATGATTCGAATTCATAAGAGAAGCAAAGAATGTTTCTAGCTATTTCATGCCCTATGGGGCATGAAAAAGAATGGCTAAATGTGAATCTTTGTGATGATGCATTGCCTGAAATCATCAAATTAACAAAATCTTTTTGCTACCGTACCTGCAATTGTCGATTTTCATGACCTCGTCCTGCATCACCACAGTTTCCCGAGCCCGTGAATCGCCGGCAGTCCCTGCAGATGGATCGGGGTCGGCTGGACAATCCCCTTTTCTTTCAACTTCTTGGGGATGGCCTCAGGGAGGCAAATGTCGCCAAGGTTCTTGAAGTTCTTGATGGGGGGGTGGCACGCCTGGTAGCGGACGGCGTCGGCGTGGCGGGAGGGCATGCTGCGGCTTCCACCCTGTGGGTATATGGGGCAGCTGTAGGTGATGACCTTGGCGAGCTCCGTCCTACGGTCGGAGAGGCGCTCGACGGGGCTGATCTCCGGGGAGTCGCGCTTCATCTGGGAGTCCTTGACTAGGTGGCTCGTGTTGGGGTCAGCGGCGTTGTCGTCGTCCGTTTCACGCCTGCGGAGGCCGGGCGGCCATTGCGTAGCAAGATCTTCTGGGCATCCATAGCTCCGAGGAGGCGGCGGGAGGAGGCTTCGGAGGACGGCGTGCTATAGAAGTATCCCTGTTTAGCAGGATGTTACATGGACCCGTTAACTAAAACCCGATCCGAAACCGATGTAGATCCTTGTTGCGGATCCATCAACCAAATAGAGGATGAACACATAATTAAGATCCAATAACATGGTACAAATTCTAATGGATCCGACCCGATAAACTGTGTATTATATTTGCTTTCATTTAAGCCATTCTACTAACAATTTGTTCACCTTTCTACAGATCATCAAATGTACAAATTCAAATGTGCCTTTTTCTTCCTCAATAGCTGCTCAAATTCTTGTTCTTGTTTGTTCATCATATCCTTTTCATTCCACCAAATGATAATTGAATCCTGCAACAGCATCATGTCCATTTTATATGATAAAGCAAATGAATAGACTTCTTGTCATGTCTTTTTTCAAGCTTCCAATTGGAAAATAAAATGCAATATGAAATTGATGTTGTATTTAAATCTCAAATCACTTGCAGCATGTATACTTGTCATCACACTTCTGCATGTTTTGGATTTTATTTCCAGCATCATTGTCTCTCTTATTTTTAATTGCAAGTGCAGGCACTAACCATACAAGCAAACATGATGTATCAATTATGAATACTAGGTAAAATTATTAGCTTTGCTTTATGAGGAAGTAACCATACTTATAATTATTAGATCAGTCACTCTCAACCTCATAAAATTAATAGCTTTAACATATGAGAAAGAAACCACCAAAATTGGATTCAGGCACATGAAAATATATGGCCAAACTTGTTTCAGATCATGCAGGCCACAAAAACAAGTTGCTAAACAACTACCAATCTCAAGGAAAGACAAGAAAAACTTGCTGATTTGTGAACAACTACTCATTAGAGCAGCAACTTTTCTCCTAAAGAAGGAGAAGAAGTCCTTTGGTCAACTTTGATGTGGTCATTTTATCTTTACAAAGATCACTGGGTGTTGGAAGCTTTGATGAAGAAAGAGTCGTTGGTATTAGTAGATATTCATTTGATCAACAGCCATTCAACCCACCAAATGTAATTTTCCAAGTCAAGTTCTTAGTGTTACTTCTTGCAGATTCATTGCTTTCTCTTTCTAACATGAGACTTGGAGGATCTACAGTGTATTCCATTGGAAACCCTAATTTCTTTATTGGAAAACAACATCCTGAGTTTTGGAGCATTAATCTCTTAACAAAGAGTTTTTCTCCTTTTAGTTTCTCCTTGGATGTTAATCTCTTTCTTATATTTCTCACAATAATTAGAGAAAGACCAAAGAAAAAGGAAGAAGAGGACAAAAGGAGGAGACTTGTGGGAAACCCTGATCCACAAAAAAACAGTGGAACAGAAGGGACATGGCTTAGGCCACCATGTGATCCAACCATTTGCCATACCTACCATTCCACAACTACTCAGACCACAACTTTTGTCTGACACACTGTCTTGCTTGGTTGGAAAAATGACCAGGTTTTATTTCAGCCTATGTTTTAAATGCTCTAATCCTCATCCAAGATGAAAGCTATTCAGTTGTTTATCAAATACATGTGTTGTTTCTCTCTCTGATGTTCTACCTAATGATCCTCCACTTGCTTCAGAAGAATCCAAAATATTGCACTCAATGTTACTGGTGCAAGACTTAACAATTCTTTTACCAGTTGTTGCAAAAAACAATTGAAGGCAAAAACATTCCAGCTATATTTTCAACAAAAACATAAATTTGTGAGGAATAGTGGTCACCAGCCTAGACTCTGAGATAGTCTGCTAACATGAGTTATTTATGTACAGACTTCTATGTTTTACTGATCAGTCATAAGTATCCTGACAATTATTATTACTCATAGCAGATGGAGTGACTAGATGTCAACTATACATATCAAAAGATGATGGTGGTCAATTTTCGATAAGGCATGAAATGATCAATAATTAACCCATATATTCATATATTTTATTTTATTTTATTGTAATAGAAGTTCCATGGGTTTTTTAGTCAAGGATTACTTGGTGGCAAACTCATTCGAGGCATTGTTATCAAGGGGATAAAACCAAAGAAGCATATAGAGAGAGATAGATTTCATGGATGCGATGCGTTTTCATTAAGGGTTTGCAACTAAAGTAGGTAACATTTAGTGATTCACCTAATGCATGTCACTGGCTGGTCAGCACTACAAGTTATAACACCAAGATAAAAGTAACCTAAATGACTCATATGACTGCAAATGCCTTGTTTTTATCGACAGGATCCATCCAAGTGATTCCAACTACTATAACATGTAAAAGAAATAGAATCATTAAGCTCAAATGTTCAATGATGCTCTCTGTACATCTTCTCTGTTTTCTAGTTTCACAGGGGAGTACAGCAGCAAACATGGCTTCAACACTAACCCTGACATGGAAAAGGACTAGACTAGTAAAACCATTTGCTGTTAATCATTGTTTCAAAGCAATCCTGATGTGATTAACAGAAGCCCTGAAAGCATGACTGCTCATCATTCTTTCAGTGTACAGCTGACTCCAGTGGACACAGCATAACTGCTCCAGTGGAAGACAATTTCATAATGTTTATTAGTAAGTGACTCGATAGTAGCTTTCTCAAGATAACAAGCTGGCTGAAGGGACTGATTAATAGGTGATGCATTTGCACTGGCTGAAGGGACACAGCATAAATGCTGATGAGGGGTGCTGCATTTGCATCAACTCTACACTTAATTACCTTCACCGAACAGGAAGACATCCCTGTCTCAAGTAGGCTTTCTGTTCTTGTGCAGGTGGATCAGACATTATCTGAAATACTGCTGTGAATCAGATGAATTTCTATTCAAATATCCAAACAACCAGTCAAGCTCATGACTCCCTTAATCCTTAGAACAATTCTCTTAACAGTCCATCCTACTGACGAATCTAGGAAAACTTGTCTCCAGGAATTCATGCTTCCTTACGGCCGCTTTACATTGCCACCACGTAAAGCTCGGCCACCAGACATTCTAGTCAGCATGCCAGCTTTGACTCAATAGATTTTGATTTGTAATATCAAAAATTCATCCAACTGGTTAATACGAAAAATTATTCACAAAAATGGAAGAGCAAAGATGGTTGTCAAAAGCCCTCAGCTTTGGTAAGAATGTTCAAGAACTTGGACTCTCCAAATGGGCATTAAGAAGAATTGATAAAAAAGAATAACACAAGCCAATGAAATCTTAGAGAAATGGGAGTTTTCTCATCAAAGAGAAAACTATCATACATAACTGTCATTCAAATGCTCATTCCTATGACACAACTATCATACATAACTCTCCAAATGCTCATTCCTATGACACAACTATCATACATAACTGTCATTCAATCCTAACAGTCCACCTCAATTACACCTTTTTATGTCAGACCTTCCTTTGTTTTGTACCATTTATTCCTCATTCTATGGTTCAACAACCTCCCTCTTCAACTTTCCCTATTAACACCATTCACTATCTCACATTCTCCTCCAACTTCATTCCAGACTTTGAATGCTTTAGAATGCATCAAAGCAGCATGAACAACAACAATACTCCAGTGAAAGACTTCTTTGCATCCCCAGCTCTCTCCCTCTCTCTGGTAAGTATTATATCCTTTGCTTTTAGGGATAGAAATTTATGACAAACATGCATTTAGATTTTTTCCTATTAATTTGTGTCGTCGTTTCCCGAAATTACATTAGGCAGGTGTGTTCAGGAATAATGCAGCAGCAGTTGTGGATGTGGAAGAAGGGGATGAGGCGAGTAAAGGAGGCTGTCAAAGGGAGCAGGCAGAGATCAGTGGAGAGAACTCCGGGCCAGCAGGTCGGTCAGACGAAGACAGGGAGTCCAATGAATCACAGGAAGAGAATAGAGAGGTTGGAAACAACAGGAAGAGAAAGAAGTACCATAGGCACACAGCTGAACAGATCAGAGAAATGGAAGCGTGAGTTGGTTTGGTCATATTGTTTTTATTTCAGACATGCTACCAGCACTAATGCATTACTTAGATGCCCGAGTCATATTGAGATACCGCTTTTTATATGTTTAAAATGACATATTATGAATTTTAAAGATGTCATTCTGAATCATGTAAGATTGGCCATTTATTTTCCAGAAAGCAGTACCCAGACCAGTCAAACATCAGAAAAATATACCAGATAATCCAGATAGCAGGAACTATGCACAGTAAATAGAATGAACATCTAGGATAAACATGCTGGTCAAATTTGGATCAGGAATATAGACCAGAAAACAGAGCTAATAATGACTGTCATAAGTGAAGTCAAACAATCAATTCTGACATTGTAAATGGTCAAAGCAGGCTGTTCAAGGAATCACCCCATCCAGATGAGAAGCAGAGGCAGCAATTGAGCAACCAGCTAGGACTTTCTGCCAGGCAAGTCAAGTTCTGGTTCCAAAATCGACGAACCCAAATCAAGGTAGCCATTTGAAAAACTAGCCTGTCATGAAATTTATATGCTAATTTGATCAGTCATCGCAAGGAATCAGTCCAGAGTACAAATACTTTGAAGGATAGTAAATTTACGTTACGTACCAGTTACATTTATTATATCAACTTATGATCATTGGACCATCATTTCACTGCTCTGATGCTTAATGGGTGTAAGCTCCCCTCAGGCAGTGCAGGAGCGGCATGAGAACTCGCTACGTAAGTCTGAGATAGAGAAACTGCAGGAGGAAAACCGGACCATGAGGGAGAAAATCAAAAAAGGATGCTGTCCTAACTGTGGTTATACAACCTTGAGCAATGGTACCACCATAACCACAGAGGAGCAACAACATCATATAGAAAATACCAGGCTAAAAGCAGAGGTACGTCATGTGCCAATGGCTCATCATCAGAGTACCTAATTTGTTCTCATGCTAAAGCTTACATTTGACTTCAGCTATAGAATTTTCCACATTTTGACCATCTATACGTTTTAACTTTTGCTGTTTCTACCAAAATAACTTTGATCTTCAACAGATAAAAAAATTACGTCGAATGCTAGGAAGCATCCCAGATGGAAACACTTCACCAAGTTCATCATGCTCAGCAGGAGCTGATCAAAACAAGAGCTCATTAGATAGCTGCAGTAGGTTCTTGGGTCCTGAGAAATTTAGAATTTTAGAGATTGTCAATGTTGCCCTGGAAGAGCTGACCAAGATGGCTACTGCCCAGGAGCCTTTGTGGGTTCGGAGTGTTGAGACTGGAAGGGAGATACTGAACTATGATGAGTATGTTAAGGAATTCTCACCTGATATGTCAAGGAATGGATGTGTCAGAAACATTGAGGCTTCTAGAGAGACTGGTATTGTCTTCTTTGACATGCCAAGGCTTGTACAAGCATTCATGGATGTGGTAAGGTTCATACATATACATAGAAACAAGTACATTTATGACAATCCAATTTTGTCATTAAGAACTATCATATTGAAATTCCTGAAATTTTCTTGTCTCCAAATTGTACTGACAGATTGCTGAACATCAAACATAAATTGATAATTATATACTTTGACCGTTCACTAGTCACTCTTTTAGCACTTTCTTGTTGCCAACTACCTACTTATTGCACATGAAAATTGTCATACACTCAAACAAAAGCTAATGAAAGGATTATAACAAAATTATACTCTTAAATTTGCATTTGCATGGGTTAATATACTTAAAAGTGGCATCTATATCCTCTAACTCTGACAAAATTAACAATAAATCTATATAGCGTCATATGATACATATATGTATCATTCTAATTTCTGTTTGTTCCTTTATTGTTGTAGAACCAATGGAAGGAATTTTTCCCTTGCCTGATCTCCAAGGCTGTCATTGTTGATATCATTTCCAAGGGTCTCGGTGATAGCAAAGATGGCACCATACAACTGGTAAGCACCCTTAACCATCATAATTGAATCAGCAATATAAGTCTCCTCATCTCGACAATATTTTTATCATAAATTCGACTTGCCAAGACTAGCTTTGTTACGAGGACCATCATTACCCAACAGATGTACTGGAGTTCTTTCTGACTAGAGTTGCTGTGATGGTACAATCTACAGAAAACAGGCAATAATTCTCATAACAACTCATTAAATTTCTCAGATGTTTGCAGAAATTCAGATGCTTACTCCTTTGGTGCCGACACGAGAAATCTACTTTGTGAGATATTGCAAAAAACTATGCCCCACTAGATGGGCAATTTTAGATATATCTATTGACAAACTTGAAGAAAACATAGATGCATCACTCATGAAGTGCAGGAAGCGGCCCTCAGGTTGCATAATAGAGGACCAAGACACTGGTCATTGCAAGGTAACTCAGTTATCTTATAGTTGTTTCCCTCTTCATTGTGGCAGTTTGACAACCTTCCTCTCAAAGAATGCCATACTCATTAACAGTAGACACTTTTAAGATAAAATTGCAAGGGCATTTGGTTATACCAATGGGATTATCACTTTAAAAAGGTACACAACTACATCATTCTAAGTCATTATATTTCATTCTTTGTGTCTAGGTGATTTGGGTAGAACATATGGAATGCCAAAAGACTGTAGTTCCAACACTATATCACCCAATTGTTACCAGTGGTCTGGCTTTTGGGGCTCGACACTGGATGGCAACATTACGTCTGCAATGTGAAAGATCAGTTTTCTTCATGGCAACTAATGTTCCTACAAGAGACTGCAATGGTTGTAGCAATTCTATCACCCATTCTATGAACATGAACCTATTGCTTACCTCACATAGGATTTTCTTAGGGGTCTCGACACTGGCCGGAAGAAAGAGCATCCTGAAGCTTGGACAAAGAATGACTTCGTGCTTTTGCCAGAACATTGGTGCATCAGGACACCACAAATGGACCAAGGTGTCAACAAAAGGTGGTGATGAGATTCGATTCACGTCAAGGAAGAATATCAATGACCCCGGGGAGCCTCTGGGACTGATCATTTGTTCGGTTTTGTCGACATGGTTGCCTGTTCCTGCAATGTCTCTGTTTAATTTCTTGAGGGATGACTCAAGAAGAACTGAAGTAAGACATTTTTTATTACCCCTTTTTGTCATATTTTCCTATAGACTGAATGAAACTTCTTTTTGAGTTTTCAGTGGGACATCATGCTTACACCAAGCCCTACTCAAACAATGGTGAATTTAGTAAAGGGCCAAGATCGTGGAAACTCTGTTACTATCTATGTAAGTTTTAGTTTTATCATTTTGTTGATATGATTCACAATCACTGATTGAAAAAAAAAACAAAACAAAACACTTCAATCGCCCAGTTTCAGATAAAATATTAAATGCCCAAATATAAAAATATTAATACAATATTTTAAACATATTAACCCATGTCATTACCTGTACAGAGCCTACAGACAACAACTTCATCAGAGAGGACCAACATTTGGGTTCTCCAAGATTGTAGCACCAACTCTTACGAGTCAATGGTGGTTTTTGCTCCTGTGGAGATTGATGGCACACAATCTGTGATGAACGGGTGTGACTCGAGTAGCTTGGCCATATTGCCATCAGGATTTTCTATACTTCCAGACGGACTAGAGACCAGGCCTCTTGTGATCACATCTAGGCCACAGGAGAGGACAATGGAAGGAGGATCTTTGCTTACGGTAGCATTCCAAATTCTTGCGGATGCGTCACCTGTGGCAAGGCCAACAACAGAATCGGTGGAGACCATAAACACACTTGTTTCGTGCACATTGCAAAATATAAAAAAAGCCTTGCAGTGTGAAGATGGGTAATTTGTGTGGGATAAGCAAATATGTGAAGATTGATGTAAATAGGTTTCAACCAATAGTGGGAGGAACCACATGTGCAACTCTTTGTTGTTAACAGAGGAAGAGCATAGGAATCGGTTTGAATTAACAACACGAATAACTAATCTGCACTGGAAGAATTTAGATCAGATGATCCAGCTTCAAAATTGGATCTGGTGCAGAAGGTATAAAGAAACGTAACATGTAGCAATGCTTGCCAATGTCAGTGAGTCATCTTTCTAGGTTCTGGAGGTGGATGGAAGTGTTGCATGATATCGAATAATAAATTCCTTGGTTTTCGGACTCATAATTGATGAGATGCACTTAGACCGCAAGACTTTGAAGCTTCATTGATAATAAGGATGGTACTAGAGCTGGTTTTCCTCCCTCCTCTCAATCCTCTGAATGAGAAAAGGAGGTGGCACAGGAAAACAACAGTTCCAAGAGAAGGAACTAGGCGGGTAGTTCTCTCAGATAAAAGATGGAAGAAAAATAAGACAGGAACCAGCCAGCTCCAACCCAATGCCTTGCCAAAATCATATACATGGGGAGTCTATCATCCACAAGATTCAATATTGGAAGAGATTGAGTGGTCAACTGAATGCATAATAACATGTTTATTCATCTCACAACTAAATGCAGAATTGAATCAAGAACAATTAACCCATACAGAGATTTCTTTTTCTAGATATACCGCAAAACAAATATATGTGCCACGTAATTACTACTTTAGCTCACAGTTATTAACCGTCTTAGTATATACAGCATTCTTCAAGTTGCCCAAGGAAAAAGGCAGTAAATCCTCTACAAGTAGCAAATATCAACTCAAGGACGAGGTAAAAAAGGAAAAAATCTAACCTTTCACCATTTAGAGGGAGGTATACCTGGCGTAGGGACCCTGAGAACGTGCGCCGCCCCACTTTATACTGCGGCATTAGCGTCGTCGACGAGATCGGCAAGCTCATCTACTCCGGCTCCATAATCGCCGGCCCAGGCTTGTCCGATTAGGGCTCGAGTGGGCATCAGGCTGGGCCAGTTCCTGGGTCCTTCCGCCACCGGTCGGGACCGGATCAAAGCCTATGACCAACAGCGCAGGCACAACCGGAGCCGACCCGATCTGCTTTGAGAATACTAGTTTTGCATCCGATCTGAACCCAGACCCGAAATTTAAAATTCGGATTTCGGATCCTAGATCGAAAGTCCGTTAATCCAAAGAAAATTCGAAACCACACGACCATACTAAGCCTTCCGACATCCATCCAAGCGCGCCACGTCACCACTGACATCCATCCAAGCCTTCCGACATCATCATAGAAGATTAAAGATTTCTTGTAAGAGACCCAAAAAGAGAGAGACACCGCAAACAGGGACAGAAATCATCAAATAACACTCAAGGACAGGCAAGCATGAGGTAATAGCTCGCTGTCTCTAGGCATCTTAATTGCAAAAGGACATGCAACTAATAGACCAACCAACTTTGGCAATGACCAAAAGCTAAAAATCTCTCACACAACGGAAGGGACAATTGCTAGTGGTTGATGGCTACCAAACCATGGTTGAAGTTGACAGGTACACCATCTTGTCAGCAACGTAAGCATAGGAATTAAAGCCATCTGCATATAATTGGGAGAAGGACCATCGGTGTGGGTTTTTGTCATCGGTTGCAGTAGTTAGGGCTGTGCTTGCATGAGCAGACAAATGTTCATAAATGAATAGGTCCTTCCACTTGCAGATAAAAAAAAGACCTCTAGCAGTCTCAAGTACAAGAAATGTATCGACTGGGGCAATACATGGATATCTAAATTCCAGCTCCACACCACCAAACACCCATGGATTAGGTATTTCATTTACACAACAGGCTACAGAATTCATTCACCTTAAAGCTATCATTCCTTGGTGCTATGAAATAGAAACCAAGAAAAGATAACCAGCCCAGTAGCAGGAAAATAACAGCCAGACAACACTGCAAAAGAAAAAACCTGCACCATGCCTCTAGCCATTGATCTTAGCTCAGAATCATCATTTTACATTAGCATGATCCTGAGTAATCACACTTGTACAGCACCCGAAACAAAGCTCGGGTAACGATCCGCCAAACAGTCCAGAAGCTACACCTTCGTCAGCTTCCATGTTTTATCCGAAACTTTCTCACAGGCATGAAAACCTATTTTAAGGCTCTGTCTGCCTTCTGAGAATGGTTGGGAAGTGTTTTCTGTTTAAGTTCCAACTGGATGCAAGAAGCTGAGAACGGATCGTTGCCTCACATGTTCTGGAATCAACTTAGTGACAAGCTCTGGTGATGCTCCAGCTAACTGCAACAACAAAGCAGTCGATTAATGTCAATTGCTGTTTAGTATTTTTTTATGCTGGTTTTTGGGGTTTGTTCGAATGCCTAAATGCTATAGCTGCAGATAACAACCAGAACCCCGAGCCTACAGTCATTTTTACAATCCCAACCCTTGTCGATCTACAAAGTACAAATCACCATAAGCAGGGCCTTGCATGTCCTTGGACCAAAGAAATGGTTTGCACTCCTGTGCATGTCTACCGGAAGAAAACATGTGCATGCCATGTGCACCCCAGTATATAGAGATCGGTATTGCATCTGTGTGCTACAAATGATAAGTACATGATGTTGTGTGCACCATGCCAACAACCACCAATACATGCAGATGCAGCTTCAAAAATTTAGCATGCTTACTTCTTGCTTAAAGTTAAAAAGGGGAGGCAGAGGGCGACCGTTTGGCAATCGCACATTAGGTTCTCGTAGCTCATCGAAGAATGGATGGGCACATGCTTCCAGCTGCACAATGACCAAATTGACAAAGTGAGGGGGAAAGAGAAACCAACAAAATTCCACTTTGTTGATACATGTATCAATGTGATCGAGGATCATATAATTACAAATCCTAGGATACAAATACAACTATAATAAGCTTTAATTCTAATCTAGTAGAAAGTCGTTAGCTGCTTTATTGACTTGAAAATGACAAAAAAAATACTTACTGCAGAGCAACGGAAACAAGGAGAGTATTGAAGAAGGCGTGATGTAAGATCAATAGCTTCTGGAGGCATTCGCTTGTGGAAAATCTGAAAATCACAATATGTTATAGTTACTAGCACTTCTATATTATGCATGAAGCTGGCAACAACCTATTTAAACAACTTAAGCTACAGAAAACTAGGAAAATATTAACAGTACTTGAATCTGAAAATCTGGCTGAGTGAACTACTAATTCATTAGCAGGTCTAAGGAGCCCACAAGCCCCAAATAAATTTTTGGATTTGTACTATATATAATATGACATTCAAGAAATGATGGACATCTTTATTGCACCTAATATATAGAGATTAACCAGAATAATTGATATACATCCTTAAAAATATACTCAAATTTGATAAAAAGAGAGGACACGGTGCTATTTTCCTCTATTGACACCCTCTCATCTATTTTCCTCTAGGATAATGTTCAACCCAACTCTTGGATCAACATTTAACTGAGTGAACAAGGGGATATAAAAGCTATCATCAGAAAGAAAGTGCTGAAAACTGATGCCTAATAAGCAATAATGTCAAAAGAGGATGCCTAAACACTTTGTAAACCTGTGCCAAACATTCCCTAGAACTGAACCCAGAGTGAAAAAAACAAAAGATGTACATGCACATATGGAAAAGTCCAAAGATTAAGAGATGAACATTTCGCTGAGAAATACAGGGAACTCCACACAGCTAAAGTTTCTTTTGTTATCCTACAGAAATTGCTCCTTTCCACAGGAAGTTGATGCAAAATCTTTAACGTTAAGACCTAAAATAAACATATAGATTAAACTTTAAAGATAATAATACGCACAAACATGATCTAGATCGCTACATACAGTGGACCTTTGTCATTTCTAAAGTAAAATGATAGAACTAATCATAGCAGAGCACTCTGAAATTAGTCACCCGATATTGTCCTTTACAGCTCATTCAAGGCAAGTTTAATAATTGTGATCCACTAGCACCTTTGTTGATGTATATCGTTAACTCAAAGATATGGCTTACAAGAAAAGAAAAACTACATAACCATGAAAGACTTGCATGCAGTTGACCTTGTGCCATGGATGAGCTTTTATCTGAGGAAACCTGAACTCTGTATAGCTAGGATTCATGCACCGAATTTCTTCACGGGTTGGGGTTCCAAGAACCTGCATTAAAGCACTTCATCTAATATTGTACATTTTAAAGATCAAACAATATCAAGATCAGTTGAAAAACTAAGCAGACGACAAAGCCATACCTTGATAATCTGGACAAGCTGATCAACAGCACTTGCTCCAGGAAACAACGGCTATCAAAAAGATGTACAATGTGAAATGATTAAAATTTGGAAATACTCTTTAGAAATTTGTCACGGGATACTATGTTTCAGCAATGTTTACCTGGCCAAGTAGTAACTCAGCAAGAACACAACCTGCTGACCATATATCAATTGACGTTGTATATTCTGTTGCACCAAAAATAAGCTCTGGCGCACGGTAATAGCGAGAACAGATGTAAGATATGTTTGCTTCACCCTTCACCTGGTAGGAAAGATCAATTAATAGAAAACAAGGCCAACATTAGAACCCAAACCAAGAAGTGGGATGAAAGGGCAAATTCCTTTGCCGGTAAAGTAACATAAAGTCGAATATACATACAGTGGAAAGCATAACAGTAAGAAAAGTTTCAACTTGACGTGGTAGGAAAGTTCAATTAGTAGAAGACGAGAAATGTTATGACCCAAACCACGATGAGGACTGGAAGGGTACATCTCTTTGTTGGTTTGAATATACAAACAGTGGAAATCTAGGAAAAGTCTTCGTGGTTGCAAGGGTAGTTTGTGTGCATTGACCCATCATAGACCTAATATCGGTGGGAGCCTCATGCAAAGGCACCCTTATGTACTATATCATATTCACTGACCAGGCGAACTATGTGCAATTGATGATTAGGATTACATCATAAGACAACAATATATCATATTTTCTTCTATACTTTATGGATAAACATGGACAATAAAAATATCATATTTCAACATATCATAACCAGTGATTTAAAAAGCGCTAGGCGTCAAAAGACGCCAAGGTGCAAAAACGCCCGGAGCGCTAGGTGCTCGCCCAGGCGCTCACCCGAGCGAAACGAGGCACTAAACTATAAAAATATATAAATTAATTAATAAATATAATTATTTAAATAAAAATATGATATTAAATTTAAAAAAATCTTACATAATCAAAATATCACATTAACAAAAAATCTCAAAATTCAAAACAATAACAATAATTTCAAATAAATAAAAATTAACAGTATTAAAATCAAAATAATATATTATTAAGTGTTGGTTAGTCCTTAATTAGTAACATTCTTTACAGCCAGCTGTTGAGTTAATTTATCAAAAATTTTGAAAACAGTTAATTTGTTTGACCATGAAACTTGTACCAAGCACTAAATGCATATAAGCTAAACTATTGGCTATGCAGTAAGCCAGGAACATGTCAGCTCATATCATCAGTCATGACAGTGCATGTCTACTAAATTCTGTGGACATATTTTCCGTATGTTTTTTTTTTCAATCTCAAAATGGCTACAAATGAGAAACCAAAATCAGATGGCAAAAAATTGAGATTCTTGTAACAAACAGTCAAAATATTTGCATATGAAAATCAAACAGCTGAATCAGATCTTAATGGAAACAAGATCACATTGATCTTTTTTGCAACTAATATGCAATGTCATTTTAACCAATTTCTTTAAGATGAAGTCATTCCTCTCAGTTAGATAAGACATTAATCACAGCGTAAAGTGGCAACATGTCAGGTAATGAGAGGAATGACTCGCACGCAATTCAAGATCCCCCATCCCAATATTTGGTTGGTATACAATTTTGTTAAAGTTGTAAATTCATACCCATTTAATTTACACCATCATTACCCATTTTATACAAAGAGAATGAGTGGCTTAGGTAGTTGAAGGAAAAAAAAACTATTAACACCAAGGTTCGTAATTTTGTATCGTACTGATGTTTTAAGCATTGTTCGATACAGTACGATACGGGCATACCGAGCAGTATGCTAGGGTGTACCACTTGGTATGTGTGTGTGTGTATGTATATATATATATATATATATATAATATAAAAATAAAAAAAAGGAGGCGTACAATGCCTCGACGATGTCACCTCCTTTTCTTCTCCTCGTTGCGTCAGACAAGGAGAATGTGGTCTTCTCCTCATCTACGGCGTTCGACGAAGACGTTGAAGGTCGTAGATGTCTTTGGCCTTCGGTGAAGAAGAAGCCGAGCAACCGCCTCTCCGTTACCTCCTAGATTGGGATCATCGAGGGAGGGCGACACCGGATCGGAAAGCGTCGAGGTTCTCCCGATTCTCCCTCTTCTTCTCTCTCTTCTCCCTCGATGCTTCTTCTTCCCTTATCGCGGCCAAGTTGATACCATCCGGTAGCGGACGATCCACGTATCGGTCTGCTAACGGATCGATGCGTACCACTCGATACGGGCAGTATCATTCGAAATTAAATCCTTGGTTAACACTAACTACCTAAGTTTTGGGCATTTATTTCCCTTGTATTCAATAGAATATCTTTGTTCAAGTACCTAGACTAGAAAAGACAAAATCCTATTAAGCACTATAGAAGAGAATTAAGCTCGACTTCTGGTACACCAAGTCAAAGAACCCATAAGGAACTCTTTTGTTACAGGCAGGTTGGTTTCAACTTTCAAGCACACAACTAGAATCTTACTCTTCTATTCCTGTTTATTATGGCCGTCAGTAGGCTAGTTGGTGGATTCGGAAGCAATTATCACCACTTGTCGTTATGTCCTGCTCATTTCTACAAACAAATATTCGCCAGAATGAAAATAAAATTGCTGCATTTTCATTGAAAGTATAACATATAACATACCAGAACTTTTGCACTTCCAAAATCACATAATTTGACTTGATGAGTAAGAGGGTCTACCTGCAGAATGTGCAACTACTATATAATTAAAACAATTTAATCAAACAAAATAACAGCTTCCTAATAATTTGGAAAATGAAAGCCTACCAAAATATTTTGTGGTTTCACATCTCTATGACAAACTCCTGGAACAGTATGGATATAAGCCAGCCCTCTAAATATCTGCAAAAATTGTCCAATTAAATACTATACTGAATATGTCCTTAAAGATTTCTAAATAAGAAATCTGGCAATAATACCTGATATGTATACAACTTCACATAGATAAGTGGCATCCTTTGATTCCCATTGCTGAAATGCCTTAGGACACCATACAGAGTCTCAGGCACATATTCCATGACCAGATTAAGGAAAAGCTCATCTCTGCTTGTAGTGGAGAAGAAACAATGCTTAAGAGGTATCACATTTGGATGATCCATTGAGCGCATCAATTGGAGCTCACGATTTTTGTATCTTTTGTCCTGTAAAACCTTCTTTATGGCAACCGCTTCTCCTGTTTCCAAGCATTTGGCCTGTCAAGGACAACCATGTTTGAATATAGAGCACAATATCACACCACAATTATAAAAATGCTTCAGTAGCAAACCTGAAAGACAATTCCAAACGATCCAGTCCCTACAACACGCTCTGCCATGTAGCTAATGGTCTGCATGTCAAATAGAAGGCAAAATAACATGTAAACTATAACATCAACTCAAGGTCTCACATGATTTCATTAGAGACAGTACATTTTCCTTCTAACCTTCTTAGGTTCACCATTCTTGCCCCCAATGGTGGTGGAGATGACATGACCAGTTACTTGTTCACTCTTGCCAACAACAGATGTTTGCTGTGGTAAGTCGTTGAAAAGTTGTTTAATGGAAATTGTTAAAACGTTTCAAGGCAAGGAAACATGAAATGGTTGCAGAAAGGAAGCAGTCCAAATTTATTTGGCAGAGGAACCAAATTCCAAAATGCAACAAGCGAAGACGAACACCAACCATTGTATTTAGCATTTCAAGCATCAACAGATCAGGTGGACCGACATAAGAGTCTCAAACGGAGCATATGACACCGGAAAAATCAAGACTGCAAAGATAAGCTTAAGGAGAAGCAAGGCCTCGAAAAAGAGCATTAAACGGGTGAAAATTGCGGATCAGAAAAGAACAAAACCGTAGCAAGTGTCAGGAGAGAATAAATCATCATCATTCTCGTCAAGCAAACAATAGATAGACTGGATACCACGCAACCAGAAAGCCAAGCAGGTGAAAGAACAGAAGAAGATATCTCGTGCGAAAATAATAGAAACAGGAGAACCTATCACACCAGAAAGGGCCAACTTTAGAGATAAGATCAAACCACAAACCTTTTGAATAGACTAAATAAGCAACGAAAAGATTCTCCTGTATAGATTTGATACCAAATCGGAGATCAAGATAATACAAGACGTTCTAGACCCTAAGCGGACACGAAGGAGGAGATCCGAAGACAAAACCCAAGTTCAATTACACCAAAAAACTTAAAAGAGAACATTCGCGCAAATCAAGACCGGTGGAATAAAGCAGATCTAAAAGAACAGAAATCGCAGTGTGCCAAGCATAGGTCCTGATGAGAAAAGGAAGAAACACTGGTTCTTAGGATGAGATCAAGCTTTTCCGACGGGAAAAAAACAAAGAACGAAAACAAGGAAACCGCTCCGCAACCAATAACGATCCCTCAAAGATGGGAATCATTCGCCGAGATTGCAAAGCAATCCAAAACGCTACCCAGATCGAAATAACGGAGAAGGTGATCTACGGGATGAGGTGAGATGGGGAAGGGGCGACCTTGTTGTCGGCCATCTCCGCCCGGGGAGGGACCGCGAGGGTAAGGTTCGCTGCCGCGGCGGCGTCGTGGCCCGGCGGGGGCGGGGGGTGGTGAGGTCCCAGCGGCAGCGAAGTCATGTTGGGCGGCGCTCCAGGTAGGAACGGATGCCCCTCTCTCTTCTCTCTCTCTCTCTCTCTCTCTCTCTCGGGGGTAGTTGCTACTTGAGACACTCCAACACGAAAATACATGTAGACAACGTACTTCCAAATCTTTTCTTACGTTATTAATAATTAATCATTATTACATTCGACACACTGTATTATTCGACGTAGTGACCATTATTTATGTTTACCGTAATAGATTTAACATTATTATATTTAATTATGTCGTTATTATTATTATCACGACATAATGACAAGTATTTTACCTTGTGGAGTAGATATCAGCAAGCCGCATCACAACAACTGCGACGATATGGGTCGGGTTACAAATACCGGAACCAGATCCAAAGTCTGAAGCAGAACTCTTATCGGATCCACCGATTGCTTGTTAGCGAACCCGATCCCGATCCAGCCTGTTGGGAAATGGAGTTAGGATTAGCCCATTACATTTTAACTTGTATTCCAAATGACTTATAATTAAAACAATACATAACAGCGATAGAATCCACTCTAGACAAAGTTACTTCTGAAAACAATTAGAAACAAAGTATACATAAAATAATTGAATCTACAACAAAACAAATTGGTTTGCAAGGAATAATTCTGTACAAAATACGTAGGAAACAGGAAAAAAAAAAAAGAAACATCTGTAGGTTAGGGAAGACAGTTTCCACCATCTTTAGAATGTTTAGTTGCAAGGTTAAGCACATTAGTAGAAGTGATTTGATAATACTTAGCGCTTGACACTGAGATGCAACTGTTAATGAATGAATAAACACCTTTTAATGGTCTCCAAAACCTTTAATCCCATCGTGATCTTTTGTCGGCCTTTTTCTCTTGCTTCTCTTCTCTTTTTTGTCTGCAATTCAAAAGTGATCACCAGAAGATAGAATTTTTTAGCAATTCTAAAGGTCATTAACAATTTAGAAGAAAGACAGATATAAAAGGATAATTCTACAGAATCACTCGGAAGTAAGAACAATGATGAACTGAGCAGAACACGTAACAATGTCGCAACTAAACCACTACTTTAGCCTAACAAGGTCCCCATAGGCAAAGGAACATCCATAGTTCTACTCCAGATTAATCAAAGAGGTATTACCCTACCACAACCTTCTCTATTTAACCCTCATAGAAACCCACCATGAACCAGAGATGACGGAATTAGGAAGAAAATGAAAACGGAAAAAACGCATAGATTAAGCAAACATTTAATAGATAATAGGTTTTTAAAAGCCATCCAAGACCACATAGCCTACCCTGTGAAATTTTTGTTTGTACCACGGGTTCAATGATTTATGTGTAGTAATGTGTAGTCATTCTTAGGTTGATCAATGTCACTAAAGAAAATGAAATATCAAATTAATTATATGTCATTTTCATTTGCCTTCAACAAAATGATCATGAAAAATAATACAGATTTAGACAAGCAGAGATAACCATGGCAACAATATAAATACTCTCTGATAATATTCTCATTCCAATAGTACGCAAACAAGTTGTGGAATCATATACATAAAATACCATTAAATAGTTACAAGATAATTGGTTAATATTCTAAAATTTTCCAATAAATAACGTCTAATTAACAAGATATACACTGAATGATTTGCAGTAAATCTTTTACCACCAAACTCTGTTTTAGACCCTGAAAGGAGACTAAAAAAAGTAGCTTAGATATCCAACATGATTGCCTTTGAATCACATGTGATCTGCAAGTGTTCATCCATTGCAGTACATCCAACAAAAAGGAATCTATTGATGCACTTAACCATGCAGTAAATATCCAAGGGAATTGACTAGTGCATATTTCACTGTACATATTGAATATCTTTATCAATATAATATAGAGTAACATCCATTGGCAGATATAGGTTGTTCAGAAAAATCATAAGGCTGCAGAGGTTCTAGCTGAGTGTTTGGCAATTATAAGGTGGACAGTTTCTGGTGGTGTTTTATCGTCTGCATTTCCTACAAAAAAATTAATAAGAAAACACAATACAATCCTCTCTAAATCTGCATAAGTGCATAAAAATGGCAAATTTTCAAAAAAAAAATTCTAATCCCCTAGGAAAACATTGTAATTGTTAGATTAATTTTGGAATAAAAATGTAAATCTATTAAGACAGAAAAATGAACTGTATGACCAATAATGAATGTCAAAAAGGATATTCCTTAAAAATATGTATCATCAAGCAACTAAACATATAAAGTAATGCATGAAGCCACAAACAAATAAAAGAAATCCTCAACACATGAAATGCAAATATTTTAAGATGTATCAGCGCAAAATCCTTTTCATTTCAATGTCTTTTTTAGAGTTAATTTTTAAGTATTTAAAACAGTTATGCTATTCCCTATGGAGATCAAGATGATGGACTTCCTCGTAAACTAACTTTGCAATTTGAAAAAGTGGCAAAGAAAGACATCAGTTCATGTTTATGGAACTTACGAGACCTGGCATATCATTTCATAATACAACTTGTTGCACCAAGCTCAACTTATTGAATGGTATGACCATTCACTGGCAATGTTATAATTCAGATTTATATCCTAAATGGCATATACTGCACGTGGCAATCTTTCTCTCCAAATCTGAAGCCTTCTTGTTGGCCCAAGTGAACCTGAACAAATATATGATCAGCCTAATTGATGTTATACCAGCATATTCAAACAGAAGAAGAAAAGGTCAAATCTTCAAACATTTGAGACCAATCAAATCTGTCCATTCATACACTAAAAGATTTCATTAATCACCGAATAGTTATGCAGCCCTGCCAGGCAATAAAACTTAGAAACCAGAGGACTTGGTGACTAGTGAATATAAGAAAGCTAATTAGTTATAAAGCTTCTAAGAAGATGTGTCAACAAAAAATACTAGATGTAATCAACTTCTTAAGAACTGACAACGCCAGCTGAGATGTGCATGAAAAGCATATCAGATGTGTTGGCCATTTCAGCTCAATGTTACACATGATCTGCACGTCATACACAAATGAAAAATAATTGAAATTTTCTTAACATTTAATATCTTTCATCATGTTTCCCTGTCATTATAAAGCAATGCCCCTAAATAACCATATATTTACATTTCGGTGATCGATTAGATGTGAACAAATACTGGACTGAATAAATTGACACAACTTTCTGACTCAATCCCACACAAGCCTGATACACTTTGAAGTTTGAACAACACCATATCTCTTCCCTGAGCAATTCCATCCCAATCTAGTGTAAGATATGCAACCAATGTTATTTAACATCCAACCTCTGATTCCTTTGTATAGATCAGCTCCTTTCTCTCCCATCATCTATTTCATCTTAAGCAGACCAATTTGATTTATTAATCATTTTAATAAGTTTTATTAGTTCAGGACAAAAACGTCTTAAGATGCAAATGTCATAAGTTGCCAAACGGCAACATTGTCCAAAGATCCTAGTTTGTTATCAAAATTGCCCAAGGGGAAGACAAAAGAAATCAAATAAAAGAAAAAAATAAAAATTTAGGTTTACTTGAAGATTCTTAGGAAAAGGAAGAATATAAGGTTGAATTATTTGAAGATTATTTTCTACAAGAAAGTTCCATTATTATACAAAAACGAAAGTATATATTATGAAGAAGGCTGAATATTTACCAGCATTAATCAGAAATTTTATCTTTCCAGAAAAGGGAAAGGATAAATGATTAATTATCCTTAAAGTATGTTTCTTAATTGTATTTTTTTCCTCATGCTGTATTTTTCTTTTCTTCTACTTGAGGAGCATAAAAAAAGGGTTAAGGAGATTATAACGGGAAAGTCAATCAATCAATCAGTGTCTCAGGCTAAATTATACTGAAGTTATATCAACAAGCAAAGATTGCAAGGGAGAATGATAAAGGAATCATGAAGTACAAGGAACTGATTCTTGTGTAACAGTAGTATTTGATAAGGGCATATCATCATCGTAATTTTCAAGTTTTAAGTATCAAAAAGTTTTGACTGATATGGACTGTATCATGATGATGAAAAAAATAAATTATCAAATATATATTTGATTGAATTAAGAATTGTATATCTTATGTAAAACAGAGCGACAACAAGAACAGTGACCTGTAAATTCACACATTCAGAACAAGGTGTAAATAATTAATTAAGTTTCTCGCACTTGTAACCTTCTAAATTAATATTGAAATTTTGCTCTTGAAAAGCTTACTTATTGCATATGTTTCCCTGTGCGCTGGAACCCAGAACACTGGACCCATTTATCACAGTAGTTGTTCAGCTGCCAAGGAACAGCTTAGCACCACAGGCGTTGACCAATTTCAGGGCTCTTTTTGAACCACTGTGACAGATAACTCATTGGCTAAGTTAAAGTGATGATTAGATCATAGCTGCAAAGACGCCAACAAAATAGACTTCTAAACATATTTATGATATGCTTAATTTGGCAAGGCAAACATGTAATAAGGCATGTATTTCATAATCTTTCACAATATTTTTTAATTAAATAAATCTGTGAAGGATAATACGTTGGCAAAGTCAATTTAATTCCTATAAAACCTCATTTTAGTCAAAAGTAAGGATCAGATCGTCGCTGCAGAAACACTGACAACATAGACTTCCAAACATATTTACATAAGGCTTAATTCGGTAAAGTGAACATGTAATGAGGTTATTCTTGATGATTTTGCACATTATTTTACTTCAAAAAAAAGTGTGTAATCAAATTACCATCGGCTACTTGAACCTCTCTGAGCATGAAACGACCGTTGCTTAAAATCTCTCCCTCCTGCAAAAACCAATGTTTTGCTGAATCAGAAAGCTAGAGTCTGAAATCCACTCAGATGCCCGGCATTTCGGCATCAGATAGAATGAATGGACAACTAAATTGAACGAGATATAACAAGACATAACAATCGTAAACTAACGACGAACATCCTCATCCTCTGAAGGCCCACAGGCTCCGAAAGAGAAGAAGACGGATGCCGCAGAGGAGGAGAAGGGGAGATGGCGGGGAAGGGTGAAGACTGCAACTGTGAGGGGAGCAGCGGCGGGGGCGTAGGGCTCCGGGCGATGGGGCTCCTTAGGGTTTCGCAATCCATGCCATCATGGCGATCGAGTAGGGTCGAGACTTTAGCCTCGAATGCTGGGTTGGGCGGGGTATCCCCGTCACCTCCATTGGCATCGTCAGCGCCGGAATCCACCAAACCCACTGCCACGACCACCTTCCGCTCCTCTACCTCTTCCTCGTCGTTGTACACGGAGAGCATATCGATGCCTCCACTGCCCGACGTCATATTCGCCTTCCGGAGAAGGGTCGTGAGATTTCGATCTGACCCAAATCTACGAGCGAGGGAAGAATGCAAAGTCCCGTAACGGGTCGGGTGGAGTCGAGTCGAGTTGGGCCGAGATCCGTTTATCAAACGTGTCAACGGGACACACCTTGATCCAGTCCAGTTATTTATCGGACTGATACAACCCGATCCGTTTAAATCGAATCCATATAGTTACTGCGTTCGTGAATTGGCAGTGAACGGTAATCAGACATCCAAAAATACCTTTTTCTATAATAAATAGTGTTGATTAATAGAAATATGTGATTCCATAATTGATATTAACTTTATCCAAAAAAGTACATCAATATATATATATATAATTTGGCAGAATTATATGGATATTTAATGCCATAAGGAGAAGTTTTCGAAGATAAATAAAAGAAACACCCACATGAATTAATGCCTACAACTATTCGAACATGCATGAAGGCAAGCGTGATTAACACGCCGCATATATCGCAGGGCACGCAAAGCAGGACATGACGACTTCATGAAACCACTCGATCATTGATGCTTTACACGAGCCGACGATGGCGGTAGCCGTGGTGGAAGCACCGATGGCGGCGGCGGCGGTGGCGGCGGCGACTGATCCGCCATTTGCCATTCCCACACGATGTCCTTCAGCGAAGGTTTCAGGCCCTGGTCGTAGAATCGCTGGTACTCCAGCGTGTCGCCGGCCGACTTCTTCACCTCCACCACGTACAGCGCCGGCGTCACCTCGAAGATCTCTGCCTCCACCGCCAGCTGCCCCTTCCTCCCCTCGTGGCTGCCCTCCAGCTTCACTACCCCGTCCTTCTTCTCCACCCGGAACCTCTCCGTCCTCGCGATCTCCTCCAGCTTCGACACGATCGCCTCGGTGGGCTTCTGCGTCGCGAATCGGGCCTCCGCCCGCCGGCCCTTCTCCTCCTCGAATAGCCCCGAGAGGTCGAACGAAGACGACCGCGAGATTATGTCGAACGCGTTCAAGCTAGCAGGCCTGATCGATGACGACGAGGACGTCGCTTGCTTCTTCTCCTCTTCCTCGTCGGCATCGCTGGCGAATGCCTCCCGCACGTCCCGCAGGCTTTCGTCTCGCTTCATTCGCAGCTGGTGATTCACTGCTCTGTATCCTTTGCGAAACCAGGGGTTGTCGATCAGCTTGCAGACGGTGATCCTGGTGGTGGGGTTGGGGTCGAGCAACCGGGCGAGCAGCTTCTTCACCTCCGACGGGAACCAGTAGGGGCACTTGAACTCTCCTCGGCTGGTCTTGCGGTACATCTCGATGATGTTGGAGTCGTGGAACGGGAGATAGCCTGCCAACAGCACGAAGAGGATGACGCCGCAGGACCAGATGTCGGCCTTGGACCCGTCGTAGCCCTTCTTGGTGATGACCTCCGGCGCGACGTAGGCGGGAGTGCCGCACGTGGTGTGGAGGAGCCCGTCCTGCCTCCTCGACGCGCCCAGCGCGCTCAGCCCGAAGTCGGACACCTTGAGATCGCCCTTCTCGTCCAGCAGGAGGTTCTCGGGCTTCAAGTCGCGGTGGTAGACACCGCGGCTGTGGCAGAAGTCGACGGCCGCGATCAGCTGCTGGAAGTACTTCCGGGCCACGTCTTCCTTGAGCCGGCCCTTGGCCACCTTGTTGAACAGCTCGCCGCCACGCACGTACTCCATGGCGAAGTAGATCTTGGTCCTGGTGGCCATCACCTCGTAGAGCTGGACGATGTTAGGGTGGTGGACCAGCCGCATGACGGAGATCTCGCGCTTGATCTGGTCGATCATGCCGACGCGGAGGATCTTCTCCTTGTCGATGATCTTGATGGCGACGGCGAGCCCGGTGGCGACGTTGCGCGCATGGTAGACCTTCGCGAACGTCCCCTGCCCCAGCAGGCGTCCAAGTTCGTACCGTTGCAAGAGGACGGTGCCCCTCTTCTCCATCACCGAAGAAGAAGAAGCCGAAGAAGAAGAAGAAGAAGAAGTCGACATTCAACAAGTGGAAGATGGACAGGGCGCAGCTGCATGCGAGGGAATTGTGGCGGCCGGAGAGGCCACAAACACCAAGGCCTTTTGGGGCAAGGATACGGGGACTACTTCCTCGGAAGAAGGGAGGGGTGGTGGTGGTGGTGGTGGATCCTTAACGAACGAGAGGTTGGAATTGATGGGGGACACATGAGATGGCTAAATACGGTGAGGGTGGAACGCTATTCTTGGGGAGTGCAATCTGTCACGTTGCATCAAACTGACTCCCTACTGAATGAACTACATGAGTGGTTTAAGGAAGTAAGAAGGATAACGGAAGACGATGTTGGCCAAGTCAGAGATTACTGTTAAGACACTAAAATGCCTATCTTTATGTCTCTAATCGTTGACTTTTGTTACAACCAATCCGTTCGATAAGCATTTATATCCGACCCACTTAAATTGGATTTGCATAAATAATGGATGTAATTACACAAAGGCCAAGTCAAAAGTTACGACACTGAAATATCTTTTATAGTAACTTCTCCCAATCTTCTACTGTAATTTAATTGAGGTTTTTTTTTTAATAAGAAACATAAATCGAAAATAGAATGGATGAAATTTAATAATCATCAATTATTAAAAAATAATCAGTGACCTGTAACTCCATTTTTTCTTCTCTCTTTTTTTTCTATCAATAATATATATATATATATATGTATATAATTTTCGGAGTTCTTGGATGATAAGTTCTGGAAAAGAGTTCCAAATAAATAAAATTAATTTTTAATTTATAAAAACCTCATATATCTATCTTTTTTTTTTTTGTGATGGAGAGGATATAAAAAGATATTTGAAGTATTAGAAATAATTTTAAATGATGAAAAAATTCTGCGAGATCTATGTTAGAGATCAATGAGAAGATGTATACTTGAGTTAAAGATTAACTAAATGGTACATATAATTTGGTTCACATAACGAATGGTTTGGTTACTTCAAGTAAGTAGTGTCTAAATATTTTTTTTTATCAATTTTATGGTTTGTATTTTTGCACATTTTAAATATTTTTAGGTGCTTTTCCCATGATAAATTATATCAAAGCTTAAATGATTTAATTTTGAGATACACAATATTGTTTGTATATGTTTTTTTAAAACTGATAGAAGATTAATTATCGTAAATAATATATTTTTTATTTAAATTAATAACTTTATTATTTATATAGTATGATTAAGGAAATAATTAAAAATTAATTTTTAACCATATGGATAAGTTAAATTTTTTACTAATTTATTTATTTATTTCTAATGAGTAATGTAATTTTTAGAAAGTTAATAGTTCATATTCTATTATTAGGTGTGAACTATAAGAAATAAATAATATATTTTTATATTTATGTGTGAAAATAAAATAAATTTAAATTTAAAATAAAATTTAAATTTGTTGGGAAATCTTTGGCGGCGTGTGAAGATATGCGCAATGGAAGAACAGAAAACAAAATCCCCAATTCCCAAAGATATATTCGTCGTCATGTAAAGATTAGTATAAAATCCCCAATTCCCAAAGATATATTCGTCGTCATGTAAAGATTAGTATAGATTAGTATGTAAAAATCCGCGAAATAGAAAACAACGTGCTAGATATATTGTGTTATATAGGGAGATCGTATATCCCTGAATCCATGTAGATTTATAGGAGAATGCAAAGAAGGTGAAGAAGGGATATACGATCTAGGGAGATCGTATATCCCTGAATCAATCCCTGAATCAAGCACCCTCCCCTCTAGCGGTGATCCACATAGTAGGGCTACGATGACGCTCCTCAAAACTTCATGTCTGATCTTAGGTGGAGAAGGGAAGGAGAATAGGAGAAGACAACAAAAAAGACTCTGGCCTATAAATCACCAGTTTCCTCTAATTTATAGAGGTCTCCTACTAACTTAACTCTAATGGATCCTATCCTATTGGGTGTTGAATTTCCATCCAACTACCCAAGCTTCTTAGATTAGTGGATGTCTGTCCAATAATCTCTCACTGGATCTTATTAGATCTCATTCATATTGATACGATAATTAAGGGGTTTATTAGATATCCAATAATATAGGGGCTCCGACGAATATCTCACATTCGAACATCTACTCATCGCAGTGTCTACCATATATGTGTGACACTCTAAGCCCAATATCGAGCTGGTCGTGAGTCATACTTGTCAGAACTTCTTCCAACTCAATGGATTATTATCTACATAATAATTCACTCAACTCATTGACTATGGATGTACTAGGCCACTACGTTGTAATCCCCATATGATACAAGGGAATCCAATCCATTCGACATGTATATCCTCAATTACTATGTAACTATAGTCCATAATCCATCTAATATCTTAGAGACCGTATACCGAGCATGGTATTAGACCCATACGGTTTCTACTCGAGTCTCACTCTAATCGGATTCTCCCAGAGAACCATTTCTCTCTCAATCCGAATGACCCTGGCCAAGGATTTGTCTAAGCAAAAACACATGACATTCATCTCATGACACCGAGAAAGAAAATGGTTATTAATTTTTTATTATATTTAAAAAATTAATTTTATGATATTAATATAAATATTATGATATAGTATATATGACTATACTAGTAGTCCATATTGAAAGTGTAACGTATGAAAGAAACTATAAGCCCCTTATAGTATAGAGTCACTAATAGATATATTATAACATATCATACATATTCTTAATAATAATTTATTATATTATTTAAATGAATATAAATAAATGATCATGATTATTTATATATCACTGTAGAGAGGGAAAGTAAAACGATTTCTTTTGAAGATTATATATCCCCACTAAAACGAAGGATACATATAACATCTTGATTGGTCCCATATCAAAAGTGAATAATATTAAAGTTAATTTATAAGGATCTCATGATGATATTATTATTATTCTTAATTTAAATATCTCGATCAATGATTTTGATTAAACGAATTTGATAGGGTAATTAATCTATGGACTCGATATTTGTTATTAGAGGATGAATTTAAATGACACATTGTTAGTCTTCAGAAATAAGATTCCCATATATTTATATTTGATAGGGATTATCGCTTAGTTTTAGATTCCTTAAATCAATATGACAATGAATCATAACATGAAAAATAGTGGAAAGAAACACTATAAATTAAAGTTTTAATTATTTTATAAATAAAATATCTCTAAATTATGATGTCATAGATAACGTGAGGTAATACTTTAAATACTATCAGGTTTCACTTTAATATGTTTAAAATAATTAAAAAAATATATAAGATAAATTATTTAAAGTTTACAATGAGAGAATGTAAAAAAAATAATGCTTAAGGTAGAGTTGACTGACCCTAAAATTCTCTTATTTCTTTTTTTGCTAACCCTAAAATTCCTTCGCCATCCACTTAATTTGGTCATTTGAGTAAGGATAATTATTTATAGTAATAATTATTTGTATTACCTTAACCTCGCACCGAATCAGCCAAACCACGCAGAGCTCAGCTGTGTAGCCCGAGGCAGGGAACAGGCTCCTGTGATGCGCCCCGCACACTATGGCTGATGTCACGGAAGTCGATGGCGAGCCGAGGTGTGGTCTGGATTACCCAGCAGTACTCCAAAACCAGGCATCGATCAGGTGTGTGAACTAATGCACACGCTCTTCGTCTCGCCCGCTTACTAGAAGCGGTGGGGTTCCAGGGTGACGAGTGGCGTGAAGATAAGTGTGCTAAAAGTGTCGTCTATCCGAGATTTCCGCAGCCGATCAGAGGCGGTTTCGAAAAACCAGTGGGCGGTACTCTACGCTGGATGGCGCCCGGCGGAGCCGAAGCAGCCGAACCGCAGATGACGTCAAGAGTGACGTGTCGCTCGATGCTTGGAGCGCACCATCAGACGTACATATATACGACTAGACTCCCAAATAGAGCAATACCTTCGAGCCACCCGTTCCATTTCACTCCATAATCTACCCGCCGTATGACTCGTCTCTTTACTTTTCTGTGGGCCATCTTCTGGAACAGTTGACACGGTTGCTCTCTTAACCGGGTATCAGAACGTCATTTTGCACATACTCGGCTTCGCCGTAGCGACGAATCGGGAGACTCTGTTCGCTAGCACGTGCTGAGACTATTATTATTATTATTATTATTATATATATATATATATATATATATATAAACATATATATATATATATATATATTTATGATCCCGATCCAACTACTCAAAACGCAACCCGGGCGCTTTCACCTCAGAGTATCCCGTCTCGTCTCTTCCGATCCTCACCGGCAACTGCGGCGCTTAAACCCTAATCCCTAGGTAAGCATGGATCATACTCGACGCTTTTATGGATTGGAGTCTGAATTCGTATTGTTTTTGATGATTGGACCCCTGGATCGGGTCTTTTATTTCCTTTTTCTTTTGGCTGTTGGCGAATTCGAATTACCTTCTTCATTTATTCTGGTTCTCGTGGCTGTTCACGCTGTCTGGGGAATTGTTGGGGGAATTTTCGCGTTGATGGGTAGGGGTTCTGTGATAGTTGTATTCGTATTAATGTTTAAGGGTTAGGGTTATTTTAGTGCGCAGTGACTGACTTATTTTGCATTGATTTTCCTGTACTTCTGTTATCCATTTGCAACTTGTCGTTAGTTATAGCTCCATACTTCTTTGCAAAGCTTACCGGACGTAGATCGCTTACATCTTTTAAGAAATCTTGACATGCTTGTCGTAAGTGAAACTGTTTTTTAATACCTTTTATATTGATGAACAGGTCTATGAGGTTTCGTACATCTTGATCAGGGTGACTTGAGATCCTTGTTTGATAAATTGCACCGGTTGAACAGTTGGTTGGTCTTTTGGTTACCTGACCCATCCTGCAGTATGCCTGCAATCAAAAGATTATATGATGCCTGTAAAATGTCGTTCTCTGATAATGGACCCATATCTGCTGAAGCTCTTGAATATGTGCGGTCTGTTTTAGGTGAGATCAGTAGTTTCACTATAACTTTTTGTCTGCTAGCCTTTGATAAAAAAAGGAACTAACATTTATGGGTGTTGCAAATGCCTGATTGGTACTGATATATGATGGCTTTAATTTTTCTTGAAATTCAATCTTGTTTTAAATGACAAGAATACAAGGCTACTTACAAATATATTGAACTGAAATAATCCGTCAGTTTTTGAGGGCAATGTACCTTTTCTGAAAGTCGATAAAGTTCTCCTCATGTTAGCAGATGACATGTGCTGAAGTCCGATGTATTGAATTGTTAAATATTTTCTTCCTTAGAACATCTTAGTTACATGATGTTAATAATGCCATAATATCTGGCATTTTATAAATGGGTCATATTTCTAAGTTGCAAGTAGATGTTCTACTACAGCATGTGGTAAACCAGTTGTTGCTAGAATTTGTTGTTTTATATATGCTTGGTCGGGTGGTGTAAGTCTAGCTTCCTGTAACCAAAATAACTAGTTAATCAAGTTTACATGCATTCTGTTTTTTCATATTCTATGTTTTCTGATCATGAAATATGGTTCTACGAGATAACTATGGATCTAGAATTTTTTTTTTCACTACTAATTATCACCTTTTAGATCCACCCATTTCTGCTTTCTGCATCCAGTCCCAGCACCAGTCACTAATAAGGAAGCCACTGAGTTTATCCTCATTTATCAGCTATAACTACATCGATATGTGTGGAATAGAATTACCACTGGTACACATAACATGATTACAAATATGTTTTGGATGCTTTTGTAGATCCTTTTTCTATGTGGTTAATTTTATCTAGTTATTTGCAGATAAAATATAGTTTACGTGCAAAAATAATCTTTGGAAGAAGACATTGTAATGTTTGGTTGCGATTACAAGCTCGTAGCAGATTCATCTTCTTATTGGCCAATTTGGTTGTTCTTTTGTACTAACTTGTACAAGTTTAGAAGTCCTTGAAACTAGTGTTCATGAGTATTTATGAATCATTGTTGGGTGGTTGACCATTTTGCTGGTAAAATAATCTCATTATTCTTTAAAAATTTCATTCAATGCTCATCCATCTTAAAGGAAACCAAAATGCTTTTATAGCTAAACATCTAAGAATAAAACAACCGATCCAACTTCTGATTATGCCTGGAGTCTATCGCTGCTACTTTGATAACTTTGTAGTAAGCAACAATATTGGACAGAAAATAAAGGAGTTATCTTGATGTTAGAACTACAGTAAGCTATTAACAATACCACATGTCAAATAGATGAAGACGTAACATGCATAACTAACATAACAACAAAAATATTTTTCATGTTGATATGCAACCCGGTGATATTCATAGTCTCTTATCATATGACAAAACTGAGAGATGATCACTCTATAAAATTCACTACCATTTTCTGTCGGTCTCACTACACAAAAATAGATAGGCTTATGTCTTGATGATTGTTACCTTCGACCGATAATAGGAAGAGGTTGAGTACTGGGGGTTTGGATTTGGTTGATATGGATTGTTTTGACCTCCACCAGCACCTATTCTCATAACAGATACCAGGTGAAATTGTTGGGGTTCACATCCTAGCCCATCACTACAAGCCTGAGTATTAAGCCAATGGATTATAACATAAAGATATTGGTGGAAGCACATAAACTTGTATGGACTAACCACTTTGATTATTACTTCTGAAATTGTTTAACAGTGGACACTTGGGTTGTCTGAGTTCCTTCTATTCTGTAACAGGCTATTCTGTTTGTTATTATCGTATTAACACACTCTTTCGGTATCATATTTTCATAACTGAAGAATATGCCTATTGACATGCTTCTGATATCATATTTCATAAACAAAGAACATGATTGGAATATGGAATGATCCACGCACAACAAAAATATTGTTTGTCAGAAGAGACTATTAAACCAATTGACGCAATAACTAAACTACTTTAGTTCTGACCAGATCAGGAAAGGAAAGCCTCGCCTACATGGCAAGTTTGATCAATTGGGAGAGCAGAGGCTGAAAATATATACTATTTTGAGCCCTTGATTAGAAGCTCCTAGTTGTCCTATAAAATTTTCCATTACAATGGTAGTCTTGCCATGTCATTCTCTTAATTGGCAATGTATAAGAAGCTTGGTGTTTTGTCCTACCGACTCATCTGGTTAGTTTTTCCTTTTGACATTGCTTCCCACAGTAGAATTTCTCATTCCTTCCCTTCTCAAATTCAGGAAAATTTTGCAGGATTGCCCCATGATTGCTTGAGCTTAAATTGCAATGGCTAAGATCAAGCTTTCCATTTATTAGCCAGCCTTTTACATTCTGTGGAGGTCCTTTTTTTCATCTTTGTTTGTTATGAAGTAGAAATTTTATCTATTTTATCTGCTTGTTTTCTCTGATTGTAGTTATTTGTGCTTCCTGATCATTCACCTAATTTTGATCTTGTTACTGAGCAGTAAACAGAAGTTCCTCTTTTTATTGGATTCATGTGAAAAATTGTGAGTTTTTTCCTGTAATCGATATATGTGATGCTTCAACCATTTTATTGCTTTGTACCATGTGTGACATGTCGGATTTCAACCATTTACCTATTGTTTTGATCTATGATTTGTAGGTTTTTCTACCATTCTTCAAGATCTTGCAGAATGCTTTGACATATAATTCAAAACTTTTTTCTTTTTAGTTGATTGTTGTGTTACTATCATGCATTTCTTTAGTACCTGATAATTTCTGTGGGTATAAGTAGGGCATATAACTTTGAAGGCCTTCAAATAGTCAATTATGGATGTATATTTAGCTTGAATCTTAAGTACTTGTTTGAATAAAATTCTGATTTGTTACTGTGATAGTAAATGAAAGAATTTATGGCTCCTGGGGTCTCAAGTATCTGGGAGCACATGCTTGCTGTTGTGTATGTGTTGGTTGCTACATTAGATTAGGTTTTCCAAATGGTAACTATTTTCCGACTTTCTAGAATGACCAAATTGGTTCATTTGTATAAATCATGTCATATGCATGTATATAGCTGCTCCTCTGGGTGGCTTATTTCCGTGCAAGAAAATCTCCTTTTCAATTTTAGCTTCTTCCAATTCTCACTTTTACTTTTCCAGATGATATTAAACCTTCTGATGTGGGACTTGAACACGAGGCTCAGATAGCACGAGGATGGAAAGTTTCCATGCATGGTACAAATGGGAGAAAAGGGCGTAATGGGAGTAACCAATATCCACCTCCTATCAAATATCTACATATACATGAGTGTGAAAGCTTTTCTGTAAGTACTTGATCATTTGCTAGAGTATGTTTTATCTAAGGTTGTTATCGGCTTGATATACTGCAGCCTTTTGAACTCATCCTAAATATCTCTGTTTTGTTCTCCTGGACAGAATGAAGTCCAAGCTATCTTTTTAAGAATGACTTATTACCATAAATATCTTTTAGTGATGCTGTCCAGGTTGTTCTCTAATTATGATGCAGATTGGGATATTTTGCATGCCACCTTCATCGGTTATTCCACTTCATAACCATCCAGGAATGACTGTGCTGAGCAAGCTTCTATATGGGACAATGCTTGTCAAATCATATGACTGGATTGATACAGAAGAACCCATCGATCCATCCAAAGGTATGTGCCATTTGTCCTCTAGATTTTGTTTCCCATTAGCCATTTCAAAAAGTCAGTGCTTGTTTCACTAAATGTAGGCTCTTCTTCTCGAGAGATGCTTTGGAATGAATGTTTGCTTCTTTTCTATTACAAATAAAAGATGTAATAGAAATTAAAACAGCTAATTATCTTCAACATTTTTTGGTAAGAGAAGTCTAGAAACATCTAAAATTATCTAGAGGCTGATTTTGCATGATCTGGTAACTTAATGATTATAATAAAGATATGTTGGACTCCATATTTCATCAGCATTAATGATATAATCAATGCTTTGTTCATATATAAGAAACGAGACTTTTGTGCGATTCAATTTGCTGGCTTATTTATGCTAGGCAGGCATGGTACGGATGGTAACAGTCCAGATGTCACAATCTGTATCATGTGAAAGTAGATAATTTCGACAAGCACAGTTAAACCTGAAGATTGATGAAAAGGATGTGCAAGATGTATCAATTTCAATAAGGTGTTTTAGAATAAAGCAAAGATCATAATACAACACTTACTACATGATACATTTCTTTTGATTATCGGTGAAACATATAAAGGCATAATTTTGAAAAGTAATTTCATTATAACTTAGAGTTTACTCATCAAGACTTGATGGTTATTTGATAGATAAAATAGTAGAACTGCTCTGTTATCAATGACAGGTTATGCAACATTTATTCTTGACTAAGTGAGACAAAAAGGACATCTAGTCTCTTTATTAACAAACTGGTACTGGAGAATGATTTCATATTACAGAGAGGCGAATATGTGTCATTGTCAAAGATTAGGCTAACTAAGTAACTATATGGGAAAATGAATCTAGAAGTAAATTACTCAAAATCATATTTCTGTATGATATACATCCTTTCCTATGGTGTGGAAAATCTTCAGGACAAACTCAAAAGCATGACTTCCCACTTACATGAAGGATAAAGATGTATCGGATTCATGATTTCTGATGGAAATTGTTTCTAGTGTTGAGATTTGTTGAAAACAATATCACTAGTTAAACAAGAGCCACCAATTTTCTTTTTTGTTATGGTTAGTAAAGCATTCTTAGGTATTCCACGACGTCTTATTTTGCCACTAGTCTAAATAGGATTGCCTTGTCAAACTGGTGCATTTATGGGTCTGCGTTGGATGTCTTTGTTTGTTGTATCATAACAAATTCCATAACAAGGTTGCTAGCTAACTGGCAAATATTATGAAGATATTTTTGTGCTGGCTAACTGGCTAATATTGTGAGGATATTTTTGTGCTGGATAACTGGCAATTTTTGTGAGGATATTTTATTTTTACTCAGTTAGGATATTTGAGCTTTAAGCTTGTCTTCGATATTCCAACTTCATATGTAAATTGATCTTCCGATGAGCATTTTTTCTGAGGAACAAAGCTCAAAAGGACCTAAGATAATTAGATGAACTATTCTATGAAAACATCAAATTATGTTGAATATGAGATGCTAATCTGCGTGGAAGCTTTTGAACTATCAGAAGAGTATGCCTAAGATGGCATTGAGGCTTTAAGGGTATGCCTTCTAAAATGCTACTCTTTCTTTCTTTCTAGGTTTATAATAAGAGAAAGAAGCTGAACTTTGCAATTTTCTCCATATCCTTCATGACCCCTTGATTTATTTGATCTGTATCTTGGAATGATTAGGAGATAAGAGGAATAAGTTTCAAATCTCAGCCATAGCAGCAAAACAGAGGGATAATATGATCATTGATTTGAAGGGCTGCTTTGAAATTTGAAGATTCTACTTGAGGATGAATACATCAGACTATCAGAGGTTGACAGATAATAAAAATGGTCTCTTTTTTTTATCATTTCTATGACTTACTCACTTTATATGAAGGTCAATGTCTGAAGCTTTTTGCATGACTAATTCAGTATTGAGTCTTTCTTATCCTTGTAAAAGATGGACCATGCTCTTTGACGCATCACCAATATTTTTTCTTTGTGACTTGTTTGGGCCGATATATTTCATACATCATTGTTCTTTTTATGCTGATTCCATCAGGCTCTATTTCATTGTTTCCTTATCTAATTTATTCAAGCAACCCTTAGTTATGTAGACTAATTATAATTTCATGTATTTTTTTGTTGAATTGTTGGCTTTACAGAAGTAGGGCTTTAGTACCATTAGTTTCATTCGACAACTACATCCTAATAAACATAAGCCATCTTATTGTTTTCCAGCTAGACCAGCAAAGCTTGTTAGAGATGATCAAATGACTGCACCTTGTGGGACAACAATCCTTTATCCTACAAGTGGTGGCAACATTCATTCTTTCAAGGCAATAACTCCTTGTGCTCTCTTCGATGTTCTATCACCCCCATACTCATCAAAAGATGGGCGACATTGCTCTTATTTCAAGAAGTCAAGAAAAGATTCATCCGGTATAATTTTTATCGAATATGCCTTTCTTTTTGCTGATGACCATACTGAGCTAAGGCCTAGTTTTTGTTTTTATATGATTTCATTGAAGGTGTTTTGCCTAGTGGAATAAAGGCTTCAGATGTGATTTGGTTGGAAGAGTGTCAACCACCGGAAAGTTTTATCGTCAGAAGAGGGCCGTACAAGGGCCAGATCGTCAATAGTTGATGATATCAGTCCACTGTAATATAATTCAGAGTGGCTCCTTTAGCAGGGGGAGGGAAGCATTGGCTGTGGATCTCTTTAGTTGCTGTCATATGATTTTTTTCTGAAGCTTTTTTTTTCCCCAAAATAATGACTCCTAATGTATATTGTAGTCAGGAAGCTTGTTGTACATCACTAGATATCTGGTATAATTTTTCTTGTTCAAAATGCATGAAGCACAAAAGGTGATTGTTGCTGTGGTTTGCCCTTTTACCTGCAGGACGGCATTCTTGTTTGATGTTTTCTTTCCCTGTTTCAGGTGATACGTATGGTTTTATCTGCTGATCATCCCTAGTATTTTGATCAGGATCTCAAATCTCTGTGACAATGCAGCGGATCTTAGCTACATTGTGATGGATTGTTGACGTTCCACATTAACATCTGCAAGCAGCTTCCGTGGTGGTTTTTCTCTTGAAGAATGACAATGCCTTTCTGACCTATATATAGGTCATGTGGTTAATGGCATGAAATAGTAACTTATCCGTTATTGTGTTGGTATATATTTATCCGTTATTCTTTTCCATTTGTTTGTGCTCATCCTGTAGTCTGCAAATCATTGTATGATCAATGGGTTTTACATTGCTTGTTCAAAGCTCAGCACTTCACTCTCCCAAAACACTTATCACAAAGGGGTTGGCAAAATTTTGTGGTGGTCTAATCATCCCTCTTCTCTCAATATGGTTTCTTTGCCTTCGTTTGTGATTTTGAGTATACAGCCGTGGTAGGGATTTTTCCAAGCATTAATACTGTATTGGTCGGAGCAAGGCTGATATGAAGACTTTTCCAAAGGTGTGCAGCTTATGTTATATAAAGATCATTGTTCAGCATCTATGACATTCTTCGGTGAAGCCTGGATCACGTGCTTTGTTTCGAGGGCATGTCATGCTTCTATGCTGTGACAATAGACTGTTTAGTCGATCATTACATGGAAATCTTCTTGTATGGTAAGTGATCCATTTGCATGGATTTGGTTGTCTACAAATTAAGCCATTTGCAGTGTGTGTACGTGCAATTAATTCTTTATATGAAATGTTGCAGGCGGTACTTGGGAAGCAAACCACAAGCGTCGGACCTCGTCTTCCTCTTCATCGTCAGCTTGGCTGCCATGGCTGCTTTCCACAAATTATATCCCCTAGGGATCGGAGAGACTGATTCCGTCGTTGACCTCCAGCCAACGTTGCAGAGGGATCCTCACTCGTTGGCTCTATATACATATGAAGGTGAGTTTACTATCATTGTCTTGGTTTTAATATTATTTTAAAACATATGATTTAGATTTTAATTAGATTAATTATTTAAGTAATTTATTCATCAAACCAAATTATGATAATCATACGACTTTTCTAGTACTAAAAAGTTATACTAAATCGAAATATTGTGTCTTTACTACAATGGTACAAAGAAATCGTACCAACTCTAATTTTCATAAAATTTGTAACTATAACATTTCTTTGTGACATAACGTGGAAACAACTTTTCTAGGAGACATTAAGTTATATTAAAATCTTATGTTTCCAAAATGGTATGAAAAAGAAATGCAATCCTGAACATTATCACTCACATTTTCTTGCAAAATAAGGTTTATCGTATGTTTTTGTTTTTAAACAATGTTCATAGGACTTATTTAATGTTAAAATTGCTAAATTATTATGGTAAATTGAAATTTTATGTTTTTGAATTTGTGCAATGAAAATCATGTAAATCTTCTACTTTAGTTAAATTTTATGATTGTCATGTTTTTTTTATAAAGACACGTATGACTTCTCTAGTGCTAAAATATTATACTCTAGTCAAAATTCTGTGCAACCCTCTCTTGTAACTATATTAAAGCCATTCTTCGTGCAAGGAAATTCCAAATGCAAAATCAACTCTACCAAATACACCTATTGCTCTTCAGTGTTTTCTTTATGTGTATATTCTCTCCTTTTTTTTTATGTGCATGTCTAATTCTTTGTCACCCTTCCACGATTCCGATAGCAAATGCTTCCATGTTATGATTTGCCTTTCAAGTCTACAAATCACCACTCTCATTATAATATTAAGTGACTGTCACAGATGCATCTCCCTTGAGATGAGGATGATCACTTGCATGGATAGTGAGATCTGATGCTTACTCCTATAGTTCATCTTTGTTCATGGGAAGCTCCTTTCTTTATACGTAGTTTGACTGGTTTTTGTGATAGTTGGACAACTCATCATCCTATATTTAGCAGCAACAACATGTACAATTGGTAACCACATGAGTATAGTAAGTTTCAAGACAACCTTATGTTTCAGTCCTCAACTTGTACCCTTGGCATACCTTAACATGAACCAGATTAATTCCCCGTCTTTACACTCACAGTGAGATTAAGCTCAGAGTTTAAAGAAACCCCAATAGAAGTCACTATAAAAATCTCTCAAAAACTGCACATAGGCCTCTGAAATCGGTCAACTAAAAGTTCCTTTCAACATGGAGAAGGTAGCAAGATAAATGCTCAGCCTCTAAATAAACTGGTGTGTGGTACTAATGGTGTGATGGAGGTGGGATGAACCCTAGAAAAGGAAAACGACAAGACTGACTGTTTACTCTTTATGATCTTCTTCTGCTTCTTGTTTTTTTAATTACCAGTGTATAGTTTAAAGCAACACAAATGATTAAAAAGTAAGCAGGCTAGATGGCAATCATGTCTTTCCATGCTTCAATCATCAAGAAAAAGTAAGATGCCCTTTTGAGATAGTTTTATCATTTCTATGTGGAAAAGTGAGCATTTGATTGAAGCAGTGAGACAACTTTGCAGTTTTTTTATGGAGGAATCTCTGCATTTGACAGCTCCCATTTACCCTTCACTCTCATCTCAGCCGAGGAAGGAGGCTGCCTGGGAAGCAGCCGAAAGATATCTCTTTGAGTTGGGCTGCTTCTGCTGAGCACTCTTCCTGGGGTGGTTGTCGCACACAAGGACTCGGTTCTCAGGCACAGAAAAGAGTAGCCTCTTGGTGAATGAAAGGACCTTTTTAGATCATACCGTCACGAACAGGTCTCGCGCCATGTTCATGCATCAGATGATTCAGTTTGGACCCATCCAGTGATGGGAGAGTCGTCTTTGTTTGGTACCAACAAGATCATAAAGGTGAGGGAAGAAGAAAAAGCCAATCCTTTGTGTAGGACCAAAAAAGATGCAGTTTTCTGATGCTAACCACACTTGTCTGCAATCTTTCTTGGTTCAGTACAAACAAATCCCATTTACTCCCACATGCCTTGATGTCTCCCCTGTGGATCACAACCCCACAGACTGGTGCTGCAATGAATCCAGAGTTGAAGCAATGATACTGTGTGCCCTCTTTGATCACCAGGAGGGTTGCACGTCGGGCTGAGCTCAAGGATATATGAATACCTTTTCCCCCACATGAAATGACCATAAAGTAGTGTTACCTCCACCACAAATATTTCCCAAGGTAAGTTATGAGAGTGCAGAATGCAGTGTGTGTCATTTGCACCCACCAATAATGGTGGAAATTTCGTAGAAAAGTTCAGTCCCTCACTTCCAAAGTGGTGTTTCGTCAAACGAGCTTACTCTTTGTTGCTTAGTTTGGGGTGGTGACCTTTCATCGCTTGAGGTGAAAAAGGACAATAAATAAAGAATGAAGCCTTTCCTCGCCCTTTATTGGCTGTTCCATTGGCCCCTTTACATATATCCATTCTTCTCCGTCTCCTCCTCCTCCTCCGATCCCTCTCCATATAACTCTACGGAGTGCTGCTTTCCCCTTCTCCTCCTCCTCTTATTCTTCTCGGTATAATCCTACAAAATATTCTTCTTCTCCTCTCGCGATGGCAGAAGAAGACGAAGCAGCAAGCTTCAAGCTTTTCGGAACGGTGATTCTGAAGGGGGAAAGACAGGTCAAGGAGGAAGAGGAGGCCGCGCAGGTGGCGTCGGGGCCGGGTGGGGCGGCTGAGGCGGCGGCGAGGGTGGCGGCGGCTCTGCCGTGCCCGAGGTGCAAGAGCAGGGAGACCAAGTTCTGCTACTTCAACAACTACAACGTGAACCAGCCGCGGCACTTCTGCAGGGCCTGCCACCGCTACTGGACCGCCGGCGGCGCCCTCCGCAACGTCCCCGTCGGCGCCGGCCGCCGGAGAGGCCGCCCCGCCCACCGTGGCGTCGGCGTCAGCAGCGGCGGCGGCGTGCTGGAGCGCCCGCCGCGGGAGCGTTTGGGCGGGGAAGCAGCGGAGCAGTGGCTCCTGAGGCCGCAGGCTCCGGCGAGGGTTGACCCAGGCTTCGACAGCGGGGGGCTTCGTTGACTTTCTTTCTATGCGATTACAGCGTGCTCCTCGCACGGGAAAAAGGTTTCTCTATATGCCTTGGCCGGCCTTTATGAGTTGTATTTGCACGACTATAATTGCAGTGCGATTCCACATAGAAAACCTTCTATTTCTTGGCCTTTAACATCTTATTTTTTATGTCACTTTTTTTGCAAACTCCAAATTCTTAAAATTATTTAAATCTGATTCTATCTCAAAATATCCTCACAAATTTTAGATCATATCAGATTCTTTTGAAAAATTCAAAGATTACAATTTCGATTGCTAGTCTATGATTTGCGTCCATATACCAACACACCATACCTTAATAATAATACATGATAATAAAAGAAAAATGAGAAGGTGATGGAATACCAACATGCCAACGATAATAGGTCAAAAGAACAAAAGAAATAGATGATAGACGATCCTACGATCATTACAAGATGCATGCAAGAGATCATCCTGCATGCCTCCTAGAACACAATTAGGATGATATCATCAGACTCTCAATTTCTTATAAATGAGATATTAGAAACACATGAGATATATTCACATGCCAATTCACTTTTGGTTAAATTGTGCTCCTTTCTACATCTACAAAAAAATAAATATGAAATCTATATGCATGTATGCTGATATAAAGAAAACAACTAAAAATATTCAATATCTGATACTGATGAAGCCTTGGTTAAGGGATTGCTTTCCATGCCTGGTTAGCTGGGAAAGCTGCATTGGTTCTTCCTTGGACCAAAAAGTCATAAAGGAAGATTGTCCTATATGATGAGGATAATTATTAGGGATTGTGGAGGGACACCATCACCCCACAGCCTGCAAATTTTTCTCATAGGATTTGAGGTGTGCTGCTTAGCTCGGTCAACAAGACTTGTATTTAGCATACCTATGTAGTCAAGCAATGGGAATAGTCTCTTCATGATTCTGTCCAAATAAGATCAGACTTGCTAATTAATATCCAGAGAATAAAGCACAGTTTGGTTTGGCTTTCTAGTAATGAAGCCACATAACAAAAAAAACTTGATTTAGTTGGACAACAGTCATCATCAAGAAGAAGAAGAAGAAGAGATTCACCTCAGAATAATTATCTTTGACATATATAGTCAACAATAAGACAATGCTGTTCATGTTGATTAATTCACCTCAGAAACTTTTTATACATCTGATGTGTGTGGGATCCACACACACAGGCCTTGAAAAGAGTCTTGAGGTGCAACATCATCATAAACAATGATTTAGTCAACCTAAACAGCACAGATCAGTTAGATAGACACATCAGTTATGCATGGATATGATGGCTTGAGATTATAATTGTATTGGGAATCTAAATGTTGTTTGCATGGATGGATAGATGCATCCAAAGATGTTATTGACATATAAAGCAGCATGCTGTGGTAATCAATATAGATACACAAGTAAATTAGCATTTATTTATCATATTTGAACTAAACTTTATTTAATCCACCAACCTGGGGGAAGCCAAAGCAGAGAAGATATCAAACTGCTAACAGGTTCCAGTGTCATGCTCAAAACATATCTGCAGAATGGAGTAAAAAATTTGGGACACAATAAAGACAATCAGAATCCCAATTCTCAGTTTCTAAAGTCATGTACAAGAATTAATTTGGGACAGCATAAAGACAATCAGAATCCCAATTCTCAGTATTAAAGTCATGTACAGGAATTAATGTCTGTCTGAACATGCACTAATTAGAATATTCCTTTGATAGTACAAAGTAGTATGTCATCAACATATATGCCCATTAAATAGATGTCAGCAGTTATGAGAACATCAACTATTTACCAAGTGCAAGATCTTAAATGTTGTCTTTCTCAACAAAAATAAATTTTAATTTCTGCAGGAGACAGGTGATTACAGTGTCGAGTGTCGTCTGCAACCCAGGGAATCATCACGATTAGCTCCTTCTCTCAACTACATCCAGCGCATCCTGAATAGCTTGGACGAATGTAGCAACTTTGTAGGTGAAAAACCCAACGAGCATCGGTATCAACTCCAAGTGCATGAAGCCATAATCTGGTACTAATATCCTGTTTTATAAAGAACGAATCACAATAATTGCTATTGCAGATAACTCAAATTTTACTAAAAAGAAAACCCCATGAATGAATATGGAACGCTTCAAAAGTTTGAAGTGCAAAGGCTTCTCGAAGTATGCTCGTAGATGGATCAAGTGTTTTTTTTTTTCTAGTCTGGATACTTACTCATTCCACCTATTATACATCATTACTAGTGCAACCGGAACCAGCAGCCTTGGTTGTCCAGCAGCTCCCCTGCAGACACACGTCTTATTCATATCAAGCCGTAGAAAGAAAAAATACCAACACTCCTATATATTATGGTGGCCAACAACATGCAAAGAGGTTCTAACGAAAAGGGGATTAACTTCTGGTGATTATCTTTTCGTACACTTCTGGTGGCCCACAACAAGAACCAGCTTCATGTAAAAGGGTTTCACAACTTGCTCTCAATTTGCAACGTTATAAGAACCATCAGCACATTAGAACACAAGAACAGTGTATATTAACCACCTTAATATTATACAAGACACCACAAAGAGATATCTATAAGCAGCCATTAAAATGCAATATTACATGCATTTAATAGAGATGGATTTGTCAACACATGTAGAGAGACATAGCAATTTCCTACTCATGCAATATGGTGCACGAGATCATCCTGTTGCTTTCCTCAATTATTCCTAAAACTGTAAGTTCAAAAAAGAGATATTACAACACGTAGGTTTGTTCCATCATATAAACGTCTACCAGTTGCAGCTAGCTTGAATCAGAAGACATGCATACGCTAAGTAGACACTCTTATCAGCTGGTCATTCAAGAAAAGATCACTTCCTATCCATGGGAAGTTTAATCTTTAAAACATAGTGAATGTTATCTGCTAAAATTTCCATGGCGAGTTATTTCATGTTAAGGTTCAGTCATATATCATCTTTTGACATGACTAGAGGTTGATTCTGTTGCAAAGGATTGAAGAAGGCCTACTATTTGCAAGAAAACATTAGACCAAGAAAAAAATTATAAATTAAATGTATATAGCATAAAAAGTTTTCAGATAAGATTGATTCAACTGGAAAAAACATTTCGCATGCAAATCCACCAGCGATCCATCGTGTCAGATGTTGATAACATTAGATTCTTTTTTGGTCATCATTCAAAGTGATGCATTGTCGTATGAGTTCCTCTAAGAAAAATAGTAATAATCAATTAAAGGGTTGCAACTCATACTTGACAAACCCTTTTGCGCCATTTGCCATTGAATCAATGGTATTGCCTAGCATGCGTATATACGCCAAAGAACCAAGCAACCCTGCACCAAAGCTGAAGAAAGGAAGAAAAACACTAAATTTTTCTGATATGACAGGAAACATTTTCCTAGAGAAGTGAAACTAAAGGGAAAAAGAAAAGGGATTAACATAATCTCAATTGTTAGCACCATTAGCTTGAGAGAAGAAAGAATTACTTGTGAATAAATGAGTGATCAAGAGATACAAGGTGCTTGAATGGACAACCATGTTATCATGATGTATCCTGAAGAGGTTTCCGAAATATCCTGATGTGATTCAAAATGTTATCACAGTAACTTTGATAGAGTAAGGAAGAGAGCTGTTACCGAATGAGTAATTAGAAGAGGAAAGGAGCATGAACAGGATAATGATGCACTCCAATGTAATTCCAGATGTTATCTAAATGAGTTTAAGAGAAGAAAGAAAAAGAAAAAAATACTGGCTAAACAAGTGATTGAGGTATATAAGGTTCATGAACAGATCATTGGTGCACTAATAGGATCCATGCTTTACTAATGGTCATGCTTCAAATATTTTTCCCTAATGCTTTAGAATAGCAAAAAGAGATAACTCATCGACAAAGTAGCCTACGATAATTGCATTTGTCAATAACATACTCTAGTACCTGGCTGCAATTTCAGGAGAGTAGGAAAAGTATGCAGAGACAACTCCGATGCCACCAATACTGACAGTGAGAATTTGTAGCTTCCGTTTCAACTGCAAAAGGATGAAGAACGATTGATTTCTTCAGTAACAACTAACAACTTCTAACAAATATCTTAGCGTGCATCAGGGAACTCTCCAGGGCTTAACACAAGACTGTTTTTTATGCCTTCCAAAATAGTATCGGCGTATACGTAACAGTAAGGAGGATACCTTAATATACTGCTCTTGTGATTGGGCTGCTAAGACCTTGGGATCCCCATGAGCCCTCTTTGATTCTCGTAAAATAACATCCTACAGCATTTTACAAGTTCTGAAAAAATCATCTAATAACAAGGACCGATTGTAAAAGCAAAGCAAGCTATCCAGTTTTGGTTTTACTTCAGACTGATCTATGTGTCTATCATGCAAACGAAGCCAACCAAGGACTAAAAGAAATATAAGCTAGGGCTTGATGCTTGCAACTTACAAGAAAACCAAGACACCTGAAAGGCTGCAAATATAAATTATACAACCAGCTCACACAATTCAAATTGTAATGAGAATTAGAACAACAGTAGAAATAGTTTGCCTGCAGATCTCCAGTGTCTACTCCAAGCTTCAAAACCAAGTAGTATCCATGATGAGAAACTAAGAATATCGATAACTTACACTGCCACCGGTGGCCGCCTTACTCGCTCTATCCCACTTTGCTTGCTCCCTCCGAGTAGGGACCAACCTCCACCTCGGTGATGCAGTATCATTCGTGCCCTACGTAAGAGAAAGATTTAGCTCAATCATTCAATTGTTTAGACTACAAGCCACTCTTAGCATCAGATTCCCTACACTGCAGCAACAAGTTAGATCAAGAAAACCTACTTCGGTTGCCGAAAGGCCATTCCTCGCGGCCTCTACCTGCTGTTCCAACACCGGCTTCGGTGGCGGCTTCAGCTCTTCGCTCAAGTCAATCTCTATGCTGGAAATTGTCATATTTATTCCCAAATTAATCGATGCAACCAAACAAAAAGCATAGATTTGAAATCAGAGAGGAACAGAGGATTAGAAATATCAAGGAACCTGTCGAGACTCAGAGCTCGATTGAGGCTAAGGAAACCTGAATCCGGCTCCTTCTGCTTCAAATGAAGGTAGAATCAGAAATTGAAAGCAGAGAAACTTCCATTGAGGAAAAAGCCTTGACGATTGCAGGGATGAATACCAGCGAAGGAACAGGATTGGGGGTCGCCTGGTCTTCGTCGAGTAACTGCTGCATGCGGCCGAGGAACTCCTTGTTCCAGATGAAGTCATCAGTGGCGGTCACGGGATCCTCGTCCCCGCCGCCCCAGTACTTCCGGAGCTTGGTGGTGGTCGGAGGGCCGCCGTACTCGCCGGGGGCGACGCCGGTGGACCACTTGAGCGGCTTCTTCTTGGGGAGGACGACGCGGGCGGGGAGGGAGGGGGACGGGTCATCGACCGGAGAATCCGCCGCCGAGCGTACGACGGAGCGGAAGGCGGCGCACGCGGAGGCGTTGAGGGCGGCCATCGTCGTCTCCCGTCCACTGCCGTGCCGCTCCCGACCCAAAATGTGACGACACGTCGTGCGACGCCCTTCTTGATCTATACGCGAGACGGCAAGTGGGGTCCGATCCGCCAAAGCCCGTTGTCTCGCCGGTGATTGGGTGGGTACGAAGTCGGGTGCAAGACAAATATCTGGCTGGGACACGCATCGTGTGTCAGTTCTCCGACCATATGTTGGCCATCAATATCTGGACGGTGAGGTGGATCCATTGGCGATGACTTGGTGGGCCGGCATCAACCGGCCCAAATAAGTATGTCGTCATATGGTATGATCTCATTTAATCTTGTCACGGCACGTCACTTTTAATGACGAATTAATTAGATCAGAGTGATTATTAATCTTGTTTATGGTATGTATTAATATAAAAATAAATAATATAATTTGAATATGATAAATTATAATTCTTATTTGTCTATCATAATTCTTAGGATGTAATTTGCATTTGTTATTGTTAGTTGGAAAAGGGTCGTCCGTTTTCTCATCATGCAATCCACCGGAGCCGTTGGATCACACGGCTCTTCACCATCAATCATGAAGCTGGGTGCTGTCGACGACTATAAATGTATGCACGGCAGTTCTTCGCTGTTCTGTGGTTCGTATTGGCGCCGATCCGAAGCCCAGAAGAGGGGGGGAGAGAGAGATCGAGGCAGAGCCCCGGTTGGATCGGCAATGGCGTCGCAGAAAGAGCGCGAGAGCTTCGTCTACATCGCCAAGCTGGCGGAGCAAGCCGAGCGCTACGACGGTAGGTGTTTGATTCCCGTGATCTCGAACGCTAGGGTTTCCATCGGTTAGGGTTCTTGCCGCCTTCCCACCCGATCCGTTCTGTTGGCGGCAGAGATGGTGGATGCGATGAAGAAGGTCGCGAAGCTCGACGTGGAACTCACCGTGGAGGAGCGGAACTTGCTCTCGGTGGGCTACAAGAACGTGGTCGGCGCAAGGAGGGCTTCGTGGAGGATCCTCTCTTCGATCGAGCAGAAGGAGGAGACGAAGGGCAACGAGCACCACGTGAAGAGTATCAAGGAGTACCGCCACAAGGTGGAGTCGGAGCTCTCGAACATCTGCGCCGACATTATTGCCCTGATCGACGAGCACCTCATCCCCTCGACGTCGGCCGGGGAATCCTCTGTCTTCTACTACAAGACGTTAGTCGTGTATAAAATAATCCTGATTCTGTTCTGCGGATCTTTATGGTTTTGGGTGGTCTAATTACAGGAAGGCCGACTACTACCGTTACCTGGCGGAGTTCAAGTCTGGAAACGAGAGAAAAGAAAACTCAGAGCAGTCTCTTAAAGCGTATCAGGTCTAGATTTTTGGCTCCATTTTTGTTTCCCAAATCTACATTTGTGCTGTCTATTTTGATTTGTCTGCTCTATAGGAAACTATTTGCATTGCCACAGAGATAGGTGTTTCCGCTAGAACCTGCTTCTGGTGATAATGTTTGCTTGCTGCAAAGTTCATCATTCTTATTCTATGTCTTTGTTGCATGCAATCAAATCCTTACATTTGTCGTTAGGCTGGATATTATTGCTATGAGAACACGATACATGATGAACTTGTATTATTTAAGATGCTTATATCATGATATATTTCTTGGTGGATGATTAAAGTTTCACTTGGTATTAGCTTGACCATGTGTGTGCTCTACCACTGGAGGTATCTCTTTTTCCTGCCAAACTTTTACACAGGAGAACATTTGTAAATTTCTACCATCCCATCTATGACATCTCATAGGATTCTCAGACTGTCCCCTGTTTGGATTTTTTTTCTTTTTAGCATCTGTAGTCTTTGTGTTTTGTTTTCCAGGAGAGATGTATCCATGTTTCATTGACTAACTAGGATTTTGTGCTATCTGCTGTGAATTTAATGTTGCTCTAGTTCGCTTGTTGCGCTTTTTTTCTGAAGCATCAGCTGTAACTGTTTGCAGGCAGCTACCAGTACAGCTGAGGCAGATCTGGCTCCTACTCATCCAATTCGATTGGGTTTAGCATTGAATTTCTCGGTATTTTATTATGAGATCATGAACTCACCTGAACGGTATGGTACATCCTTTTAGAACAGCATTTCAGTTGTGTGTCAGTCGGCTGATTTGTTTTCTTCCTCTTCAAATAACTTCTCAATATGCAGGGCTTGCCACCTTGCCAAGGAAGCTTTTGATGAAGCTATTTCTGAGCTTGACACACTGAGTGAAGAATCATACAAGGACAGCACATTGATCATGCAACTGTTGAGGGATAATCTTACCTTATGGACTTCTGACATCCCTGATGACGGAGGTAATAATTAATAATTTTTAAGTGTTATTCTTGGTGGCATATGAGAGAGCATACTTTCATGATAAGCTAATATTTGCTTTTGTTGATCAGTTTACCATCTTCTAACAAGGAAATTACTTTGTATCATCTAAATATAATTCTTTATCAGTTTAGGATAACAAGATCGTTGTAGATTCTCAAGATATATATTTTTTCATGATTTCTCTTCCTGTTTTGTAAGTTTGGGGTCGTCTCCCATATGGAATTAAATACCAAAGACATTTTAGAACAATTCATTTCAGATTTGGTTCTAGTTACCCAATTAAATCATTTGTAGGTTAGAAAACTATAACTCGGTACAACAGTGTTAATGAATATGAACGTGAACATGGTTTTAGTTTTGTCTCCTAAACTCAGATTATGACGACCATCATTTTATGGTCAAATATAGAGATGAATCCAGTTTGATCTTAATTGATACAATTCTATTGCTAAGATATGTAAATCCAATAGGTATAAATGCATATGAAATAATTCATGGTTAAGTAATTTATAATCAGCATAAATTGCTATGTTATTGACAAAGTTTTCGTCTTACTGAAGAAAGGTATACAAGAACCATAGTTTAAAGACTATGATGGACCAGCATTTTAATTATAGTTTAAAGACTATAATTGGAGGATCCAGAATTTTAATTATTCGCTATGAAAATACTATGATGGACCAGAATGGTAGAGTACGGTGCATCAAAGATATATTTCACATAACATTTTGTACTGTTTGTGTAATGATCAAATTTGTTACTGTGCTGTTACTTGCTTCTATGGTTAGTATGTCTCGAGGTACTGCTGCCTGCTGTGGGCCATTTGAATTTTCTCTGTAAGAATTCTCTTCCTGTAGATGATCAAACATTTCAGTTAGCATACTTATCCATATTTTTTTTTTTCAATTTTTAGTTGAGCTTATAATTTTGCTCTGTTGATTTGTCTGATGAAATCTTGCTCTTTGTTGTAATCTCTTGTTTACTGTGGCAATTTTCATTCTCGTCGTAATTAATAATGACTTTTACGACTTTTTTATTGTAAGTTACTGTAGCTACCATTTTTATTTCTAAAAGGATTTCTATTGATCTTTTTCCCGTCATTTGAGCAGCAGTAGAAGACGCCATAAAGGAGAGTAATGGGAAGCCTGGTGTGGTCGATGATGCAGAGGTTGGTTTCTTTACTTGCTGAGCCCAATTAACATACCGATTGAATTCAGTCCACATGTTGGTGCAAAATTAGGGACCAAAAGCTGGGAGATAGGTCGCCCTTCCATGGTATGATCATAACACGATGTACTTGGATCCGATCCAAGTGCGTCCTCAAACTCTGGATATTCCACCATTTGGACATGATCCACAACTAGTGGATGCTAAGGCGCATGTTCGTCATGGTTTACCCTAACCACACACGTTACTTAACATTGTACATCATGATATGAGTGAAACTGATATCACGACATGCCATCTGAATTCTGAATATTGGAAAATGGTTGCAGTGAAGAGGGAACCGGGAGGATACGATCATGTGGAGGCAGCATCGTCACCTTGCTTGCTTCTAAAGGGGTTCCAGTTCTTAAATTATCTATCTGTACTCATGTCTTGTTTCGAAAGACTTGAGTTAGGAATTCATCTGAACTTGGATCGTGCATCTCTTTTGGGTAGTGGCTGTGTGGTTGGTGCTTGATGTGTCATTAGTGTCGAGTGTCATTTTTCTTGTTACTGTATCGAAATTCCTGTGATTGGAAAGGTCAGTCGTAGTTTCCAAAGGGCAGGAGTATAAGAAGAGCAGAAAACCAAATCGCTCAGTACAAGGATCGTGCTTATAGAGACACTTGAACTGCCATTGTCGGTGCACGGTGACGAAGACGGATGTCCATTTAATTCCTCGTGTGAGTCTGCACGCACATTGAATAGAATGGTCGGTATTAGTATATCTATCGCACATGAGGATCTTCCTTGCTTTTTGTGTTGGTGGTTTAGTGGGAGATTGATATAATTCATATGCCCTCCTAATATATTGATATCAGATATCAGTCTAACATGCTAGCCTAAGATCGTCGATACGATACACTATCCTGCTTACGTTGGTGTCCCGACTGTTCGATTTTATTATATTCCCCTAACACTAGCACTATCAAATTGGTAGAATTTAAAAGAGATATGGCACATCAATAATTGTTGGCACGTCGATCATTTAAGCCACCATTAAACTCATGGATTTCATTTGATCTGAAGTAACTTTTTAAGTAGCGAGGAGGAACCAACATGATTCTTTGATCTGTGATCTGTGAATTATTTATTTATCCTGTCACGGGCACCGTCCATTAATTTTAGATCATTTGCGAACTAGTAGACCTGATGGACCATAAGGCTCCCAACGTTTTTCCTTGGTGTCGCATTGCAAAAGCCGATGCAGAGAGAGACAGAGTAGCGCAGTCCTGCAGCAGATGCTTTGGACCGGTGTGGAAACAACTCGACTTTAATTCAAAAGCATGGCTCAGAACACGACCACTATCGAAGCCGCATTATGACAAACCGCACAGTCGCCGTTGGGAACGATCGTCACCATCAATCAAACCTTTTTCTTCTCAGTCGCTGTTCCTGATGCGATGACTCGACCCGATGTCACTCACTCCCTCTTTTTTTCTTTCCTTTCTTGTTGAAGAAGACCAAAGGATTCGAGGATTCCGCGTCAAGAATCCCATCCCAGAGGTGAGCAGTCTTCACGCTGTTCTTCTTCGATCCATTTATTCGGATCAGGGCATAGCATTTATTTTCATGGATGCAAGTCTGCGGCGTATCCCTTCTCCATGAACTGGATATCTATAAGCTCGAATAGAATCCCATCTCTGTGTCATCAGAATTCAGAGCTGTCCTCCTCCAATGCTCCCCACCCCCCCATCTTGGTTTCTAAACCTGCGGTAGATTAGAAACAACAACCACAGCAACGTGACATTTCTGCACCAAATCGGGCTCCACATTGCTCTGATGCCAATCATGCACGCATCTCTCCTTATTTAAGATGCAGCAGTACAAAACACATGGATGAGAGACATGAGTTGCAGCAGTTCAAGTGTGGAGTGAATGAATGCGGTGGAGTCGGAGGCATACAGAGTACAAATAGTTCTTCGTGGTACTCAAACATGGTGGTGGGTGGCCTTCATTGCCGGTGACCACCGGGACCAGAAGCTCCCGAATCTGCTTCGCTAGTTGATATCCATAACTCACCTCACCAATCTCCTCCTAGTTTTTGAAATTTGAATCGCCTCTTCCGAATGCGCGTCTCCTATAAGTGTGTCTGTGCGTCATCTTGATCTCTGCACATCCAACTCTCTTCTTTGTTTGCAGGGAAGACGCGAAGCTCCTTCGACTCGATGCCCATCAGGACAAGGTAACGTATGTTGCTGTAATGTCACTGAGGTTCTTCTTCCAAGTCGCTGTTGATCCCATCTGAGTTGAGGTTTTCTGCCGTGTCAGAGGGCCAGATTTGCCTCAGCAGCTCCCACGAGCCCCTCTGCGCCCCATGACGACCACCGCCATCTCCGACGCCAACCTCCTTCCCGGAATGGCTGTCGAGGTATCCTGAGATCCTCACCCTCAGTTAGCGAGATCCCTCTCTCTCTCATCCTAACTTGTTTGGCAGAGGAAGCGAGGCACCAAGGTGGAGGACTTGGAGGCCAAGTTGAGCAAAGCCCAGGAAGGGCTCAGGAAGGTCGGAGACCCACTCCTGGACTCTGCTGAAGACGTCAAGATCGATGATGAGAAGTTCGACAAGGAGTTGGAGCCCGAGTCCGAAGCGGCCGAGCTCAGCTCTCCTTCGCCCACCGATGAGACAATGATCGAACATGGGCTACACGAGAGCCCAGAGGCGGTGGAGCTCAAGGCCATGATACTGGCGAAAGAGGAGGAGGTACTGACTCTTTTGGAAGAGAACATGATCTTCAAGAGAAGAGCCGAGGAAGAAGCCGCGAGGATGGCCGCAGCAGCGGGAGCCAGAGAAAACGAGCTGAAGACGAGGATAGAGTCAATGGAAGAGGAGTTGAAGGAGAGCACGGCGAGAGCAGCAGAGCTGGTGCAGCACTTGGCGGTGGCGGAGGGAGCAAAAGCCAGACTCGAGGCGGAGATGAGGCGGCTGCGGGCACAGACGGAGCAGTGGCGCAAGGCAGCTGAGGCGGCAGTCACTTTGCTGGCCACCGCCGGTACACCTGACAAACACCTTGGTGGTGTCGGATACTTCGGACGATGCTCGCCGTTGATCGCCGGTGAATCGGAGGAGGAAATGGCTGGAGGAGCGAGAAGGAAGGCGGCGGTGGGAATTCGGATGTTCGGAGAGCTGTGGAAGAAGAGAATCCAGCAACAGCAGCAGCAGCAGTAGTAAGCATGGAAGGGAACAACAACAGCAGCGTCCTCCTTGTCCTCCTCCTGCTTTTGCTGCTCTCAGCTTTGGCTGTGTCGGTCGAAGACAACCAAACCAACCACTTCCTATTTTTGGTAACCTTTTAACTGTGTGTTGGAGCTGCAACGATGTATACATTTGTGGCGAGATGGTTCGGAGCCTTAAAAATGTCCAAACGTTGTTCGGCACGTAAATGAAGTGTTCGTTTCCTAAATGGTTTGTACGATCCTAAATGGTTTGTATGTTCATTCATCACTAACTCTCACTCATTTTCCTTCTATATAGATACGATGAGACTCTATAAATTCACCACTAAAGGGTGTATTTGTATTGTATTTGGAATATATTTGAAATAGGGTCTAATACACATTTCTAATATGATTTTTTTTTAATCTCATTTGGCTTGGATTTTCCCTTATCATTTAATGCTCATTTAGCTCAAATTCTGATAGTATTTATGAGATGCTAATGTAATTTTTTTAACGGGTAATCAAAATAAATCAAAATAATCTAATTTTAATAGAAGCATAGTAGGTAATTTTGTTAATTTTTTTGGAAGAAATTTTAATTTGAACATCGAAGAAAAAAATGATATCGTTTTCCTTTGAAGCATGGTATGCAATTTCTAATGATACCGATCCAACGATATATCAGTACGCAGACCGCCCGCTACCGGATGGATCGTGCTTCAGTGTTACAGTAAGAAGAAGAAATATTTAAAATCGTTCATTAAATCCTGGTGTATCGCTCGGTATGTTTTGGTGTACATCGGTACCATACGGTACCGAGCCAATCTCGAAACACCAGTACGGTACGATATTGCATACCTTGCTTTGATGAATGTAATAAATTTTTATTAAAAATATTTTTTTTTATACTTGATGATAATTGATAAAATATCATCTTTTTATATAGATAAATTTTTAAGATCTTCGATGAAGATTTATAATATTCAATAATATGTTTTTTTTTTATAAATATTTATCGCTTCCTCTTTCTCCTTGTTTAATAGATGTTTACATGTCTTTAAAGTAATCAAATTTATTTCATGAATAAATCAATTAAATTATGATTAAATCATCTATTTTAATTGAACTATACTACTTTTATTTTATTTTCTTTTTTGAAGATATTTTAATTGTAGCATCAAAGATAAAAAAAAAAAATGTTTCATCAACATCTCTGCATTGCATCTATGAAACAATTGGCTGAGCTCAGTGACACATATTTATTAATAAATTATATATTATTTATGTTGAGATTGATAAATATTTTTAGGAATCTTAAGAATTAAGACAATTTAGTTACTAACTCCATCAAAGACGTACAAACGGAGTTAATGCTCGAGCGAGACTAACTCAATAATATATATATATATATATATATATATATATATATATATATATATATATATATATAATATAATGACCGTCTTCCTAAATCTCCGTTACCCGCTCGCGTTTCTTATGCGTTTCTAAGATGGTGGGTCCCCTCGCCCCTGCCGTCCCGACTGGTACAAGCCGTCCAAATCAGATTCCGAGACCGCCAGCACACCGTTGACCACCCACCGCCACCCTGAAGTCTCCATTTACGTCACTGTCCTCTCCTTCGAATACGTATATATATATGGCAATGATAATAATAAACATAATAAGTAAAAGTGTCTCTTCAAACGTACGCCCACTGCCTATCGGACATCAATCATCTCACACGAATTCACTTATACAGCGTTCTCATTGAACTCTTTATGAGTAAAGAACTCAAAAATGCTAGCCAATCGAATAGACCCACGACGCCACCGATCGAGACAAGAACACAAAAGCCAGCGAGAGAGAGAGAGAGAGCGAGGCTCCATACATGGCTTCGCTTGCTCCACCGCAGCTGTCGCTTTCAGAGACGAACACAGGAGCATGGGCATGACATGGAGCTCGTCCTCCGCCGCCTCCGTTTCGTACGCCCGAAAACGACGAGGAAGCTTGCTCCTGATCTTCTTTTTCGCCTCGGTGGCGGCGACGGCGGTGGGGAAAGTGATCTATGCGTGTGCGGTCAAAGCGGGACTCGTCTTCTGTGAACGTGGAGAGCCACGAGTTTTAAGGGAGGTGGCTTGGCATGGGAAGTCACTTTGTCTCCAATAATTGCAGCCCGCGGGAACGATCGCTTGCGTCGAGCGCGACCCAGTAGTAGTTAATACGACTCCGGCTCGAACAGAAGAAGAAGTTGCCATCAAAAGCTTCGACAGTGCCCCGAGAATCTTCAAAAGCAGCAAAAGAGAAAGAACAAGGGAAAGCGACGGAGCGGCATGCAGTTCTGTCCTCCTCCCTCACTCTCACCGGATCAGCAGCAGCAGCAGTTACTCGCGTGAGTGCGGTAGATACCTTTCCCCACCCGTCACTGGCTCATCACTCTCTCGCCTACTTGCCGTGTGATGGGAGCTGCACCGTGAGCCGTCACCATCTCCGATCACCTGCATGCAGGTGGGTGAGATGGAAGTATAGCCAATAGGCTATGTGAACCCCTTCGAAGTAAATTCGAACAAGCAGGGGAAGAACTCGTTAGGATTCCAATGTGTACGTACAGAGTATGATTTGTAGGAAGAATTTTATGCATGAAAATGTTTGGGCAATTTACATGGCAATGGAACACGAGTTAGATCTAATCCTTAGATTGCACGCAGTGACCATTGGGTTGAAGCTAGTCCTGCACCGAGCGTACATGGAGATCCAAAAGGTCGGCACCTGTTCTTGTCTGTTCCTTTCCTTATGCCGCAAATGTTTGTGACCTTCACTTGTGGCTGCATCTCATTCCCCATTGGTGAATCCCTGCTTTCCTCTTGTACCATCCCTATTCACTGTTCCCATTATGGGTCGCTTTGGGAGAGAGGCCTGTACTCCTGTATTACATGCAAAAGGCTGCTTGTTGGCAAGCTTTTCATGGCAGTAAAAGATGGATAGATAGATAGATAGCTCCGTAGGCCTACAGATAGATACAGAGAGAGTCTCTAATTTAATTGGCACATTTATCTGTAATACATGTTTTGCTGTTTCCCACACAACCAGCTTTATGGCAGTAATTGGACCAGATAGATAGATAGATAGATAGATAGACAGATAGATAGATAGATAGAGAGAGAGAGAGAGAGAGAGAGAGATAGAGAGAGATCTTTAATTATTCTTGTTTTGCAGTCCCAAGAATTAACCCTTTAAGTAGTCTCAGTATATATATTTTTCATACTTGTATATTTTATGTTGTTGTTGTTGAAGTTATGAGTTGGCAAACGTGACAATGCCTTGCATTGTTCTTGGGATAGCAGGTAGATGAAGTGTCGGCCGAAGTTTAAAGGATCTCTCTGTGTTCGGTTGCTGCGCACTCGGAGCTTCTGATATCGAGGTTTTAGCTTCGTCTTCAGAAAAGCCTTTCTTCTGAGATGTTAAACGAGGTTTTGTACAGAGAAGAAAGGAGGAGGAGAAACATGTTTGGTTTTCCAAGTTTGGGTAGCAAAAGCAGGGTCGGAGGTCTGGGTTGGCCTACCCCAGGCATCTGTCATTCATGGACGACCACCACCCCTGCTACTTCTCGAACTGCACGAGCCTGTTGTCCCCCAACCTTGATCGGTAGGCAGCCTTCTTGTACTCGCCCCATGTGAACTCCTTGTACTTGCTCTGCTTCCCCTCCCCCATCAGCTGCGGCAGCGGTGCAATCCTCTGCGCCGGTGGCGGGCCGAAGAAGTAGATCATGGACACGCGTGGCTTGACGCCGTTCGCCGCCACCCGATGCCTCACGCTTCTGAACCTCCCGTTCGTCAGAACCTGTGTGCCGACCATGTCGAGCATCAGCAGATGGGCATGCAATGTATCGTGCGGAAGATGATGCGGAGCAGACTTCACCTGCAGGCAGTCGCCGACGTTGATGAAGAAGGACGCTTGGTCGGGCGGAACCGAGACCCAGCTGCCGTCCTCGAGCGAGATCTGCAAGCCTGAGCTATCGTTGGATCGCAAGACCGATATGATCTGCGGGTCCGTGTGCTCTCCGAAGCCGGTCAAGCTGCGGTTGAGCCCTCGGAGCTGCGGGTACGGCGGGTAGTGGTTCAGCCTGATGATGCCGTCGCTGTGTTCGTCCATCGCAAGCTTGCTCAAAGCATCTCGCGGCTCGATCTTTAGACCTTCGGCCATCGACCGGAGCACGTCGGAGGCCATCTTCCTGACGGCCACTAGGTACTCGCTTAAAGCAGAGCTGCAATGGCATCCACAGGTCGGTACCAGAAAAGAAGGTCGAAACCTGTCACGTCTGAGCTCATACCGGAAAGAGCAGGCCGTCATTGATGTGCAGGACAAGGGGTCGGAGGTGACCACGAAGAGGAGGTACTCCAACCAGCCGACGTCGCCATTGACGCCAATCCTCTTATCCCCGTATCCGAAAGGGTTGGCGGGGCCAGACTTCTCCTTCTCCACCTGCGGCAAGGAGAAGAACTTCACCGCCTCCGCCTCCAGTCTCCGCATGAGCTCCACGGGAATGCCATGGTTGACGAGCTTAAAGAAGCCCAAGTCTTCGCAGGCCCTGACGATGGCTTCGCCTGCCCCGGGCCTCGACAGGTCGACGACCGGGATGCCGGGGAATCGAGCGCCGTGTTTGGGGGAGCCGACGAGAGGGATCGAGTGAAGTGCAGGGTTGGCTAAGACCACCATGGCGGCTGTAAGAGAAAGGAGTCCTGAGTTGGTATTCCGGAGTAAGAGCTGCATGTGTGAGGACTCCGTGGACTTTATATATAGCCATTTGGTATGGTGTCAATGCGGATTATTTGGTGGGAGATTAGAAGACGGTCAATGTTTACTTAATACTCTAATAGCAATAGGAAAGATTAGGTGTTGAATCGGAGGTCCATAAGACTAGCTTTTACTGTATTGAATGACTTGGAACTCGAAGCAGTCAAAGGAATGTTTTCATGTCCGTGTTCTTCAGTCGACTAATATGCCAATAACAGAAGGCTAATCACGTTATCTCTTTGATGCCGTGTACAAGTGCGCTTAGCCGATCGACGACTCCACGCTTACTCCATTCACATTGTATGGATGACTGCGGCGTCGACCGCTGATGGCGAGTCCTCCTCACGACGGTCAATTTAGCCGCCGCAGTCGACCACGGGGACCTCTCCTTCTTCGGATCGGATCCAGACCGCCCATCTCGCCCAGGAGCGCATCTCAAAGCACTCTTCGTTCTCCCTCGACTTACGTGATCCTTCACGCTTTGCTACCACTACCCTCCTGTTCGTGGAGCATCGCCGATTGCCGACATGGGGTTTCTCTCGGCTGCAGAGGAGATATTGGAAACGACTGGTTATCCAAACTTGGAGCGGGGAATCATATCAGGCTGGATAAGAAGAGAATTCGAGGTGTGATACGTGATGTGACTGCAGCTCCGATGTTTCGACCAATGGCCATGAAGCCCACACGGCATTGTCCTCCGTGTTGAGGACGCACAACCGAGCCGAACAACGCAACATGCAAAGTCGCGTCAATTCATCATCCATTTCGCCTAATTCTTGGCACAGAGAGAGAGAGAGAGAGTGAAGTCACATTGAGTGAGAAAGCCAATCCATCGGCAGTCATCATCACGGCGCGGGTGATCGCACAAACAATTCTTATGGGCCATGATGTTCGAGCAGTCGATTGCACTATAGGATCTGTGGATCGTACCTTCCATCTTTATCCATATCAACAGGGTCAGGATGCTCTAACTTCATGGTGGCGTTGGCTTCTTCTCTTAGAGATATAGCGAGGAAGTGAGTCTCGGACGTCCTCCGTTTCGCTTGTCCATGGAGCGGACCGTATGCTATGGACAGCATGAGACAACGTGGTCGCCTCAGGTTCTTAGCTTTTGTTGTCGACGAACTGTGGCGTGGGACCGACGTCCTTTCCTGCTCCATTTCGATTTGTGCACGCAGTGCCCGCAAGCAATTCGACGGAATTGCGGCTCGACTCCTCCGCCCTCGAGCACCAAGTCGGCGACGTGACAAGCATGATCGCATGTGTCGACAACATCAATTGGAGGGTTGCGACGGCTGGTTTTGGGTTAGTGTTCCGATACGTTGTGTGCGATGTCGGAGCACGCACGCCCGATTCCTGCTCGAGGATTCTGCCGCCGAAGCAGCACCCCCGCCGCATTGTTCTGGACTTTTTTTATCTCTCGTCACTTCCTCGGCGTGCTTTCCATCTTTTCATCCTCACGCGCCATCATACGGCGGTCGACAGCGAAGTGCCGACACGATCGACAGTAACTCCTCGACCCGTTTCCTCGCTTGCTTATCCGCTGGAGGAAGCAGGTGACCGGGGAGACCGCTGCTGCCGTTCTTCTTGGTTCGTATAGCGGATACATGCAGATGGAAAAAGAACAGAGGATCTGATCCCCCGGAAAAGTTGGTGGATGTACGAATCGAATGCCTGAAATGATTAGTCTGCTGTTTCCGATATCGCTCTCTACAAACAAAAAAATTTGTGTAGATATTATTGACGATCGAGGATTCTCGAAGCCACGGAAACAGTGACGATAAGTGCGCTGACATGAGGCCGAAAAGGACTCACCGAATGCTTCCCACCGTCCCGTAGAGGACTGTTCCGAAGCCCCCATCTCGAGACGATGTGAACCGTGTGCTTCTTCTGGAGACTGGGAACTACAGTGATCGCTCTGGTTTTTAGTGAGTAGGTGAAGGATTCATCGAAACGTGTCTTTTAGCGGTAGGAGATGTTGATCGTCTCTTTCATGTCGCAGGTCTATTCATTTGTTCTGATTCACATACAATTTCGATTCGACGATTCTTGGATATGATATCAAATGTAAACATCAAAAGAAAATAATCTTTATTGATTTGAAATAAAAAAATGTCAATTACATGGGAACACTCAACGTAAGAATGCAAGTTGTCTTCCACAATAACGGGATACTCTCGACAAGTTAAAATTTCTTATTTATTTCGATTTTTTCTTTTTTTATTATTACTGGAATCTTCTGTTGATGTTAAGATCAAGGTATATAATATCGTACCATACCGATGTTTCGAGGTTGGCTCGGTACGATACGGTACCGACATACTAAGCGGTACACTAGGGCATATTGAACGGTATATCAAGGCTTATCGAGCGATTTTTCTCTTATCGTAGCACTATAGTAATGCTACAGTGTATTACTATAGTACTGTAGCCGATCCGTTCGATAGCGAATGGTCTGCATACCGATATGCCATCGAATAGGTACGTATGCCCATCGAACAGGTACATACCACCCATATCGGGCGGTACCATTCAAAATTTTATACCACTTTTGGAATAATTAGATAAAGTGACAAAAAAAAATCTTTGTTGGACTTTAAATTTAAATTTTGAAACTTAAATTCAACCAAATTGGATGAACTTTAAAATTTATTTAATAAGAATTAACTCTCGTCTCTATTTACACTTCGTTGTCCTTTCGTGCTTCGATATCATATAGCTTACTCTGTTGTTATATGACAATCTTGGTACAGTATTGTTTTGGTTAATATGAATTAAAATTTTGATATTTTTACATCCTCAACAATGTCATGATGGTTCATAATTTCTCAATTCTATAATATATATATATAGTATATTATAAATAAAGATTTAAATATTTTTAATTTAACTAAAGATATTATTTTTTATTAAATTGAATGATGTCAACATATTTTTATGTATGTGCTCGATCCAAATAGATTAAATATCTATGACTTGTTGTCGTAGTTGTATTATTAGTATTTTAATAGTAAATAGTGTTAGAATTCTAATTTAAATTGGTTAGGTTTATATTAGAATTTAAAATCTGAATTAAATTAGGAGTTCATATTTGATTAGGAATATCACATTGTTCATTTAGACCCATAAATTGGGTTGACCGTATCCTATTCACAACACTCCCTTAGCAAAAAAACACAAAAGAAGAGAGAAGAGAGAGAGAGAGAGAGAGAGAGAGAGTTGCGACTCTTTTGAGTTAGGTTAGTTGGTGATTTTTTAGTGATAAAAGAAGTTCCACTTCTTTAATTAGATCTTCTTCAGAACTCTGGAAAAAGAAAACTATGGTTACTACTATCTTCTTCTTGTCTATAACCACCTGTGTAAGATGGTTCATAATATAGTAGATATTGGCTCCATATGTGATTTTTCTTTATAAACCTCTAAAGAACAAAGGTCGGAACATTTAATGTTTCTAAAAGAAAAAAGGTTGCTTGGGCTGAGCCCAGCATTTTCTTTGAGAAATGATTTATTTGTTTATACATCATTCTAATGGTAAATAAAATCAAGAAAACACATAACAGATTCTCAAAGGATACTACTAGCCCATATGAAATCATCGGAATGGTGTGCACATCGGCTTCATTCTGCAAGAGAAGCATATGTTGCCACCTTGATTTCTAGTCTTCTCATGCTGCTCAGATTAATCAGCAAAACAGATCCGATCATACAACTGCAGAAATGGGTTTTCTTAGATCCAGTTCATCTACACCAAAGCAAATAGCAACCAGAGATCCAATGATGTTCCAAAAGGAAACAGCGTTTAACTCATCATCAAGGCAGAGGGAGGGTACACACAGAACGAGCCATTGAGAGATTGGCCCTCAATGCGCGAAGGCAGCGAGCGCGGAAGCCATGGCGGTGAGAAGCAGCACGCAGAGCCCAGGCACCGCCGCGATCGATCCGCTCTCCATTCCTGGTGCCGGCGCCGGCGCGTCCTCCGCGCGGACCGCCACCGAAACAAGCAGCACTAGAAGCAGAGCCACCTTCGATAATCGATTCGCCAGTCCTGCTTCCATTTCGAGAGAGAGAGAGAGAGAGAGGAGGAGGAGGAGGAGGTGGCTTCGGTTGTGATGAATGGTGGGATTAGGACATTTTATATACCGGGAGAGTGAGAGAGAATATAGCCGTTGGGGGAAGAGGGCAAAAAGCCTGTGGACTGGAGTAGACGTTACGCGCCACCGTGGCGTGCGACGTGTGAGTTGGGAAAATGACAGCCGAGCTAACCGTTGTAGCAGTGGACGGTTACGGAGAAGTGGTAGCGCTTCACTGGCTGCTCTAAATATCAGAAAATGCCATGACACGACTTCGGTCCCGAAGGGCCATTCTCGCGTGCCGTGGAGGCACCCTTCGCCCAAGTCGTGGTTCGAAGCGTTGTTCGTGGATGAGCCCTTGCTTTACGTCAGCAAGACCTCCCCTGCCAACCTTGATGCTATCTTAGCTGGACGCCACCACTTCACGAACATAACTGTACGATTGGGTGGACTTGTCGCTTGATAAGCCCAATCGAGGAACAAATCGTTCGATGTTTCGAGCCCATGAGGAGTTCGCCACCTGAGTCCTCCGAGTCCGACACGAAGAAACGCGATCGCGGGCGAAGGCGACGTGCGTCGATCAAGGTGGCTTCCTGAATCTTAATTTTCTCTCTCGTTCCCTTTCCTTTGTTCCCCTTTTATTCGGGTTTGGATACTCGAACTCTCTTAGCTCTGTGATGTGCGCTTGATGTGGGAACAACGTGGTTGTGATGGCTTTTCCAAAGCTCTTGAGGGGAATCCGAATCGCTGCATGTTACTCGCTCTGAAACCAACTCTCGTTCGTTATCCATCGGAATGTTCTTGCTGGCCTCCGGAAATCTAGCGCTAGGGTTAGCATTTAAGAATGCTGTGGGACTAGTGTCGTTCCTGTGGTCTCTGTTTCATGTTTGATCGTTCATGAAATGCTGCGGGACATAAGTCATCGAATCGATCCTCAGTCGAGAAATTTAGGTTGACGATATATTTTTCGGATGCATTATGCTGAGATGTTAGATACGTGTCTGCGTCTTGATATTTGAGGATTCTATGATTCTATGGAAAAAGAGCTGAGCGTGATACAAGTTTTGGTATTTTAATGGAAAATGTGGTTTGGCCCCCCCCCACAAATCACCATATAAACTGAGGATTCTATATGGTTGTCGATGATAAGTTTCTCTGCGTCTTGATATTTGAGGATTCTATGATTCTATGGATAAAGTGCTGAGCGTGATACAAGTTTTGTTATTTGAAGGGAGTGATGGGGATATAAAGAGGAATAACCTTTGTATATGAACAAATACTAGAAGACCATAATACGCAGCGGAATAAAATGGAAACACAATCAAACAGAACACCAAGATATACGTGGAAAACCCCTTCAATGTGAAGGGTAAAAACCACGGGGCAAACTAGAGATAATCCACTATGAGAATAATGAATATACAAATCTCAATCTCTTGTCCAAAACCCTAGCAACAATCACAAGAGAATAACTGGGATACAAGGATCACGTCACTGCCCACAATATCTAAAACCTTCCCAAGTAATCATAGCAAGAGTCTACTGTAGATTTGATCTAACATGAGATGAGAACACTGCTAGATGATTGAGAACAGTATCTCTGCGTTGTCCTTGTCTTCTTCCATTTCTTTCTCTTGTTTTTCTGCCTTGTTCTTCTCTCTTTGTTGCTACGAGGATGTCAACGTTGCTGCCTTTTTCTGCCTCTTTTCTGCGTCTAAAACGCAGCCCCCACACCCCCCTTATATTGATCTAGGGTTAGGTCAAAGGGGTGTGGGTTGTGGGCTGATAAAGCCCACCATGGGCTGAACCCACTTTGGGCTGCCAGCCCAACAGGGAGAAGGTGGTTTGGCCCCCCACAAATCACCATATAAACTGAACAATTTTAGGAAATTTAAAATTTTGAGAAATTAGGACTTTTTTTAAAGAAAAACATTATGATTCTTTTGCAATTCGCCTTCTGAGTTTCAATCTGATTCACCCTCTTTTTTCAGTTATATTTACGTGGGAGCCTTAGAGTTTGAGGGAATTTACAATTTAAGAAAAAAAGTCAGTAATCATTACTGTGATTTCAAAAGGTCCTTTCATTAAAAACATATTGGCATAGGAGTTAATAACCATTAGATGTGGATCTTAGTCTTCACTACTTTGGACAAACATACCAAGAGAGAACACTTATTTTGCAACAGGTGAATTGCAAATTCATTTTGGCATAGACGTGAGTTAGATGGTTTTATAACAGGGTATATTTCCATCTCCTAACATAAAGTTTGCATCGACCTACTCTCTGACCGCATCATTCTTCAGAGAAATTAATTGGGTGAGTTTTGTCGAGTATGTGATTTATGTGATTGGCTTCCTTTGACACAATAACACTGTCAATGTTGGTCCTAAGCCCGGATGAAAAAGGTGGAGGGTTATGTTAGGTCACTGGCAGCCAATGAGAAATTACATCAGATCTTATAAACGATTTCAGTATAGGGCTAGGTCATCACCTGAAAGTGACTCGATGTACCTTCACCACTAGGTATCCTGAAGGTTTTTTATATATCTCAATGATGGCAAAGGATCCATATAGATGATCCCAAATAATTGAGACTTACAATTTTATTGTTGTTGTTTCATTTTTCACACATTATATGTTTGTAAAAATATATGTATGCATGCGCAATGATGTAGGTGAGTATCACAATGGCCTTTCACACAGCTTTTTTAACAATGATATGACATCTGAATAATAAGCTGTGACAACAATTTCTAACAACAATATAATATCTGAATAAAAAATTGTGACAGTGATTTTTCCTTGGCAGATATTTATTTTCCTTACAATACAGTAGCTCTCATGTAATTATTTGGCTTTGTAGAAAGTTATGATGTTCAAAGTATTGTGATGAATTCTGGTAATACTTGGATGAAATCTAGTTATCTTACAATGGAAAGTTAATCAATAGACTCTCTTAAAAGACCCTAGGAAGAATTTTTTTTTGTGGCAGTCTCATGGAATGGAATGTCCAGTTATAAATATATATACCAATAATAATTTGTCTTTCTTGAATAGAGACCAAAAGTAAATCAGCTTATTTTGATTACTTTTACATTTAATAAGTATCCTTTCATATGATTTATATTGCTTTATAGTTCCTTTTGCACTAGGAATAATCTTAAAGCAAACAGTGCTCATGCAATCTAGCACCAACCATCCATTTGTTATTGTGAGCAAGAACAATCCAGTTAGCAACTATGACATAATCTTGCTTTTGTCATAAACGTTGCTTAGATCTACATGCTCAAGTGTGTGGAAACTATGCCTAGGGCCTTAGCCTTTGAATCTTTGTTAGTTCAATCTTCTTTGGCAGTCTTGTTGTTGTTATCATCAAATCTCTAGGAGATATAAATGGTCCCCATCTTGAACCTTGCTTAGATCATCAATTTCTGCGTTCTCTTGGTTGATCACTTTTTCAGGATGATGTCCGACAAACTTCTCACCTGCATTTTTTTTTTTTTGCAAGGCATGATTATGACAATGGAGAATATGACACATGACTTGTTTCTAGTTTCAAACTTCTGTTTTTCCTGAAACTTGTACTTTTGTTCTTCTGTATTTATGTGTTCTGATATAAGCTTGACACAAATAGTAGCCCACTTATGCAGACCACTTGCAGATCTATATGATTATTTTGTTTTGTGTAAATCAGGTTGAGAAATACTTACCACCAATTCTGAGAAGTTCCTCCACCGTGCCAGGTAAATTTATCATCTTAGCTGTTAGCTGCCTTGCTGGATTTGCCCTTTGAGAATGCATGTGAATTGTCACTCTTTTGCTAGTTAGGTTCTTGACATCGTTTTCAAATTCATGGCCACCATGTGAACAAGAAGCTACCAACATTTCACTAATATTTGGATAAGGAAACCTGGGTCTCCATTCCCTGCTGCTATGGTGCTTAAAGTTATTCCCATGGTCGGTTGTCGTTCTCCATTCCCTGCTGCCGTAGTTCTTAATGTCATTTCCAATGCTGGATAAGGGCTCTAATTTGCCTTTATTCTCATATTTACCCAGACCCTTTTGGGTCCACCTGTTACCATCAACTTTGTCCACAGTTGATCCTTGTTTGAGCAGAACCTTGGCAGTTTCATTGTGTCCTTCCCATACAGCCGTATGCAACACAGTGCGTTTATCTGCATGGTCTACTTTTGTATTGCAGCAACTAATTGGAGGTTGAATATCCATGCGAATATCCTTATTACTTTCTGCCTTGCAGAGTAGGTCTCCTGCATCCATCTCCTCTAGTGTATTGCTAACTCGATAACTATTTTCATCCTGATCATGGTTCTCATTCCTGTTCATAGCTATTTTTTCTTGCCATTGTTGAAGTAGTTCTGAATCATTTTGCTTTATCCCAGGGTATAATCTTTCATGTACACGCAACTTCTGTAAGATGCAATTTAGTTAAAATAAGCTTCTATTTTGCCAAAGCTGAGTAATTTTTTTAACTGAATTGGTCGATTCTGAAGTATACCTGGAGAAGATTACTCATGACAATAGTTGCATCCTGTTTGCTTTTGTGAATAATGTTGAAAAGTATAGTCCTGTTCAGTCTGAGAATTTGTGTTAGTTCAGTGGTTCTTACTGTGAATGGCTGTGGCATGTGACAAAGAACCGCTATCTCCCCAACTATCTCTCCAGCAGTCACACTCCCATGAACCTACAATTATCAGAGATCAGACTTGAGGTTGTTAATGTTTGACAAGTTAACATTCGATTGGTGCACATTCCAAAAGTCTTACCTTTTCAATCCCATCGGCATATGTTCGCATTTCCTGCAACAATTCAATTAAAAAGTAATCCTAATTTGTTGCTATCGCTGCAAACAACTATGTGATAGACATAAATATACAGGGCAAAAAGCCAAGTTTTACTAACCACTGCTCCTGATACTATTACATATAAATCTGTTGGGGCTTCATTCTGTAGCATCACATCTTCCTTTGGTGGAAAATACTCGGCTTTCATTTCTGTCACCTTTAATTTCACAATGATCTTGTCAGCATGCTATATATATCTGACCTGCTTAGGGTTGTAATTAGTAAACTTTTATATTAAACCTCACCATTTGAAAAAGGGTATTAGAGGCGACTCCTTGGAAAAGGTATACGTTTTGAACAATGGGTAAGAACAAGTGCTCAGCTATGCTTGAGCGAATGGCCTTTGGGAGATCATCAAGTATCTCTTGCTGCTTGAGTTCCTGTGTCTTGAACCGTAAGCATATGTGAGATAGCATCTGTTCCTCTATGTATTTTGGCAACTTATTTCTTGATGCAAATTCGGAAGCATTTTGGATGGTGTCCCTCTGAATATCAAAATGAACAATCAATAACAGAATGTAAAATCCAAGTACATTAGAATAGTGGTCGACTGTTATTCAAGCTGTTTCAATTATTCTCTTCACCCTTTGCCAAAATGACCATGTAGTTTAATAAATCCTATTGATGAAATGTGATTTAAGAAGCAGGAATATCTTTTTAACTTGTGAACAATACAGAAGAGAGAAACTGTACATAAAGAATAGTTGACTCAGAAAGACTTGTTCAACCAGACAATCAAACATCATATTCTGTGTTCTGGGTCTAGACTTACAAAAATATCTGCCAGTGTTGGTGATGCATGGCATGATCTGTTATTTTTCTTTGTTATTTGGCTAAATTAGCAGGTATATAGGTTAATGGCAAGCAAAATAAAGGATCTCCAGAAAAAAACTTGCGGAGTGGAATAGAACATACAAATTTTTTTGTGCGACTGGTCCCTTGGACAACAAGATTTGTCATATTTCCAATGAGGTAAGCCATCAAACCCAGATTGAAGAACATGTAGCATATATCAAATAGCATTTCTCTTGTGTTTTCAGCATGTAAGTCACCATAGCCTGTTGTCGTCAGGGTTGTAATTGACCAGTATATTGCTGTTACATATCTGAGCCACAGGTCATCTTCCCTGAAGTTTGGTATCACTGCACCTATCCAGGTTCTTTTTGGGTCAGGGTATCGGTCGGCAATCATATAGTTAAAGCATCCAGAACAATGAACTGCAAAAATAGTTACCTGCGTTACAAAAAAGTTATTCTTTTAGAAATCAAGCAGCTTTTTGAAGCAAGACAAATTGAATACCATTCTGAAAGCTTACTGAGAAAAGTTTTGTGCACCGTGTCCAGAAATAATTGAACCGAATATCCTTCTCAAGCCTGAGGAAAGAAAATTAATGAGATTGTTCCTGTTCTTCTATTTGTGATATATGTACTGAGAAATGGGAGAAGATACAGACCTAGCAAACAGAGAACCGACACGACGCAGACGCCACAGTCTAAGCATACTTAGAAGTTTGAAGCTGAGACTATTACCATGTCTATTGTAGGAGAAGCTGATTGTTTGAATGGGATATGTTGAACATGCATCAAAGATGAACCAAGTAGATAGATACCTGTGTAATATTTTGTCATGGAATTTGGGCTAAATAGCAAAGTATGTATTAGTACTTTGGAGAAATAAAAGGTAAACACTGACCTGACTGCTATTCTCTTTGGATCATCAACAAGAAGACAGGATTTGTGATCCATGAAAGCAACAAAGAATGTGAGTACAATGTCGATTGCAAAAAAGCTATCGACAATGTTATCCACAAGAAAAATTTTGCTTGGCAAGTATCGTAGAAATGCAAACTCAAATGGGCAGATCCAGGCGGAGTAGAGAACCAGAAATATCAAGAACAACTCCCATAGTCTGGAAAGCAGTTAGTGAAAAGAGAAGAAAATAAACTGTCCAGTTTTCTAAAATATGAATGCGAGAAAACAGACTGATGGGTCAATATACCTGTAACGAGGATCATATGGGGAGACAATGTGCTTCCTGAGTTTGGTTGTATGGTTTATTGTTGCTCCAAGTGATGGCAAAAGGTCATCATGTAAGTTGAATCCTCCACTTTCCAATTGGAAACCATCATTGCAAAAATGTTGTAAGTAGTTCATGCAAGAGAACATGGTTGCAATGTGATGCTTTTGTAGTTTGATATTCGGTGGTGATCGAACTCGAGTGATCTACTATATATATAAGAAAGTGAAGGCTGCTGTCTGTCTGGTGTCTTGAGCAAATGGGCTGGTTGGTAAATGCAGAGCGAGGTTTGGATGAGGAAAAAGGTCATGAGAAGGGAAAAAGCGTAATAGAGAACTTGGGATTTAATCACTAGGATCAAAAGATTTGCAGATTGTGTGATAAATTATAAAGGTTAGAGATATGATATTCTGGAAACAATGGGCAATAGTTTCATGCCAAGTTCACAAGGTTTATGGTAGTGGGAATTCCAATTACACACGTCTGAAGTGGATGGATTTTTTACAAAATCGATGTGAAGTCTTGGTTTAAAATGGACATGGATGATCGAAACAGCTGAATCATATTGAAGCCCTATGACTCAGAGTTACTTTGTAATTAATTAAGGAAATGACTCTTGGCTTTTTGTGGGGCTAGTGCCTTTTGTAAACAGTAAAGTCACTGTTTTGGGTTTGCTTGAACCCATGCCCTTCCAGTGCCAACAGAGGATCTGCTGTGTTGAAGCACCACTTTTGGGATGATGCATGTCTGGTCCGTGAATGTGGCCAGATATTCTGTGGAGTTAGTCATCTGATGGAGACCATATGATCATAACCAAAAGACCTTTGGTTATTTAATCAGAAAGACATTATTCTCTCTTCCTAATGAAGTTCTTTTAGTTTCTCCCAGATGGTAATTTCTTTGGCGACATGATGTTGCATTTTGATGGAAAATGTGGCCCCAGAAACGACATCCATGCTTGTGACATGATGCAAAATAGTCTTCAACCTATGTGCTATAAAATAGTAATCTGGAGATTAAGTCAGTTTGTGGCAACTCAAAGCCTACAAATGCCCACTTTGTTTTGCAAATTGCAAGGCTGTGTGCCACCATGTCGGAAGATGATGATAACCAGACTTCTATTGTGACCCCATTGAAGGCAGTGTAGCTCAATGAAAATCATGTGATCTGGTCTCTGGGAAGATGGATCTGTCCATGATGAAATGTCTGGATGACGGAATAATATGGGTGTCAAACCTTGTGGTGGGTGCAATGGATGGGTGATTGATGCTGAGCAAGAATGAGACATCACCTCTTGGTCACGCAGCCTGTTGTTAACGATGTCATATTTATCATCAAAATCCAAGGATCACATCATTCAAATACATTATTTGAGTTCTTTTCTGCACAGCTCAAGCATGCGAGAAGCAGCACCAGGCTTTGCAGAGTTGGTTGGGTTGGATGAAGCCTTAGTCCTGTAGCAATGCGAACAATGGCTATGATTGGACAATCCAAGAAAACTATGAAGGAGAGGATTGATCTTGAGTGCTACAGGTCAGGAACCTCATTCACATATTGGTTGGTCCTTTTAGTTTTAACCTCCGTCACTAATTAGAATAAGGTCCTATATCTTAGATGCTCTTGGTTAGCTCACCTCTCAAGTTCCATCTCATGGTCCCTCCAAGTGAACCAGTCAGCATTTAGTTGATTTGATTGAAAGGAACAAGTATTGGCCCATTGCTCCATTAGTATCTTTTGTGACTGTTTTGTTTGTCATGAAGAACCTGTTAAGAAATGCAGATTAGCCTTCATCAGGTACAGTTATTTTATGCTAGTCAAATATCCTGGTAACCAGACTTCCCTCCAAGTGAACCAGTCAGCATTTAGTTGATTTGATTGAAAGGAACAAGTATTGGCCCGTTGCTCCATTAGTATCTTTTGTGACTGTTTTGTTTGTCATGAAGAACCTGTTAAGAAATGCAGATTAGCCTTCATCAGGTACAGTTATTTTATGCTAGTCAAATATCCTGGTAACCAGACTTTCCTCACTGGGTTAGTCGAGAATGCTATATGGGAAGCTAATTCATTAGGTCCAACTTGAATAGTAAACTACTCCCTTTCTATAATTGGCTACTGCTTGCTACCGAGCAATTTCTCACAATGCACCTACTAAACATCAATGATGTTCACATGTCGATCATGCAATATCTAGGGATACAATAGACCTGTTTGTTGCATTATCAAGGGATGAATCTCGTTTTTTACTCTGTTATCTTTTGCTGCAGCAGCACAAGAAGTTCTGGATCAAAGAAATGTGCCATCATCTATTTTATGACTGAAGAAAACATAGAGCCAACTGGTTGCCAAAGCAATTGTTTGGTTGTTGTCTAGGCAACAAAGCTCAGTGCCAAGAGCAATTATTTGGATGCTGTGCAGGTAATGTTACTAGGTGGAAAATTTTTGACCTTTGCATCCAACAGCAGAAGGCAGGACTGCTGGCATGGGCCCTCTTGTCAGCAAGGAAGGCTTCCCCCCTCGTGTCCCCACTGCTTCTTGTGGTCCTATTGGAAAACTGGGCATACAACTCGATCATGACTACATATCCATTAGTACATGGATCTTCTGAACCAGCCATGCGATTGGTATGATTACTCATCTATGATTATGTCGACCCCAAAGACTGGTTCATCATTATCTTTAGCTATAGAATATTATCTCTATTATTGTATAATGTTGATTTTCTGGACTTTTCCAGTTGCAATATGGTAAGATTCTTGAGCATGAGTTTTATGTGGTCATTTGCTGTTAACATCACACTTATGCTATACTAGCAAGGAACTTTAGCGGAAGCATCGATGCTACTTATCAACAGTAATTTTCAGCATCAAGTAAGCTCTAACTCTATTATATTCTAAAAGTCTTTTTCTTTTTTGATAGGATAGTTGGGCGGTGCCTATTTGTGGCAGGGAGAGGATGATTCCCAGTATGGATAGCTCAAGACTATTTTACCAGGTGCCAGGTACGCTTTCCAAAGATCCCTTCCGAAAGCTTTTTCATCCTATTGTTCTTTCTCAGTAACCTAACCTACTACGGATGCCATAGTTGAGGTCATGCCATGGCGGGCAAATCACTATCCAAGGGTGCTGCTGTTCATGTGGAATCAATCACATTGCCGTGATGTAAGTCTTCTCTTATCTAATTACTATCGCACCGTCAGCAAATCTCAATTGATAATTGTCTTGTTTATCCCGTTTCTGTCTGACCCGTTACCGGTTGAATGATCCATGAGCACTCTGGAATGTATAATTTCAGGTTAAAAAAGAACCCATGCTCGTTACACTTGTTTGGTCGTGCCTCTTTTTCGAGTTGGATATATATGAATGTAGGTCCCGCCAATCATGATCCAGGTTTGGCCACTTACCGTGGTCAAAGATTGCATCTTCGAGTGGATCAGAGCATTTAAACTGGGCGACTGCGACCAAAAGCAAGCATCCCCGCCATCATGTTCCATGGTTGGTGCAAGTCACATGTCATCGCAGGGTTCTGCTGGTGAGTTCCTCGAACCAGATGCACCTTTTGACAGCATCCATTCATGATAACGAGAAGGCATCTCACAACTCATATCTATCGAGCTTCATTCTACCTTATAAAGATGATACGATATTTATCAGTGCATTATGCTAATACAGTAGCGTTTCACAATGAGATTTGTTTGCTTATAATACAAGAGAAAACATATTATTCATATTGCACATATTGTTGTAACAACACCGGGCCATATATTTAATTAGTCTCAACCAGCTAGCTTATTTAGAAAGAACCTGGAATCGATCCTGCCTGCCCTTTTATCATTTGGTATCAGGATCACTTTTATGAATACACTTACTCATTGGTTGGAGAGATTGAACTCGGCACGAAAGCCGAGTGGAAGCTCTCGGATCAAGTTTCAGGTCATGCAGGTGAACCGCATCTGATTCCGTTTGGCTTGGCTCGGTGACCCAATCGTAGACACTTGGACAGCATCCTACGTGATGTGGACATGGCAACTGATCCGTGTGCCAAGTTGTACTGCATCATCATCTGCCATCCACGTTCCCTTGTCAACTTCTCTGATCGATTGCCGGCGTGCCCCGAGTCTTATTCGGTGCGTTATGGTGAGCGACCCCATCACCCATATGTGAGTTTATTCCTCTCTCTCTCTCTTTCTCTATCTAACACCGCAGTTTATTCTCACACGGGTTAGTAAATGTCTATCAAGTTAATGTAGACACCATAAGAATTGTTTCGACTGTTGCATGCATGCATAAATTGGGGTTTGCTTATGAGTCAGTCATCTTTGATCCTGAACTAAGATATCAAACCATATAGATGGCTCATTCCACATCAATTAATTAGTGGTTCATGTCTATCATTCGTTGGATAGGAAATCATAGCTACAAATTACTGGCCAAGTTTCTCTTGTCCACAATGGATCCTGGATCTTATTTGAATCCATAATCGGATCCAGTTTCTTATATGGATCCGATCTAATAATGTCCAAACATGAGCCATCCATCCATCCATCCATCCACCAGAACAAACCCCTCGTTCATCTGTCAATTGAGACGTGCGATCACAATCGGGTTCGTGCAATTGTTGGGGAATAATTCAAACATCACATGTACAATTGAAATTTGTCCTGCCCCTTCAATTTGATTCCACCCTCCTCCTCCGACTAAATTTTAATCGTCCTTACGAAAGAAAAAGAAAAAAATAACGTGGCTTATATTGACAATTTGCATTATGTCAATAAGTTCGACAGAAATTTAAGCTCATATCTAACATGAATCAATGTCACTAGGGGAAGTTGGATAAACATGTTCTTACCGGTGAAATCTGATGATTACATTCATTTTTGAGGCACTAAACTGTGTATGGAATTTGTGTCGGACTTGGATTGGGTTAGAGTTTGACATAAAAGAAGCTAATCATTATCTTTCTTGATCCAACCTCATCGTTTATTATCTTATCTGAATCCAAATCAACGACCAAATCCATCCCTAACTCAATCTGGCTATCTATTTTACTTGCAGCTGTACAGCAGGAAAGGACAAAAATGAGAAGAGGAATATATACACCAAATTAGTACTAGGGAGTGCAGAAAACGTTACAATCCTACTCGCAACTGATGGATTTCAATTTTTGACTTTATCCATTTGAAGGATTTATAGTCTTATCTAGCGGATGATCATGATTGTAGCTCACTAGCCCTCTATCTTCACCACCTTACCCTCGATGCATCGACCTTATCAGCTATTTAGCTATATAGTTAAAACTGCTTACTCAGACTGCTAAAGAACATGTATCTTCCACCAAAAGTTCACACTGTAAACTGTTCTGATGCATACGATGTCTCTACAAGTTATTAAGGAAAAACAATTACTGAAAGTATAACTTATTTATAGATATTTGGATTACTGCATTTTTTTTTTTTGTCGATGCATCCATCTGGTTGAAGAACATTGAGATCACCACCATATCTCTTCCTAGTATGTCACCTTCATCATCAAGGACTTTAGATGAGTTCTCAATGATTCACCATCAGTTAGCAACAGGAATCCACAAATCATTCGCTCGTCCTTGCACCTCCATCAATTAGTGAAAAGAGTCGACAGAAGCAAATCTTGCACAAAAGTTGCTCTTGTGGTGGCATGCTTTCGCTTTTGTTCCCTCTCTTCATGAGTCAATGAAGAGTCAAAACTGCCAAGAAGAAACATTTTGATTAGACTTTCAGCTCCAATAATGCGATCATGATGGGGCTTCATGGATTCTAGCAGTCAATGATCCTATGTTTCATGCCAACCGGGTGAAATATGCTCCTAATTACTCCACTTGAGCTTTGTTTAGATATCATCCTCAAATACTGAGCATAAATGTAATTAACTACCATAAAATAAAAATCATGGCCACTGATCATATTACTTCAATGTAGAAAACGTTTGAGATCAAGCATGTGTTTGTTCTATAGTGTGCCAATACAGATATCATGTATATCAGAGTACTAGCGACAAAAAAAGAATAGCACTAATGACAAGGGATTTGCAAAACAAGGAACTTTGACCACAGTGCAAAACACATGTCTTAGTGCATATAACTGATGATAAGAAATTTGACCACAGTGTAATCTAAGTATTTCGATATGCTTGTTCTGGAGATCTCAGTATAATCTGGTGCTTGTTACCTTAATACTATCCATAAGAAGCAACATTCTCAAGATCCTATCCACAACATGGTGCCTCTAATATTTGGTAAACATGCAGCTTGGTGTTGTAAGACTTTTTCTTTTGTGTGATTCTCACTTAAAATCATAGCTCATGGAGAAAGACTAACATGTTTAACCACCACGAGAAACATACATAAATTAGCCGACAAGAAATACATTAACACATATAAAGCTATAATTGGGATTGGGCATGATGGTTAACTCTTATGGTTATTGTATAACATAGAAGAAGTTTTGAAGTCATTAAGCACCAACAATAAACCACTGCCCTTGGACAATCTACACTTTCTCCAAATGCATCTGTGCATAAAGATTTTGACAACCCATACATGTTCCAAAATTAGCTACCATAGTAGGATGTGTTCCTAGTGAAATTTATCCTCTTTCTCATATGCTATGAAGATTTTAAAGAGATCAAATTAATATTTTGTTATCTCTTTTGTTGTATCACATGAACCTAGTCTATGTATGTCAAGTTTCTACGTACAGAGGCCACTCGTCTCTTCCATCTAACCCAAAGGATTCTATAAGTGAGCTTTTCACATGAAAGCATGACGAACAGATGCATAACTTAGTTGCTGCATGTACAACTACTTTAAGAATTATATCAAAATAAGCACATCCAAAACATCAGCATCTTGATCCCTAATATGCTTGGGCCCCATGTACTTCCCATACATAAGTAGACTAACCAACCTCTTTTTTTTTTTTTCTTTTCTTGTTCTCTCTTAATCCCCTCAGCTTGTACAACTAATTGATGGATATTTGTATATAACTTAAAAGCAGAATCGATTCTACTCGATTACTGACAGCTTGTAAATGGATAAACAATGTCTATCGTGTTTTTACCTCATTATGTAGGCAGATAAATTAGCAATTAGTAATTATGGTTTCCATTGAATTACTTGGCCTGACGAGAGTGACTAACATGCTCTACCATTCAAATAAGACAGATGATGAGCCAATCATTAATATTGAAGTTCCGATACCAAAATATGTGATGTTATCATTCCTAAGTCACTTGGTTGTTGAATCAATGTCTGAAAGTTTCAAGTTTGGATTCTAAGATAGTCACAAATGCAGGTAAAAAAAACATCTGAACAAGCGAATAACCATTTGAGCACTACTTTTTTCTATGGTTTTCATCTTCCTTACTGACAAGTTAGGGAGCTAAGCAAGCAGCATGACACACTGCAGACGGTCCAGTGGTGACGTCTTCGATGACTGCCTTACTCACTGGTAAGCAACCAGCAAATGAGTTAAGAATGCAGATCTATTTCTATTTTCGGTACGGATCTAAAATGACTTGATAAGAGAAAATGAAGGCGATAATTAAAGCATTATCTAATATTAACTTTGTGTCCATGATATCTTGAATGAGATAATTTATGTACCTAACACAATATCTAAACCTAAGGCAACCTTCAAGTATTCCATGGGAATTCTAAAGCATTAGAACGAACATATCAAACTATACGGATGACAAAGGCAAGTAAAATTCAACCAGTACCTCAAGTTCCAAGTTGGTAAAGCTGATTCATTATTAGAACACAAATCATCTCCAGCTGAAATGGAAGATCTTGAGTGTTTTTCTGCCTCAGATGTTGGGAAATCTAGTGCAAATGATGAAAGAAATGAATCAGCTGCTGCATTCAATGTGGTGTTGCTTGATCTATAGACCCCATTTCCCAAAAGCAACTGCAGATGGGCTTCACGAAGGTCCTTCCTAAGTCGGGAAAGTGCCTGGCTGCTAGGGATGGTATACCCGGATAAAGGCCGAGATCTCTGCATGTAATCCAAAGTTAGCAATAAGATCTTAGCATCAATGTTGGCCCTCAAGAACTATCGGTTTTGGCAGTTGCAGTCATTATGTGAAAAGATTCAGCATTTTATGATCTGAATCAAATCAGCAATTTCAAAATAAGAAAAAAAAACCAAAAGGATTTATTTTAAAATTCAAAGTAATTATAAAGTCAGGATGTGTGTCAGTAGTTTCAGCAACTATCAATCCATATAAAACCATAACTTGAACAGAAGTTTGAATCCCAGTTCTTTTTGAGCTGATCCAGATCATGGCCAGCTGAAACTTCAACTTTGCCAAACTATTTTAGGAAAAGGATACCTTTAACAAGTGTCCATGTTGCACTATAATATGATTCAGCATGTCTTTCATAATCTTCACAGAGCAGATAGGGCAAACCTGAAAAAGAATCATTGAAGATTGTTACTTGCGGCCACCATGTGTATCAACTAACACAAAGACATGGTGCATAGACTATTCTTTCTGCTTGCAACACTAATGTTGGTTGACAACATTTCAGAACTAACAAAGATAATCGATCTGATCTTTTAGCAATTCCATATCTACTCAAAATTTACATCTCTAATCCACAAGCAAGGGAGAAGAAATTTCTAGTATTAGCTTAGATTAGAGGTAATTTAGGATGAATAGAGACCACAAAAATAAACTGTTCTGCTCGCTTTTCCCCCCATTTCTGAGCGATCAAACTGTGATAGGCTCGAAACAAGCCAATTGTTTCTTCAAACTGAAGCGACTTGACAGCAATAATCTCAATAAGCGATCTGAGTGCTCAATACTCACAGCAACTTTCGATTCAAAAGGATGCTCCTCTTCAAGATGGGAGCACAAAGAAGCGAGGTCGTGATCCTCATAGCAGTACGGGCAGGGCAAATCCGGCCAGATCTCCTCCTCCATCGCGAAGTCATCTACGCTCAACCGATCTGAAAAATATGAATTTTGGCAACACGAGACAAGAAATAAGACCTTGACTTTGTGATCGAAGAAGAAGCAACGCGCATCAGGGAGTCGTTTTCAGGAAAAGGATAAAGAAGGGTAATGGAAGAGACAGGTCGGAGGAGCACCTGATCGACTATTGTGGCGAAGCTGGAGCGACAAGTGTCTCTTCGCCGCTTCCAGGCGCGAGATCCACAAATCGGAATCCATTCGACGGGAAGGCTCGAGGAGCGGTTCTTGCTGCCGAGTCGGGGTCTGAGATCCGACCCAAATGATAAGTTTCTCCCCTTCCCCCCTCTCTCTCTCTCTCTCTCTCTCTCTCTCTCTCGCCCTTCCTCTAATTCAGGTTCGTTGCTCGAACCGAGATCAATTGGCAGAGCAGAGAGAAAGAGAGAGAGAGAGAGGAGGGAGAGAGAGAGGAGCGGAGAGGATAAAAATGGGATTTTAATTTGGTTGGTTATCCATGCGCGATTTGTCAGCGGCACGGTTTAAGGAGTTGGGAAGTCGTCTTCCTCAACCTTTTGGTCGAGTCCAACACGAATCGGAGTTCTGGGATTAACCTGTTCCGCGAGATAACGCACACAAATGGAATCCGGCCACGCCGCCTCGGTCAACATATATTATTAGGGTTTCGTCTCGCGGTTGGCTCTTGGATTGCTGTTCTTGTCTGCTTTCTGGGGTTAGGGCTTCGGCGGCCATGGCGACGACACAGCAGCACCAACACCAAGGTGGAGCAGGTGCCGCGAAGAGGAAGCCGGTGTTCGTAAAAGTGGATCAGCTGAAGCCCGGGACGAGCGGGCACACCCTCACGGCCAAGGTGCTCACCTCCGAGACGGTCCTCCACAAGGGCCGCGCTTCCGCCGCCCAACTCCGCCCCACCAGGATTTCCGAGTGCCTCATCGGCGACGAAACCGGCACCATCGTCTTCACTGCCCGTAACGAACAGGGTTCGGTGCCTTCCCTTCCCTCCTGTTTATCTTTCGTTTTGTTCGTAGTTAAACCCCATCCTTTCTTTTTTCTTCTTTCATATCATTAGCCTTCGTTCTTATGCATGCATCATGTACTGCACCAATGCCTACGAGCACCATTTAAAGGAGAGTGTTGAAGCTTGTTGCATCTGCGTTTTTCTATTGATGATTAGGTGTTGTGTTTGTTTAATTGCTCTTCCGTGAAACCTGATACTATCGAGCCAGTGATCATGGAGAAAATGTACAGAAGTTGAGGATTAGGAGTTGGAATGGGGGCTTGATTAGAATCATGATCTGTGTGAATTAATATATCGACATGTAACTCATAATTGACTTGTTGTTCAAGACTCTCATCTTAAAATAGGAGGAAAAGAATATTTAGGTAACTAGTATTCATGGGAATGGTCCACACCATAATGAGGAGTGCCTTTTTGGGGTTTGTTGAGTTCCAGTCAAGGCTTAAAATAAGTTTGTACTGTGTGTAACAATTAAGTATAATAATATGCTTGAGCTACATGTTCCTTGCCGGTTGCATCTTGTGTTTGGTGAAGTGGGAGACTAGAATAATCTAGCCCTAAGGGAGGATTTGTTTTTTGTTGGCTTGTTTGTTTGTGTTCTTTTCTCTCTGCCTCCTTTGGTGAGTCCACCAGAAAAAATATATATAATAACAAAAACAACAAGGAATAAGTCACAATCATTTGGGGCCAAACACAGATGCTTCCAAAAGCTAGAAGCAAATTTGTATAGAACTATTGTCTTTACTTAGTCCCCTCTTTGAGGTTAGTTATTTTAGATGTATTATTACCAGCAAAAATGTTTGTCCTTTATGCAAATTTTCGAGATACCTTGTTGTACTCTCTATGGATGATATGTCTTTGAAGTGCAGTTTACTACTACTACCAATAATAGTATAGCGGAAAAGTGGGCAATTTGAAAGATGTTAACTTGTCAAACAAAATGACATGGTTTCACTTATACACGGTGGTGTTTGACAGTTGTATTAGTTATAAACACCTAACCATAACAAAGAACACACACATATCCTGTCCATAGTTTATATTCAAAAAATATATCACAAGTTATCATCTATATCTGCAATAGCATGGATCCATGTTTGCTTATCTCCTTGCCCATCACATCGGTGGGTTTTCAATGTCCTTATCTGTAAAACAAGGTCTACTATAAGTGATAATGCAGTAAGCATAAACCTATAGTCTTATTCAGGTGAGTAGGTATTATGTCATGTTTGCAACATTTTGTAATCAAATGCAGAAAACATCTCATGGTAAAACATCCTCTTAGAGCTTATTTATCCATGTGTACCCTCATGATAGGATATACACGTATAAAAGTGCAAAATTATGATCTCAAGTAACTCATAATGCATATGTTTAAGAGTAAGTCATAGTACAAGGAGAATGATTCTTCAATAAGGTGGAACTCTTCCTATTGCCCACGGAGCGGGAAGGAAATAATCAAGAGTATAGATTAGTTGATAATGTATAGATCGGGGAGAATGAATATAATAAGATGGGGAAGTCCATAAGTGACTATACATCGGGGAATTCATTACAATAATGGGGAATTCCATAAGTGAGTATGGATCGGGTGCACACTTATATCACACGTCACAATTTATGTGTGCACTCTCACATCGCACGTTATGTTTTATATGTGCACTCGCATACTGCACATCGTAACATATACATGCATTTTTATATTGTATGTCATAATATATATGTGTACGCTCACATCGCATATCATAATGCATATATGCACTCCCACATCGCATATCATCACATCTGCATGTACTCTCACACTGCACGTCATAATACATGTACATTTTGATATCGCACATCACTACATCTATGTGCACTCTGAAATTGCACGTCATCCCACCTATATGCCATTCATTTTCGTTTTAATTCATGTATTTTTATGTTCATGCGCTGCTTATATAAACAGTATACTGATGCCTAGATTATTGCAAATGTATCTTTCAAAACAGCTTTATAAAATACCTTATGAATGTACACAATATGTATGACCATTGTTTTGCAGTATATTAAGCTTGTACTTACCTGATTCGACTCAAAACGATGTTGTTAGCAAAGGGTCACGGTCCTCAATGATTAGGTGTGTTAGGGAGCTATAAACATATCAAATTTAGAATACAGGATTATGATATACCTAAATTAAGAACCTTACATCTTAGATCACTTATAACTCCTAATGTAAACAATAATTTGTAGCAAAATTTAGGTAGAATTTCCTCTGAATTAGACTGTACCCAACCTGCAAATTCTCTTAAATTTCATTACCAATTTGCCAATAAATCAACCTATAATCAAATGGGCTAGCTACTAGCAATTAAACAAATACAAGATTTTACGAAATAATCTTGCTTCACTATTATTGATGATCAAACCATCTTGTATTATCATGAAATTCTGTAGGAACTCAGGAGACATAAAATCAAATTTACACCAAATTTCAGTTCGAAAAAGAATTTTTTGGAGGAAAAACTATCCTCCCAATATAACTATCATCACCTATTTTGTTCTGTTGTAACTAAATTGAGAATGTCTGAATTTCTGAAGCTCACCTAATGTATTCGTCTAACACATATCAAGAGCACGTAAGTTAATTGTATCTTTAAGGGTGTCAAATTAGTTAGAACAAAATCCTCTCATAGGGATTCTGTGTACTTCGGCTTGACAACTCATATTTCTAAGCACAAAGCTCAGTTTTAAACTATTCAAGAAGTCGTAGATACATAACATAATCATACACAACATATCAAAAAATCAGATACTAATTTCCCTAGGTGACTCAAAATCATTCGAAAATGACAATCTATAAAACTGCTAAGCTGAAACCCTAGGCATATCTATTAGAAAGATTGGCTTTCTTACCTTGTTATTTCTTAGAACCAGAGTTCTTGAAGAGTGAAAAAACTGAGAGAATGGGTGAAAAATGAGAGACAGGGTCATGCCTTATCTGGTTTGATGAGGAGGATAAGGATAAACTAGAGAGGAGTTGGGAATAGTGCATATTTGGGGCTGCTTAGTGGTTTCCATGAGGTGTTGGGTTTAATCTCATTAGGCCTTATCTTATTTCTATCTAAGTATAATGCTAGGGCTGGTACAACCTAGAACATGAGCCTAAATTGGGCCAATTTTCGTTTGACAAAAATGTAGAGTTTTTGGTTTAGGATCATCCTTCAATCTCACTTATGTACCTTATTTCTATTCATGCATAAGTAAAACAATTTACTATTTGATACACATGATGCACGACCCTTTCTCTCATTTTTCACCAATTCTCTTAGTTTTTTCACCCTTCCCTTCGTGGAGAGTAAAAACTCTGGTTCTACTGAATAGCAGAGTAAGAAACTCAATCTTTCCATAAATATACCTGGGTTTCAGCTAGCAGTTTTGTATGCTCTTTTTTTTGGATGATTTTGAGTAACCTAAGGTTCAAATTATATTATGATTATGTTATGATTCTATGGTTTCTTGAATGGCTTTAGTATGAGTTTTGTGCTTAAAGATATGGGCTTGTCAAGCTGAAGTACACAAAATACCTGTGCTCTTGATATGTGTTAGAAGAATCTCTTAGGGTTTTGTAGGTTTTGGAATTGAGTGAATATCATCTTTGTGCATCAAGATATGAGCTTTAGTAGTTCAGGTATCCTCAACCTAGTGTTAATATAATATATTAGGTGATAATAGTTGAATTGGGAGGGCAGTTTGGCCTTTAAATGATTTCATTTTGAGCTGAAATTTTGTATACCCTATTTGCATTGAGTTGCTTATAACTTTTTGTGAACAACTCCAATTTACACAAAACTTGTTTGATTGGAAAGTAGGCTCGTATTACCTTTCTAGCAACACTTTTCATGGATAATCTGGAGCATAATTGCCTGTCTAGATGTCTACTACAACTAACCCTACTGTTTTTGCCAAAATTTATCATAATGAACTGTTCTCAAACTTACACATTCTCGAATGTTCTTGTGCTTCTAATTACTCCTTGAATACACTAATATATCATTAATGAATACAATTACATAATTGTCTAGAAGTGCCTAAAATATCCTATTCATCATATCCATAAAGGCTGCTGGCGTATTAGTTAAATCAAAAGACACCATCAAGAATTTATAGTGATCATATCAAGTTCTAAATATTATTTTAAGGATATCCTCCTTAATCTTCAATTGATAGTAACCATATCTCAAATCTAGATATTTTAAGCCTCTTGTTACTAACTTCTTATTTGTTTTTCTTTTTTATTTTTACGATTGGTGAGCTTGACCTTATCCTACTTGTCTAGTATCTTTTGAATCTCCTCAATATCTCTTTCAATTATCATAACTCTATCAACCACATTAACATAAGTTTTGATCTTTAAAACTGAAACCCAACTTCTTATGCCTGGCCCTAGTCCTCTTTTAAACCATTTTGCTTTTCCAAATTCATCATCAGCCATAGCAAATTTAGAAAGTTCAATGAAACGGGAATTTTACATTGATGCATATCATGAATAGTGTAGTCAAAGGTGCTAGGTGCTAAAAGTTGCCAAAATGCTCGAGACGCTAAACACTCATCTAAGCAAAGTAAGGCACTTGCAAATATTAAAATTTTAAATATATATATATATATATATATATATATATATATAGAATTAAGGAGAAGAGGGAGGAAGAATCGGGTAGGAAGAAGGACAAGGGGCTGTTGGGGTGTGTGGTGGCTCGATAGCTATCAGTTGGGAGGGGAGCTATTGGTGAGGAGGGAGGGGGAGGGGTGCTATTGAGTCCAAGGAGACTCGACAGCTATCGATTGGGAGATGACAGAGGCCGAGAAAGAGGAAGGGGACAATGAGAGGGGTGGAGAGGGGGAAGAAGCAGAGAGAAGGAGAAGAGGAAGGAGGATGGAGATGAGTCTATCAGGTCCAAGGAGGTTCGACAATTGTCAGTTGCGTGGGGGAACTATGGGGGAGGAGGATGAAAGAGAGGAGGGGGTTGACAGTGGAACAGAAAGGGAGAGGGGACAGCTAGAGGGAAGGAGAGGGGGAGGAGGGAGAGAGGGGGCTATTGGGGATGCTCGGTGATGGGTGACAATATCAGAGGAGAAAGAGAGAGAGCAAGGTGGGAAAGAGAGAGCGTTACTGTGAAAAAAAGACACAATTGGAGGGCCACCATGTGAGAGGAAGCTTCTAGTCGGTTGACGAGGTGTCACTTTGCAGCAAGAGGAAGTTGTTTGCTGCACTAAGTCATTTGTTTGTTTTCATCGCTAGCATTAGGTTTTCTAAAGAGGAGGTCGGGGTTGATCTTGTGCATGTGCAGGGGGTAAGCAATGGGTCATTTGGTTTGAACGAACCATCATCATGCACATTAGGTTTGAGCAAACCAGGAGCATTTTAAACATGCACATGAGCCACCCGATGCTTGGGCCGCACCAAATTGCAAGCACTCACCGGATCCACCATTGAGGCGCTTGGGCCTTGTCTCGCCTCGCTTGGGTGCCCGGTGACTTCTGTGATTATGACATCTTATGCAGATGACTTTCTGTAATCGAAGTTTAATATGCTTTTAAAGGTTATTGATATGATGAGCCTTTGGTGGATTGCCTCGCTTGGGTGCCCTGTGACTTCCATGATTATGACATCTTATGCAGATGACTTTCTGTGATTGAAGTTTAATATGCTTTTCAAGGTTATTAATATTATACGACACTGCTGCAAATCCACCTTGCATGCATAAAATGACATGTATAAATTGCACATATGAGATATGTTACTTTTAGTATTATTTTTCTATATGAAAGGGTGCAACAATTGTTTATGGAGGGATTAGTTTGGATTTGCATGTACCATTATTAGATGACTGTCAAGGAGCCCTTAGCTTAGTCGATATGTCTCGGCAATTGTTTCACTTTGGAGTTTAGTTTCTTCCCAAATGGTTGTTTGACCTTATGTATTCCAGGCATTGGATTTTTTGGCCAATATATATAACATATATGAGATATGTATGACTTTCACTGCAACAGTGAGAAAATAATGCTAGAAGATGAGATTCTCCGTGTTGCTTGATGAAGTTATTTGGTTTCCTTCTACTTTCTTTATCCTTAAATATTTGTTTGCATTTTACTGCTTCTTGTTTGCTGAAGTGCATCTGGAAAATCCTCTCCACGTATGGACATATGCCTTTGTATGAAGATGTGCATCTATGCATGCACAGGATTTTATCATGAGTATTACATCTGCACAAAGATTTGACATCGCTTGCATATCTTATAGGCATAACAGCACCACCCTACATCAAGTGATAGTGCATGTACTATTATTCTTTTACCTCTCATTTGTTTTGGACAGGAACATCTTTCTAATTATTGTTACAAAGAATTTTGAGAGAATTGATATTAAGATTGCTCGTAAGAATGTACTTTTGGACCTTTGGTCCATTGTAGAAATATGGCGTCTGGCAGAGCTGATCTTGTGATGATTAGTAAGGTCGGACTACCTTATATTTTAAAAGCTTCATTCAGTTTCTGACAGTAATCTTTACACAAATTTCCATTTACCTTAATATTTGCATTTAAGGTTCCTCTATGCTGCTCGACATGCTTACATAAACATAAGTACCTCTCATGAAAATGGTAGCACACATGAGACGTTGAAGATTCTTGGGATGTCTTATATCTTTGTCATTGTAGTCGGCTATGAACTAATTGAATTTCTAAATTAATTGTTCAAAAAAACTTCTTCAATAAGGATTGTTCAACAAAGTTGTATATTTTTTGGCAGTTGACTTGATGAAACCTGGTGCGACTGTCATACTCCGCAATGCAAAGATTGATATGTTCAAGGGGTCAATGAGACTGGCCGTCGACAAGTGGGGGCGCATTGAGGTCACGGCGCCTGCAAGTTTCACAGTGAAAGAGGACAACAACTTATCTCTGATTGAGTATGAGCTGGTCAATGTTGTGGAAGAGTGATGTCCAGTGGTAGAGATAAGCACCGAAGAATCACAGGTTAAATTCTACGTCAATCTCCTGGAGATAGTTTTGAGTGTGCAGGGATGTGAAAACAAGTGGTTTGAAGGCGAGTAGTTTCAGTGCTGATGAAGCTGGCCGTGGTTTCAACCTTGTAAGAGTTGAGGCTTCGCTAAGGTTGCTGCTGCTGCATCAGTTTTATTAGTTCCTTAGTTTTTTGGCTGATTGTTATTTTCTTGCAGATTCTGAAGACAACTTGTATTATTTGTTGACCTCTGTGTACAATCCAGCTGCAATTTAACATTCTTATGTGGGGTTGGATATCGACCACGGTCATTAAGCGGGGTTTTGTTTTGTGCGCATTGTTTGCAAGCTCACCATAGGCATGCTTTATTTTTGTTTGCAAGCTCACCGTATGCAGTATGCATTATACGTGTGTGTGTATATATATATATATATAATCATTAATTTTATAATATGCAAATGTGGACCCAAATCTGAAATCTCACATATATTAATTATATATAAACCTAGTATCAATTATCTCATTTTTTAACTGTAATATTTATAAATCTCATTAACGTATAAATCTAATAAAAAAAAACTCAATAACCATGCAGAATTTCATCCCAAATTTTAACCCCAATATTTACCTCATGGCAATCGCTTCGAGGAAAGACTAATAAATAGAAAAATCCCAACATGGAACCTTGGGTTTGATCCATCGTGACACAAGCAGCCATTATACCCGCAAATCTATTGTTTCAAACAGCTCCAAGTCAGATAAACGAGCAAAAAGACACGAGCTTCATTTGAGATAATGCTGTCGATCGCTAGGACTACATGCTAGATGATGAAGGATATTAATCCAGTTCTAATAGATAGGATATAGGAAGTGGAACTGCCGGGGAGCTATAAAGCTCTACATCATGATCAGGATGAATTGGGATCAACTTCTAGTTCAGTTACCATTTGTACAAGTAATCAGAAACTGGAAAGACTGGGCAGGCTCGCTCATCTTCCTTTCAACTTTTATCCCAAGTTTCTAATCCACCTTCGCAACTCAAGAAATTTCCATCAAGTTTAACACCATATGATGAGGGTGCAATCACCACAAAGCTTGTTGGCCTGATGAACGGCAACCGATAAATTAATAGCGAATTATAGCTGTGTCCCGCGGTGCTGTTTCCAGTGCAGGCAGTTGGCTTATAGAAGAAAGGAAGAAAACATAGACTGCTTCTAGCACCAACACGTCTGAGGAGACCATCGTCATTCTATATAATCAATACCACGACTGCTCCACACATGATGAAAAGTGTTAAACCTCCTAATCACTGTACTCCGAAGAAAATGATGATGCTCCCTCATCTTCATCTCCATTCCCTTCTGCATCCCCGACATCCTCCGGATTATCTCTCATCTCATCATCATCGTCATCGTCCATATAAGCATCCAAATCATGTCCACCACCCACATCATCCTCTTCACCCTCTTCATCCACCATGTCTCCACCATCCTCCTCTTCAGTTTCATCATCAATTAGTCCCGTGGACTTGCCCTCATCATAGTCATCTCTAGCTGAGTCTGCTGCCTGATCATCATATTCATCTCCTGAAGCTCGGCCGTTTTCATCAGACTCGAAGCCCGCACTGTTATCATCCTCTTCAACATATGTTTTTCCAGCATCTTCACCAAGACCCCACTCTTCTCCACCTGAGCTCGCAGGAGACTCCTCTATCCTTGCCTGATTAGAGCTGCTATCTGCAGTGATAAAACTGCCCAAAAGAGATCTTTTATCAATTGTAGCTACCCTGTTGTCAGATCTTTGTCTAGGTCTAATGGTTCGACGGCCACGCCTACGACCACGGCCACGTGTTCGCCCTCTTCTAGTATATTTTCTTGTGGCCTTCTCGAAACTACCAATATTATCAGTCCTAAATTCAACCCTAGAAGAACTTCCACTCCCTCTCAACCCTCTTCCTCCTCGGCCACGGCCCCGGCCTCCACGTCCGCGACTACCTCTGCCTCGGCCCCTGTATCCACTTCCAGTATCCAGCCATCTCCCATCATTATGATAGTCAAGTTGATCAGGTGTTCCCATTGGCTCTACCTCTTGCATGTTATTAACAACTGCATATCGTGATGGAAGTTTCTGCAGTAAACAAAAATGCCTTCAAAACCTTGAAAAGCAACAGAAAAACATAAAAGATATAGAAGTTACACAAAGCACAAACTAGATGAGAAACAACAATTATTAAGCCCCTTTATTTATCTATTGTTTCAACCAACTGTTTCTGGGTCTGAGAAATCTTGCACCTCATATTTTCACACAGTGCCTCAAAAAGTTAATGAACATAATGCATGACTATGCTGCCACAAAAATTTGGAACATGAGAAATTGCCAATTCTAGATTAGATTAACAGAATAAAACTTCCAATAAATCATCTTGCCAAAGATCCATAATTGTATGACCGATGGCTACTTTGAGTCTGAATGGATGAATCGAGGACAACTAAAAGACAAACGTGGACGACCATAAGAAAGCAAGATCAAGAAACATTAAAAATAGCACGTTTGGCAACTACTGCAGCTAAGAAAACATGTTAGATTATAGAAAAAGAAGCCTCAAAGACGTGGTACTTCAACAGATGCATGCAGATGTTTCAAGTTTATGCATGTAGATGTTTCTCAACCGTGCAGGCACACCACCATAAACCACTCTTGGTAATTGGGAATTAGAACTCAAGAAACTTGTTTAGCACTAAAGGTTTCTAAAAGAAAATTTTGCATGCAAGCAAGGCACATAGCATAGAATTGATGAGCTGACTGATCTCTGCTCTATCGGAAGTGGTGAATCAATTCCTGCACTAACTTATAGGTCTCATTCTGAACGCTCTCCAATAATAGGAAGCTTCGAAATAAAAACTGTTATTGGCTTAAAAGAAATATATTTGACATTGCTTATAGATTTCTGAGATTAGGGTGTGCATAACAGACAAGGTAAATATTCTAAACACACTTGGTTGAAGGGGCAAAATGAAAGATCGACACATGCTGAGACGTTTTTCCTTTTTTTTATTTTTGTAAAATGCCACTCCAGGTTGATACTTGATAGGAATTAAAATTCTATCTTTACAATTGAATGTTACATCAATGGTTTCCATAACTTGAGATTTAACTTATTAGTTGACCAAAAGTAATAATTAGCTAAAATCTTATTCAAGTAAAATATGTTTCCTCATTCCATTTGACATATAATCCAGATTGCAGACCAAAAACAAGAAAAAACCAGAAACATCAAGAAAAAGAAATACAACTTACAATATAATCTCCTTCCTTTTCTTTATGATACTCCAGCTTCTGTTGCAGCATATAAGAAATTGAGGAATCAAGATCTAACAACCGCAAAGCCACAGCAGCTGAAGTATCAGGCACCCATGGTAGTACAGGAATTGATCCCGAGTGAGCAGCAATAATCTCTGAAGCAACTCGTGCAGTAGAACTCAGCAGTTCAGTTGTGGTTTCAAAATTTGAAGATAGAAAATCCTGTTTTATTGCACTCTCCAACAAAGTCAGAATCTGCAAGCACATAACGTAAAGCAGATAAATTCCCAATTTTTTGCTTTAGAAGAAGCTTCCATGGACCAGAAAGAGAATAAGCCCACTGAAACATATTTACACCCTCAACGATGAAAAGAATATAACACACAGAATTTGACACCACAAAAGTTGCATTTCAAAATCAGGCAGCACCAAGTAGTTCAAGGCTTCAAGCAATAACCATAGAGGCAACACAAATAAGAATTCATTTTCTTACATAGACAAAAATCACACTTTGAGCTTCGTATTTGCTTAGATACAAAAAATCAGATTGACTAAATCTAGCCTACCTTGGATACACTTGGAAGTCCAGATCATTATGATTTTTGTCTATTTCAAGTCTTCCTTGACCTTAGTTGTAATGCAATTTGGTCCTCTAAACCATTCAACTAGTTTACGTAGATTCTTCAGACACTTACTATTCTAGTATGCAACTGGGAAAATTTGTTCATCTCATGTCGACAATCATGCTATACAAACACATTTCTAAATTAGTTTCCCTCTGAAGTATTTGCAAAGTATGAAGCTACAATTTTAAACATAAATATGATGCTCACGATCACACTCTGCATCAACATATATTTTGCATAATTTAGCCAACCTCAGATAGTTGAGACTATGACATTCTGTTGTCATTAAGACAATAAGTGAACTTATTGAGTCCGTGCCAAAAAAAGTACACAGAAAGCATTTTTAACTTTTAAGAGCCCCAGCTTCATAACTAAATAGTAAAATTAGACGTTCACAAGACGAACTTTGCTGCACATGCAAACAACCTTGAGAATGATGACAATGTTGCAACAATAAGCAATTACTCCAGGTGAATGTAGACAGCTTTTGATGAATCGCAATGTTCAATCATGGAAAAGCTCCAACAAGCAAAGAAAGACTTGATCATGTCATTACAGAACAAGTATCATTATCTTGCATTTACAACAGGAAAATGGTAATATAGTGACTCAAACTTAAAATATTAATGAATGGAATAGCAAATTCAAAAAACTCCCATGTCAAAAATTGAACTGATATCACTACAGAATTTTTTTGTTTCATGTGATTCTTAGTTTCAACATCTAATATATGAAGTCCACTTTGTTGTTCTACCATGTGGCATGAAAAATATATTCGGTTGTCAACATATCAAATGAGTTAAACCTGAAAGAGTTCCTCAGCCGAAGATGAAGAGTGCAATTTCACAGCCCATGATTTCCTATATCCCTCTGTCCAAAAAGCCTGAAGAGCTTCTGCTGGAATTGAAACCTGCAAAAGTAGCATTTACAGGCCCATAATTAAGCAGATAAGGAAGATTTAACAATATTATGTAAAAAAAGGTTATAAAAGATTTAGGACTTCAGAAGGGTTTCCCACCTCAATCATGGATAACTGTGCTTTAAGCAATCGGATTCCAATGGGAAGAGTAGAGTCAGAGAGTTGGGGTTTCCAGTCAGGGTCTGACTTTCTTTTTGTTTCACACAAAGCCACATGCTCTGACAAAATTGCATCAGAGTTGTGAAAGGCCTTAAATGTCTTGTGGCAAAAAGGACAATGCCTTTCTTCAGCTAAAAAGGACTGGAAGCAAGAATTGCAAGTATGAAGCAACTCTGAGCATCTTTTTTTCCCATATTTCATGGCACATAACATGTAAGGATTATAACATTCTTTCCACATCCATCTCAAGAAACCTTCGTATCTCTTCAAGGCAGCAGTTTTCTCAACTTCATTCCGCCCAAGTTCAATTTTGAAAGATGTTGACTTCTCTAAAGCATCAGAAGCAAGACCGCAGAGGGTACTGCTGGGACTGTCGAGTTCCATGCTGCAGTCTGGACTTACCATCATCTTGGGCACCCCTATTTTGACATGGTCACCAACTGACACTGCAGAGTTGAAAGATTTCTTACTCCTCCTAATGGCTTCTTTAAAGGTTGTTTCCACTCTTTGCAACATTGAATGCAAATGTGACTCTCTGATCCCACGTGTATCCAAAGCAGCTAAAAGAGCATCAAACACCTACATTCATAGAAGACGATTAAAAAAACACGAGTCACGAGGGTCAATTCAACAACTGAAACTTAAATTTGGGTAATGTCTTAACCTAAATTCATCTGACTGTGGAATCCATGTGGTACTTCGCACCTAGACTCTTCTCTAAAATTGAGTGAGATTATATCATCTTTATGTACCTTTTGGTTGCCATGCACATTTTCACACAGCTCTTCACAAACAGGTGGAAAATTGACACAAGTGACACGGTTTATTATAGAAGGCAGACATAGCTGGGCAACAAGTTCAGCAATCCCTGTAACTACTGAATTATTTTATTAATTTTTTTTTTCGAAGGGTATGAAACTCCTCCATGTAGAGTAGCTATCACATCAAATGATATACCTCAAAATCTAAAATATACAACTCTAAAAATTTGATAATGAACTTTATCAGTTAAACCATTGTAATACCTAATACAGAATACCAAGAAAGGAAAAAAGGGTGAAGGAACAACATTACTGTAATAGTAGCAGCAGAGGAATCAGGATGTGGCTAAAGATCCGACTATACTTGATTTTGACAACTAATATAAATTCAAAACTTAAATAACATTAATGTCCATGTATGAGCTATTGGCTACTTCTGAAGCTCCAACTTCTTAACTCCTAGACAAAAAATAAAGATAAACATTTTGATGTTTGCAGGATAATGAGCAATGAATATGTCATCGTTCCTTCATCATTAACAAGTATCACATATTAGAAAACAAAAAGAATTTTTTGTGAATCATAAAATTTGGGTGGTTGAAACTTATCCTAAAAGAAAAAGGTATTGATTTGAACCTATATCTATTATACCACACAACAGGATCTAGCATGTAAAAAAGCATCTATTCCACCATATAATTTCAGTGCCAGTGCAGTGAAGTTAATTATAAATGATAATGTATTAAGAAAAGATTGGTAGGTAAGACAAAACTATATCGGTATTACTTCGAGACCTTACAGACAATCATTGTATTAACCATCAGAAACATATTGATATTTTTTATTCTTGTAAAAACATAGGGATACTCGATAAGCCAGATCACGTATGGACTACAAGGCTCCAGTACATGTGTAAAACTCGGTGCTTCCTTCACTAAAGCTATGAATACCACTGTAGCAAATACTTACTGGTTTGCAGTTTTGAACTATTCAAACAAAATGCTGTGGGCTATGTACAAGATGTGAACACTAGCGATATCAACTGTCACAGCCTAATGTGATCTTACATTAATAAATTCATTCATATATGAGACCTTTGAAAAAACATTTAGTATACCAGGGAAAAAATGAGTTTATGAAAAACTGTTATTCCATTGTATCAGAAAGATTTACGTCTAAACAAAAAAAGTATGAGACAAAGTACCTCCTCTGAGTCAATAAGCCTCCAATGGCCATCTTTGGATTCAAAAAATATTCTCCCGGAGCCAGGATCATTTGGTGAAGAAGATGTCGAAAATTGCCAATACCGATTACGCCTGCGGTCTTGACCTAGGGGTAATGACCGATATACATAGAGTTGCTCTGCCTTGTGACCAATAAATGATTTTAACTGTGAACGTGACCTTTCAGTAGCATATCCATAGTGCTGAACTGGAAGGACATCTGCACATGTAAGTTCTTGTCCCACAGACATATTACCATAATTAACCTGATTCTGCTCAAGAAACCGCTCATTGTTAATTGCTTCTAGATTACCATCATTACTCTTATCAACATTGTCTAGTGGAGTTTGGCTTTCCTCTCTTGCACCATTAGTTAGGGCTGTCTCAGCCTTGTAACCACCAAAAGCAGCACTTTGTAATCTGCTAGAATACTCCTCTCTAAACCGCCTTTTATCAAGCTGTGCCTCTGCCCACATTTGTTTTTTAAGAGCACTTGCGGCTTCCAAACGTTCCTGCACGGCATTGCGTCAATTTTATGATGACAAAAAGAAGTAATCAGATTATGAAATGACATAAATATATCATATTAATACCTCAAGAACTACACGTATTGAATTTCCTTCAATAGCCACTCCTATCAAAGCAACAAGTGCATTTATGCGCTCTTCAACGCTCAGTTCATAATAATCACTTTCAGATAATCCCTGAACCCATGGTTCACCAAAGTTGTTTTCATCAATCTCTGTCTCCTCCATGTCAGTATTATTTTCTTCATGGAAGTTTGAATTGGCATCAGGAAGCTGAGATGCATGCGAAGTGCTCGCAGTTCTTGAGTTCTCTGAAGGAATGGTTGGACCTTTTTCCACATTGCCAAAATTAGTTTGTGGAATTACTCCAATCTCTCCCCCTGTTTCCTTACCCAGTAGAGTCGATGCCTTAGAATCTTTTAACTCACTTGTGAAAGGATCATCTTTATCTAGTTTTGCATCAATGCTAGCATCATCAACTTCAGGATCATCAGCAGCATCACCTTCTGAATCTTCATCTCTTTCTGCATCATCTGCATCTTCTGTATCCTTTTCAGCTCCCTCAGAGTCTGAGAGTGCACTTTGAAATACTTGTATCTTTTCCCGAGCAGCAGATAGTACTGCATCCGCCTCAGCAGGATCTTTCCTATATGGGGACCTTACACAATACGTTGAAGGAGCAGTTCTTTCAAAAAGTTTTGTGTCACGTGATAATGCTGCAGCAATAGATGCCTCTGGTGTCTTGCTTGTGGTTAGGTCCCTCAATCCTGATTTCTGATAATGCAACAAAAGTTGGCTAAACAAATCAAAAACAAAAAATCAATCATACAAAAGACATTTACCTGAATCTTGTCTGCAACTTCTAGTATTGTCAAGCCTCTGCTTCCCTCGAGAGAAAGAACATGAAAAGCAGCAAACTTGACTGTTCCAGGAGTCAAACGATGCCGAGATCTACGTCGATGAGTATAGCCCCTTTCTTGCATCAAAGCAGCAGCACTTTCAGCTGCTGAACCATTTCGTAAGATGGAAATAATGTCCTCCCCATCGTTACCCTAAGTAGAATGGTGCTTGAGACTTTAGTAGCAACACCATATTGTGATAGCATCACTGGATTAGTGAACACTACTAAAACAACAAAAAATCATGCATTTGACATTAACAAACAATTAGCTTCACCAATTCCCAAAACGTACATGCTACATAAGTCACCAACCAAGGTTTTAACTTTCAAGGCTCAGAAGTTTCATAGATTAGATACATACTCTACTACATTTTTTATTGAATATATTTGCAAGCCATCATAGTATAAACTAAGGTTTGCGATTTTGAATCATACCGCCCAATACCAGTCCGCCCATGAACCGGTACACAAACCGCTCGCTACCGAGCGGTCCGCTTGATATTCGGGCGAATAACGATCGAAATTTCAACCGTTACCGCCTACTACTAGGCAGTATCAGCCTGGCTACGATGAGGATGAAGGAGAAGTGTCGAAGAAGAAGGAAAGGGTGTCCGAAGAAGAGAAGAAGAGGGAGAATCGAGAGAACCTCGACGTGAACTTGTTTCCACACCCTTTCTAGACCTCCATCCTACGCCACCCTCCCTCGAGGATCCCGATCCAAGAGGTAACGACGAGGAGAAACGTAAAGAGGAGGATCTGGAGGCATGAGGATCAGGGGAGACGACAGCTAGAGCAACGGAAGAGGCAATCTCCTTCATCGCATCGTCTACGACTCTACAACCTTCTTCTTCCCTGCCTTCTTCACTGAATGCCGGAGACATTTGCGGCCTTCGACGTCTTCGTCGCCTTCTTCGCCGAATGCTGCAGACGAAGTGATAAGGAGAAGAGGAGGCGAAGTCGCCTAAGCTACGTACACCTTTTTTAAATATTTTTATATAGTGATTTTTATACTTCTTATATAATATATATATATATATATATATATTATTTTTATATATTAAATATATATATATATATATATATATATATATATTTATATATTTTTAGGCATACTACTCGGTACACCCTGGTGTACCGCTTGGTACGTCGGACCATACCATATCGATCAAAGCTCGGTACACCGTACAGTACAAAATTTCAATCCTTAGCACAAACTAAGGATAAAATCAGCACTTTATAACTATCCAGACATCTATTAAAGCTAAAATTCAGGCATGAAACACAGCTGTAAGCAAAGGCACAATTCCGTTACCTGTAGTAGATTGCATTTTAACTCAATAAACAACAAACCATTTATGATCTTAACCACATGTTCAATGTCTGCTGATTGTGTATCAGCCTGCCATTAAGTTCTATTAAGAACAATGCCACTAAATTTTTCATGGTTTTCCTCCAACTCTTTCAGAGACCTTCATATAAGACAAGTCCTTATAAATTACCAATGCAACTACAGATCATCTTTGGACATATCCAAGCCACCCTGAATGAATTCACCTTATTTAATACTTGGTTCAAACTTGAAAGTACAACTGACTTCTCTCAAAAATACTCATTTTTCACGAGATCACTTTCCTAAAAAAATAAAAGCCTCAAAATGTTTCGCATATAATTAAATTATTAACATCTTCAAGTAAAACGAGCCATCTTGACAGTTCATAAAAAATAAGACTAAAACAAAAACCACTTTTATGATTTTCAAATAATCATGATTGAAATAAAGAAAGAAGGTAATTTGTATTTTGGATCAGGTATCTCAAGTTCAACTCAGGCTATATTATATAAGATAAAAGTTCAATTTCACTTCATGGTTCCTATATGATTGCAGACTAACAGAGGTGGGACAGTGGCTGCACCACAACAGCTATCTGTACAAGTGAGACCAATTCAGTCACTTCCAGTATGCCCCCAAGGGCAGATCAAACATGGACACAACCACATGCACCACAAAATACAGATTGTTGCTGTAATTACAATCAAACTAGCTCGAGCAGTCACCTGCTATTATTATTGACATTGAGGTGACTGACTATGGCAGGCAATGGAAAGGACAGAAGTAGCAGAAGTAAAATTGGAGCATTCATCCCTACTTGTGAGCCATAGAAAGTACAAACTGTTTCAGACAATTATGTCCTACGGTCTTCTCACGATAAATTCTCACTCTATACTTTCAAATTTAAAATTTTGGCATTTATGTTGTGTAATTTATAAATGTGTGTCCATACCAAATTGTAATATTGAGCTATCCTGATCAACATTTTAATAGTCAATTGTGGTATGACATGTATCCAGAAATTTTTGGCATTCAAATGAACTTATCCTAAAGGCTTGATTAACATAACACAATTGATGGCTTACATAATAAGTCAAAAAAACAAAAACAATTGTAGCAGAAACATCAACAAAGGTCAGGCTATCTCGTCGAAGTAATGCAGAGAGAAAAGAACCTATATGGATATACTTTTCTCAAAGTTGATGCAACGTAAGTACCTCATGCTCATCCGGGAAACATACACGTTCAACATTTCTTTTCTTCAGTTGAGGCCCAAATCCAGCTGACAAAGCAAATTGTCGCAATATCTCAGGCCATGTTAAGTAATTCAAATGGCGCTGCCAACTGCGAATGTTGAAACCCCATGCATATGCCTAGCAAATGAAGGCAGAAAATGAGAATGTGAGATCAAGATAACAACCAAAAATGACTACTCAACAAGTAGAGAGTTAAAGAAAAGCAGAACATACCCCCTCAATGATATGTGGATGACCACCACCTGGGTTAGCAGTACTACTTTGACTAGCCCCAAGTGTCATAGCAGGAGTCCTTGCAACATCCTCGATGTCCTTGATTATGGATTTAAGTAAAGCAACATGTATTTCTCCTAAAAGTCTAGAGTCCTGAAAATAATTTGTATTAGATCTATAACACAAAAGAAAAGGTGAAGCTTCTTTGACTCATCCTTCTTAAACATTATGGTTATAATAAGTAACTCAGCAAGGTCAGTCTTATCCATATAATTGGTTCGGATCTTTTGCCACCATTAAGCATTGTCAAAAGTGATGTCCTTAATTAAATTAAGAACAATTAAATTTTTTATAGTTCCTAGTACAGATTGCTTACTCTATCTTTTCTTTCCCTGTATCACTAATACTATTGATCTTCATAGCACAACTCTTCTAACTACAACATCTATTGATCTTCATAGCACAAGTCTATACATCTTCAATGAATTTCTCCATCTTAGTGTCTATTGAAGTTACACATAAGTATTCATGAATGAAATTTTTTTGATATCTCTGTTTCCCAATAACTCTATGCTAACTCCATGCATCTATCTTAATATTCCCATCTCAACAACTGAACTCTTTATATAGATTTCTTTTTAACCACCCAACAATTAAAACAACACCAACTAAATTATGATGCTTTTCTTTTAATCTAAAAGGCATATGGTGCTCACACAAAACTCATGGCACTCTTCTCCACTTTCACTGTTCAATTTTTTTACTCTATGAACAATATTTTCATTAATCCCACAAGGTCCTGGGCTAGCTTAGCTCACCACCCAACTCTCTGAAGGTGTCAATTAGTTTGGCTGGAAAAGACTTTGACAGTATATCGCCAGGTCCTAGACCCAAATCTCGCTTTCGTCAGTTATCCTTCGGAAAAAAAAAATCATTAATCTGTTGAATAATTGATTTAAATACTTAAGACTTCTATCTTCTTGTTAGTCTAGCTTAACTATATATCCTCAAATTTCCTCTTAGTATTGCTACAATTATATTTCATATATTTCGTCTTAGTTCTACTTAATTTAAAACTTTTGCTTTCAATATCTCTCTCCATAACTCAACTTCAGGATGAATTTCATTTGAATTCTTACATGCTAAAATAATATCCTCATCAAACAAAATACACCAAAGAGGTTTATTCTATGCATGACCACTATGTTCGTTCCTTACCAATGTAAAAAGATAAGAACTTAACGTTGACTGTTTATATGGCCCTAGAAACTCACTAAGCACGCTTGTTCAACACTAATGACTACACTATCATACACATTTTTATAGACTCAAAAAAACCTATCATAATAAGGCTTTAGGAAGTCTAGCATAGACTCTATCTTATAGTTTTTCTAAAGAAATAAAGACTATATGCAAATCTTTCTTATTTTGTTATTTTTCCGTTAATTGTCTCAATAAATTACTAAAGTCTATTGTTGATCTTACCCAACACAAAACCAAATTTATTCTTAAAAATTAATTTTAATTCCTCTAGAACAATTTTCATAATTGGAATCGTAATTTTAATTCCTCTAGAACAATTTTATAATTCCCTTATTATAAATTGGTACTGAAACATTCTTCTTCCATTTAGAGAGCACATTTCAAGGTTCATAAATAATTCCAGAGTTCACAAAACCAAGATCCCAGGTTCAGAAATGTATAGACAGTTGGAGAGCACTCACATAATCATGGAGAGCTTGCACAAACTCATCTAGAGTGAATGGCCAAAGTCCAAGTACATCAGCAAAAGTAATTAAGAACTTCCAAACCTGAAATTCCAATAAATGGCAGACAATGGATGTGTTAGGGAAATTTTAAAAAATATATTGTAGCAAGGAGAAAACAAATAAAGAGGGAATATTACAAGCACAAAACACCAAAAAAAGGACCATCTGACAAAATAAATACTAACGACGGAAGATACACAAAATTGTAAGAACACATAATTGCTTTTTTTCAGAAGGTTGAACTTCTTCAAAGTGATTTTCACAGATCTACTAAAAAAAGAAAAATATTCACTTGCAATATGCAACAAAGAATAGCATAATGATGGAATAATAAATAAATCTAGACATGAAAGCATAAAAGCCTAAGAGTAAGCTTAGAAAATGCACCATAAGAAGGTTTGCTATGTTCACATCAGAATCAGCCCAAGGTTGAACTGCAAAAGGCCTTTTTAATCTTACAGAACTTGGTGGGAATGCACTCAACATACCTGCAGTTAAAACTGACAAAGTTTACTTTGCATGATAGTGGACCATGAACCCAAAAACAGCTTAAACTTCTATGAACATATTCAAGCATTAAACTGGAGCAATGCTACATTTTCTGAAGTAATTAGCCATATTGTTGACAAAAAGATATTTTAAGATCATTTATTTTATCAGAATTAATACTGTTATAAATTTCTGAATATTAAATTCACATGCAACAAGGAAATGGATCTGGATGATTTATAGAACTGAGCTGAACAACGAAATAGAATCATACTTTTGAATGAGTCAAGTTGTTGCAAAGTATCACTGTCGAGAGCGAAAATTGAGGAGAATCCCTTTCTTGCTGTAGCCAACTCCATTAACTCCAAACGCTCATCCTCGATAAGTTCCATATACTCCCTTGCAATCCTGCGGGCAGTAGCCCTCTCAGTTGCAGCTTTTAGTCTGGCTGCCTCCTTCTCACGCCTCAATTCTTCTTTCTGCCTCAACTTCTCAGCCTGACAAATTCAAAAAAATGTTAGCAAAATATTTAAAAGAAATGGGAGTTAAACGATAGTTTTAAAACCTACTCTCCGGGATTCCTTAAGCAAGAACTTCTCCCTGCGTTCATTTTCACGCCTTTGTTCACGTTGAAATCTCTCTTCCTCACGTTGCTTTTCGCGCATCATCCGCTCTTCTTCCTTTCTTCTTTCGCGATCATGTCTCTCCATTTCCCTCCGCATTTGTTCTTCCCTCTAAAGATCGATAAATTTGTATCAGTACCAAATATTGAGCATATCAAAAGCAAACTTTGAGCAATGAAGCACCTTTCGCCTCAAAACATCTTGTTTCTCAAGCTCTTTCCTAATTCGCTTCTCATGGGCTTCAACCTCCTTAGCAATCCTTGCTTCATCACACTGAATATGGCAAATGCAAAATACCACATTGTTACTTTCAAAAAAAATTATGACAGTGGTAAATTTAGAAATTTTACACACCTTGCGTTTCCTCTCCAATCTAGAAAAATCTTCATCACGAAGAATCCTCCTATCAGATGACAGATATGGGTTTTCTAGTCCCATAGCTTGATGTGTACCAAATTGAGTATCACTTGCAGGAACTTGAAAGGAGTTACTGTGTGTACTGTCACAGTCTGTTGAGATAGAAGGAATAGTTTGCTGCCTGCCTTGATGAGATAAAAGGCTGGCACTCGACATTTGACCTTGAAAAGTATAACTTGGTGCCTCCTGGTCATTTCCATGCAAACTTTTCCCACCTGAAGGTAAAGATGTCACCCTGGTACTGGAAACATCTACTGGAGAATCATAATAGTGAGACTGAGAGATCCTGTCATATGCCTCTGACCGAACACTTGGCTGCTCAGGAAGAAACTGATATTCATGAAGAGCTCTAGAACCCATTTGTGGATGGATTATATGAGAACCACCAGCTGTAGTTTTCCTCTTTCCATTTGATGAACTTGATAACAAATGTTCCATGCTACACAAGAAACTTGGCCCCTGCGGAGCATGAGAAGTCACAAGAACTTTTAAGAGTCAAAAAATAAAACCCTACAGCAAAGAACAACTTAAATTCATAAAGCAATACATGGCTGATGCTCTAATAAAAGTAACACAATCATAAAGATCCGGAAGCATAAAACAATAAAGAACAATATTCAATTTCCGATTGAATTTCCACTAAGACATACGATGAGGGACAACAAACCTTCATTGTCTTGGCATCATGTCTCTCAAACATATTACCATCATAGGGCCGCACGGTCTGATTCTGTTGTGCAGGCATTTCTGTCGAATGATTTAAAACAAATAAGCAGGAAAATTCCAAAAAAAAAAAAAAAAGACTACAGCAGGAAGTTCAAATATAACTGAACATAACTGCCAGTACATAAAACCACCAATCGAAGTAAAAGCTCCAAAGAGAGAAGAGTAGTTTAACTCTGAAAGATAACTTTAATGATTTTTAGATTGTAGATTCTAGACATAGTGCACCAAAAAACATTTGCTGAAACTGAAATCTGTCTGTAAAACAATGAAGCTAATTCTTAATGCACATCAACACCTAAACTTGAACATCAACGAGGAAGTGACCATTCTCCTCATCGAAAATGATGATTTCCAATGAACAAGATACCATTTGGTGACTGTCTTCATAATGTTGTATATGAAATAAAGAAGCGCCCCCAAGCGTTGGCATATTAAACAGCAAACAAAGGAAACTATAAAGTGGCAGCTAACACCTAATTGCTAAAACAGATATGTTCATCCTCCCATCACATTGAATGCTAACTGAAAACCAGAATCAAAGCCCAAAAATGAAACATATTAGGAGTCTCAAATGGATAAGATGAACAAACAAATTTGTCAGATCCAAGTGTTCTAAACACTTACTAGTAGAACAATCAGACAAAGAAAGTACAAGAAAAACAACATGACAGCCATATATATGAAAGATAGGAGTGAGGTATTTCAAAAAAATTAAGCTAAGGCCTGGATCAGATATCATTGATTGCTTACAGGAGGGGGTAAAAGCACTACAATAGGAAGAACTTCATGTGTTCAAGCCACAAACCTACTAATTAAGAAAAGTTATCATAATCGAATTTGGGGCTAATAATGCATCTTTTTTTTCTACCCATCATCTCATTACAATTCTGCATTATCTAGCACAATTGAAGTGATGACCCAACCTACACCTATGTTAATTTGTTCTATGATTACAATGGCCTGCTTGTATTTTCACAAATGCACATGCCATCTAAATTGCCTATCAAATGCTTCAGCTTCAGTTAGTCGGATTCATACTCTTCCTCCGAAATAGGCTTCTCAAACCCTCCAGTTTTTGTATTGTCATGGATCGATATTATCATTTCAGTCTTTTGCTTGCTCCTGATATGCATTGTTAAACAACCTCCCTCCCCCGCCCCTCCTTTCCTTTCCTCAATATCTTACCCCCAAACTCTTATACCACCTTGCTTAAAGGCATGTATTGATAGTGCAATACTCCAAACCCCAAAGTGCACAATAACTGCCTCGTGATGTAGAAGACCTAGTGTTTATGTTTGTAAAGCCACTTATAAGCAACTGTCTCCTGAGTCCTGACCATACAACAAGCCCAAGATACCTTGGTGATAAAAGCATTATCAGCAAAAGCCTTGTTGTAGTGCAAAAGCCTCATTGTAGTAGTGCTACCAAACTCTGGTTCCCCGAGGAGTAGAAAGGTGTTAATTGTAGTCATCAACCAACACCCATCACACAGTTTTTCTTTTTATTCAACCTCACTAATATCATGTCAAGACAAAAACACTATTTCTTCCAAATATAAAGATCTACATTGGACATGCATTACAATTTACAAGCACTAGAAATCAAAAACATACCATCATGGATTCTGCAAACTAAATTCCAAGCACCAGTAAATTACAGTTATAAGTTTTTACCTGTAGGACACTGTTCTGCTAAAAGTCCGAAAACTAGTTAACTAAGAAAAGGAAACAAACATTAAAACTACTAAAAGTTGAAAGTAACTCGCGCTCAAGACCAACTTATGTCTAAACTAGCATTGCAACCACAAGTTACAAAGGGCAAATGCAACAAGATTATTCAACCATAGCAGAGGACAAAAAAGACCTAATATTACACTGATCATCTCTTTAGTGATACCTATTGGTGCGCCAAAAGCACCAGGTGGCAGTGGATCGAACTCAACACCAAGGACCGGCCCATCCTGTCTCAGTGGCTCCCCGAGCTGTGCTTCCACTGATGCAAGTATCCGGAGCTCTCCCATGGTCAGTTGGTTGGGCGGAGCAGGCAGCAGCCCCTGTGGGTCATAATACCGCCTCCCAAGAGCTGACATATCTGTACCAATCCTCGCAGCTGCCCTTGGAACTGGCCTCCTGGACTCCCCGCTGCTACCGAGCCCTCCACTGAAGGGGCTGGAGCTCAACCCAACACCCCCGGACTCCGAGGATAACATGTCATTGGGAGGCGGCAGCACCGGCGGTGGTGGCGTCAGTGGCAACGAGTCATCGTCCCTCCGCTGCCTCCTCGTCGGCGGGAACTTCCTGTCCTTGAGCCTCCGATGGCAGAACCACATCTGGAGCTGCCGATCCGAGAGGCCAGTCTTCACCGACAACTCAGCCCGCAGCGTCTCCGACGGATACGCCTCCACTGCTCCAAAGAAAACAAAGATAACGATAACAAAACCGATCGACCCAAATCGGAGACCGATCGAGCACCGAAACCCTAATACAAAGAGGTGGGGGAGATCAACAAACCGGCGTAGGTCTTCTCGAGGATCTCCAACTGGTAAGGGGTCTTCATCTTCCTCTTGGGGGGCTTGTCTCCGCCTTCCGCCGGCGGCTTCTTCCACCCCTCCGGCGGCGGCGGCTTCTCCTCCCCTCCCTCCCCAACCTCCATCTCCTGCGACCCAAACCCTAACCCTAGATCCTGCAAAAGAGCCGGCCAAGAAGGCCGATTCGTCCCCCTCCGTTCACCGATTCATCGCACGCACGCAACAACAACAACAACAACAAAACCCGACGAAAATAGCAGTCGTCGGAAGAGAGAACGAAGGATTCGGAGAGATTCGGAAGACCAAAGAACAACAAGAAGAGGAACCGAAAAAGAGAGAGAGAGAGAGAGAGCGAGCGAGAGAGACAGAGAGAGAAGATCCAAGCAGAGGAGGAGAGAAAAGGGGCGGATGAGACGAAGGAATAAGAGATAAATAGTAATGATAATAAGAATTGCGAGAAAAAGAGGGGAGAGCGATTGGGAGGAATAAAAATAAGTCGGGGGTGGGGATTTGATTTGGGATCGCTGTGGAACGGAAGGAACAAAAAGTAAATGATCCATGTTGGTGTCCGATCTTCTTTTGGAACGAGAACACGTTTCCGTGAGCGAGGGTAATGAATGGGCTCGATAAAATTCTCCTTTTTCTTTTCTCCCTTTCTTTTTTGCCGTCTCCCTAAGTGGGTTTGGAATTATCAAATATGCCGATATATATACATATCTATATATATATATAGAGAGAGAGAGAGAGGGAGATGGCGTTTGATTTGGGTTTGAGCTTTGTTCTTCTCCTCTTCTGTTATTTTCTCTCTCTCTCTCTCTCTCTCTCTCGCTATTTATTTTGCTTTATTTTTTTATTTACTTCTTTTGTTCGTATTACCTTTGATTCTCTTCGACGTGGACGTGCGGGAGGGGTCGCGCAGAGAGAGAGAGAGAGAGAGAGAGAGTGGCGTGCGTTGCCTCTGGGCTGCCCGGGTGGGTCGGGTTTGGAGTGTCCGGCCGAGGGACTCGGATCGGGTGCATGCAGGATCCGAATCCGGATCCGGACAAGGACGTGGCTACCCCTGGGACGTCGCAGGGGCTTCGTGCGGGTGTGGGGCCCGCAAGATGGGCCTGTATTACTCTGTCGGGCCCAACTGAATGGAACACGGTGAGCCCAATCCGTCTGAGCACAAAATACTACATAAATTTGATATTTTATTTCATAATTAATAAACTTAAGCTACATCATGGAGTCATCATCATACTGGCTTGGAGCTTGCAAGTATCGATTCATGCACCCACCGAGATCTTAGGGTCAAAAATCAACATCGCACGAATCAAAAGGTCACGCTAGGATGTGAGTTCCATCCACGAATACAAAATCCTTTCGAGCTACACCTAACACGTTAGGATTGGAAAAGAAATTAGTCTTCGTCTCCGGGTTAATTTTGGTCTTTTACATCTAAAAGAATTTTATTCTGTTGGGTTTAGATGCTTAATTATCGTTAATTTGCTGCGATTGGGGAACATTCTAATCGAAATGACGAAAGTGAAACCCACAGTGGACTCCAATGACCTATGACGTCACGTCCGAGGAAACTCCCACACAGCAGTCACCGTTCGTCGCCACACGTTTCGTTTTCTCTGTCCGGCTCGGTTGTCTGAGACACGGTCCAGGTTTTATCGCTCGCAGACCACTCAAGCTATGGGGCCACGCGGAATCATGGGTGGACGTGGGTTCTTCTTTGTCGAGAAAGACTGTAGATCCTGGCTGAGCATGGACAGGTGAGCCACGGTCCAATACGCCACGTGATCCGCAGACCAGTATCACATAACGTCGGACATCACCAGCCCCACGAGCACACCGGGGAACCTACGTCGTCCATGACTCGAATCTAACGCCATCAGAACCTTCGTGTGACGTCATCCGCGCCTGCTGCTGGGGGATGGGTTGGGGGGGAAACCCGCGGTGTCAGGGCTGCCGCCGTGGAGGAGGAGACGCCGTCGCCTGCGACGGCCGAATAGTCGCGTTTAGATTCGTGCCTGCTATATGAGTTATATGAGTGTCATGATCTTGGCCTTCGTTGCACGAGATTCGTACATCGTACATGCAATCGATCGGCATCGTCTCGACCGACACCATTGAAGGCTTGTCCTCGATGCTCTAAGCTCGGTTGGTGGATGAAGACAGTTTCACATCGATATCTTGTTGTAAGACATGATTTATGACTCCGCCCTCCGTAATTGATACGAGTGGCTATTCGTCTCTTTACCAACACTCCAAGTGCAACAAAAGAGAGACACAATTTTGGTGTCACTGGGGCACTCATACTGCTGCTCCCAATTAGCTTCATTGAGAACGTAACAGTTTCTAACACCAAGCTGAGAATGAATTAACATTCTATGTTTTACAAATAATGGTTGCATGCGTCTTGCGATATTTAGAGATGTTACAAATTCTTTTTACCTATTACTACTCGAAAAAAATAAGTAGAGAAAGAAAGGCACAAGCACCGGAGGATTTATTCGGTGCAGAGACGCGTCACCCGGAAGGGGGGGTTCAGTTGACTTCCAAAACCACCTTGCCAGGTATAATTCTTTTATCCTTCATCTCATGAGCTTTTCTAACTTCGGCAATGGAAAATGTCTTCTCCACCGGTATCTTCAGCTTCCCAGCTCCTGATAGCCTGCGGATCTCGTCTAAACCCTCAGCATCAGCCCTCATGTATGTCCACCAGTATTCTGGTTAAACATCACATATATATCAGGATTTCGTGGGATTTCAACATTAAATCACATTTCTGGAAATATTACCATAATAAAAGAAAAAGGCATGTAATGTTAGACGAAAGCTTTCATCTTCATTCTTGACGAGAAAGACCACAAAAACCCCAATAGAGCAAGCAGTGTAAATAACAGCATCTGACGATATGTCGATGGCAGTTCTACAAAAACTTGTGTGATAATGGGAGTTTGCATTCCACTCTAAAGCACAACTCTGTGAACTACAACTGGATGAAGGTGAATCCTCTAAACATGAAACTTAACCGTGAGATGCCATGGAGACAAAAATCAATGATGGTGAATCCTCTAAGTTCATAAAGGGTTTAAACTAAATCAAATCGGCCACGGTGGCAAGTATCTGTAGCTCAACAGTTAGAACTACATTCCTTCAAGTGAGTTTCCTTATTTAAGTCTAATAGTGATTTCTAGGTACTCTGGCAATTTTACCCAGGTGAGAATCACACCTTCCGTTGAGAAAAATAAAGGATTAAAAGCAAAGAAGGGGGATGGACCGTTGTCAGGAAAAGTACAATGTAGCAATCACACAATGTTCTTGTAACGTACCAATGGCATTCTATTGTAGTATACAATAGAATGCCAGAATTCTAATCATGATGTATAGTTGCAACAGAACAATTGTGTTAAAAGTGTCAATGAGCTGAAAAACCAATTATCTTAACTGTACTCTCATTGTTGAAAACTTTGGCAGGTTAGACTCTTCATCTTTAGTCGACTTCACAAAAACAAAAGCACAGGGGTGGAGCAATTCAGGCATGTTCTCTTTATCAATATAAATATGCACAACTTGAACCTTATGCATCTAAGGTAAGGTTAGAAAATTGCAATTCCCAACCAACCTAAACCAAATAAACTAACACTATTTTATCTATCATAATGTAATATAACTATGGAAAAGATAAAATCATCAACAAGGAGATTGAGATCGTCCTAATATTAACGGAACAGTATGACAACTGGAGGTTGTATAAGACTGAAGAAAGATATTACCAATTAAGAACATATAATGAAGAGAGATCAAATTTGATTAAAATATCCAAGCAAGAGAAACTAGAGAATCTATGAAAAATCCTAATTCTAAAATTCTGTACTTATGTTCTTTTATTTTTCTTTTAATATTTCAAATCCATTTGAATAATACCAACTTATTTTCATATCAATTACCAAATAATTTTGGTCTGATTGGGGCTAGGAAGCAAACATGAAAGTGATCCATTTATATCGTTCATGAACCAAATCTGACCTAATACCAGATTCACTCAAGCTAATCCACCTCAAGCAGGTTCTGGTCATGAATGTCAACCACAAAGAATATTCACAAAAAAGAAAGTTCTTAGCAAGCTCACTAACAAGAATCGAGCATCAAGAATTACTTTGATAGTAAACCTCGGTCATTACCCTTTGGATTAGTTATCAATAATGTGAGCAATTGAAAAATAGAGGAACAACTTTGTACCTATTCCATGAGAATATCGATACTGAAGTTGCTTCTTTAGCAAAATAGCTGTGGCAGCAGGAATACCAATCACTAACCCGTAGTTATCAGCTAAAGAAGCTGTTTCTCCCTATGATATTGACATAAACTTCAATGTCAGTGACAACATTAAAAAAAGATGGGAACAAGAGAAAAAAAGGCAAGTTGGATAGGGGCTCAAAAAGCTATTAATCTAAAAAAAAATATCCCACTTACCTGTAGCGTCATATAGTGTCCACCTTTCTTCAGAAGATTGATGCCAGTTCTCTCAGTTTCAGGTATGCCTATAGTGTCAAGAACAGCATCAAATTGTCCTTTAATTGCAACCTCTATGTCCTGTAAATGCATTATGGTATGATGTTCCAGTAAGAAACAAACCAAGCAAATATATCAACTTCTACTAGAACATGAGTGTAAACAAGCATTCATGTTCACTTACATGGAGGATGTGTTCTGCATCTTATCTTATCAAACTACTCAAGGGTATAAGACACTCATTCTTATCTTATTGTACTGGAACATAGTGATCGACAATGACAGAGACAAATGAAGAGTGACATTTACCTCAGCAGTATAATCAATGGCTTGTTCAGCACCAACTGCCAAAACTCGTTCAATACTTTGGCTTCCACATGTAGCTGATACACTGCACCCTGCAGCAACAGCAAGCTGAATTGCAGCAAGTCCAACAGCTCCTCCCCCACCTAGTACTAACAATCTTTGACTGCAGAAATAAACAGTGAGTAATAGCAAGGAAAAATGAACTGAACTAGGAAGCAGTTAGATCCTGTGGCCAAGTTAGCAACTTTTGAGTTTGAATAGTACACCATCTAAAGTTCCAAGCATCTTAGCCTTCAACATTTTCAAGGTTGTATCATCTTTAAAGCTTGATGTGCGGAAAGCAGATGCTTTGAGTTCAGTTAAAGAAATACAAGAGTAAAAAGTGTCGTGAAACAACCAAATAAGATGCTTGGAAATTGGAATAATCCTAAGATACTACACTATCACATGTTGCTTTTTGAAAATATTGTAATTTCCATTTCCCCTTGACATTTTCTAGATTACTCAGCCAATTGCGCACACGTATAATAAGAAACAAAAGCACAAATTTTAGCACAGAACCAAACACTATTTGGCTACACAATAATAAATTCAACTACTGCAAAAAATGACAGCAAAAGAAATTGTTAGTCTATATCTGGAAATCAATAATCACTATAACATAACAAATAGACATCAATTGCTCCATAACAAATTGACATTTATATTTTCCTTGGGAAGGCTCTGAGCAATTAAACTGGACATACCCATTAGTTATTTGAGCCGTACTTTTTAAAGCACGCCATGCTGTCAAGGCAGCAAATGGGATAGCACTTGCCTCCTGCACAATCACAAAGGTTCCTTAGATGAATTGTGGCCCACAGATTTTCCCACGGTAATAAAATATAGCATCTTTAAATTGTTGCAATTTTCAATATGGATAAGATAACCCATCAAGATGACTTAATTTACTCACCTGCAGCATAATAAGTGTCATTATTGTTTGATTTGTGCGGTACTCTTTCTAATTTTAGATGTATGATGAGTTTCTATTGTGAGATTTCACATGGAGCGTAAAGGATAGCCCATTTTGCAACTAGATAGGTTTTGCTTAAATTCCAAATTAACAGTAGTAACTCTTTTTCTGTTCATTTTTGGAATAACTTGGCAAAAGGGAAGATATGTCAGTGTCACACACTTCAAAATAACTGAATGAAACCTATGGTAAGTTCACATGATTCTCCCTCCATGCAGTAGCAATCTTGAAATAGCAATTTCAGCTATTGACACTTGAATCATCAATACGTTAAAGCAAAAAAAAACAAATTGAAATAGCAGAATAGCTAGAAAATCAAATTCACCTGTCCTAGCCTAAGTCAAAAAGGAAAACCTTAAAAACGACATCAATCAATTTGACCAAAATGCCTAAGAGAAGGGTGAAGAAGCAAAAGTCACTTCCACTGAGGGAAGTCTTCAAGCATCACAAAAACAATTTATACCTTGTACAACACTCACAATTAAAATTTCACAAAAGTGCAAGAAAATTATGCATCTAAAACAATATAACTAGAAGAAAGGATCAATGCTAATTTTCCACACCTCTTCCCTATTTGTTCAATAAAACAGAGTGTTTTCTAGCGACTCAAGAATCAAACCGCCAATGCTGCTAGGAAGAACTTTGAAATCAGATCTTGCACTGTCATAGAATAGACACATAAAAGCAAGGATGATAGGGTATACACATAATACATGGGTACACTCGTTAATTGTTGTTGGCAGTGAACATTTTGCTTAAGATGGTAGCTCACAGTCGTCCAATGTATCAGTTCTACTTAGAAATAAGGTATACTAGCTCATGAGTACTAGTACAAGAAAAATGTTGTTGAAAGATATTGAATAACCCATGACAAGAGCCTTGATCTCGACCAAACAGATAGAGGAAGGTGAAAACCATCGAGAATTTTGAATTGTTAATGATCTACAGCAAGCTTACTTACCACATGTGTTACTGAAGGCGGTTTAGGCGTCAGCTCATCTTCCGAGAGAACGACATAATCTGCATAAGTACCTCTAACAGCGGTCGGATGCAGCGCACCGAAAACTTCTTGACCAACAACAAGTGAAGAAACCGAGGCCCCAGCAGCTGCAACCTCACCGCTAACATCACGGCCAAGAATCAGTGGCAAGAGTGGCCCGAAAATAGAACGGCCATAACCGGATCGCATCTGCGATTACAAGTTTTAGTAAGCTCCATCGAGATGACCCAATTATCTATTTGATCACATACGATTCGACCATTTGGCTGGCGACTGATTATTTGGTTACGGAAACTCGTAATTCAAGAACTCACCCGCAAATCCAGGGGATTGATGGAGACGGCGCGGGCACGGACGAGCACGTCGCGCGGCTTCAGATCGGGGACGCTGACGGCCGGACGTACCTCGAGGACCTCGGGCCCGCCGAACCGCGGCAAGACCACGGCCCTGCACGAAGAAACCGCCGCGGCCGCAGCCGCCGTGGAAGCGGGCCTGAGCCCCACCGCCGGCCTACGCGGCGTGCGGATCCGGCGACCGCCCAGCCGCCACATGGCGCGAATGCCACCGAGCTCGGCGACGGCTTACAGCCCGGTCGGTGGGCGACGGGGGCGAGAGGGGAGCGGGGAGGCGTGGAGAGAGGAGTGCATGTGGGGGCAGGCGGCGTCGACCACCAGCGCTGGAATGAGTCCCTTCGCTTGCGGCGGCGTTGTGGGCTGCTCTCGGCCACGCAGACGCTCTGTAGTCCATACCATCGGGAGGTGCATTGGGTCGAGTTTAGAGTAGAATCCGATCCAATAACGGCCCGATGAAAGGGAATCCGAATCAAAATAGTTTTCCGTATTCCGATCCGAATCCGATATAGGACGAATTTTCCCCAAACCACAAAATAAGAAGGAATGTGCCCCATTTTTTTTATCTTTTTAGATCCCTCATTAATCCTTGAAATGCTACTCAGATAATTATTAGTATAATTTACTGATTACATTTGATGGATCGATTTATTGGATGAATCAATCGAGTTTATCAGCTATAGTATTTTTAAATAAACATAATATTTTGATAGATGTATCAAAAATATTATGAATATATTTAAAAATAAATTAAATTGACATATGTCTCCCTACTTAGTTGTTATTATTCATTGACCAACAAGAAAATCTATTTATACAAATTGGTTTTTAAAATATGATTTGAATCTATCTATCTTAATTATAGTGTTTTATAATAAATTTATAATATTATTTTGGTACAAAGATTTTGAATATACTTACAATATTTGGATATAGGTAGGAACATAAACTAATTCAAAAATACTATAGTTGAAATAAAAGTCTCTTTATTTGGTTATTCTTACTTACAAACTAATAAAAATACATACTTATATGAGTTATTTTTCTACTTGATTTTAAGTTTATTTACATTTTGATAGAGGTACCAAAAATATTATACTTCATATTAATATCTTTTTATTTGGTTGTTTTTGTTCATAAACCAACAAAGATAGTTATTTGAAACTCTATTATTAGATAAACTAGTATCTATTGGATTTTGAGTCTAATTATCTCAATTATATTATTTTTTATAGAACTAACAACCTAAATGTTATATATAGGGGATCGATTCACCCACTTTTCAATTTTACCCAACAAAAGATGACATTTTTTTCTCACCCTTTGATGTTTTTATTTTTTGTAGGCTTGCCTTTGGTTGTTTGGATGAATTTTAAACTGATTCAAAATTTATAATTAGATGAATTACAAATACTTAAAAAAACCGAGAAATAAATTTTATTTTTTAACATAAAAATATTGGAAACTTATAAATATATATATATATATATATATATATATATATATCAACATAAATTATAGATATTTATATTTTTTAAAAAAAAATTTAATACAATATATCAAAAAATTGAAAAGATGGCACCATCTTAGTAATTTAAAATGATATTTATACTAAAAATATGTAGTTATAAAATGCATTTCAAAATATTTTTATATTTTTTTTACAGAATCATAGATATCATGTAATTTCTATATATACTTAAATATATACCTTTTGGAAAACAGAGAAGGAGTATTATTGGGATTTTAGAAGTAATAGCCTTCTTTTGAAAATGCTAAAATGAGTGTTTTTTTATGGGAAAGTGTCTTTGTTCAATTAGGACGAGGAAAAAAAGAGAAAATAAATAAAAAATAAAAAAAAGGGGGCACCGCTGGATTCCCGCTATAAAAGCTTTGGGAAGGCCATCGGGTCGATTTAATCTTGGTAGATATATGCCAGTAATCCGTGCGGCGAAAGAGAGAGAAGGGGGCGTTGCGAGTGGGCGACGAGGTGCGTAGGGTTTCGCCGATCGGCCAACCGAGCGCCAGAGAATCCGAGAAGCCATCCTTCATCGCTTGCGCCAGATCGCGGTCGATCATGGGGAGAGGCAGGTTCAAGGCCAAGCCCACCGGCCGCAGGAACTTCTCCACGCCCGAAGAGATGGGTATTTTTCTCTGATCTGCCTCTGTTTCGGATACCTAGGGTTTTATGGATGTTTCTCGTTCCCATTCTCGGATCTTCGTTTTACTTTAGTTTCTCGTATGTTGTTGGTTTCTCGTCCATCTGATGTAGCGTCATCGGATCACGTCACGGGGTTATTTGTGATCTGTGTGGATCTTACACTTCCCTTGGATGGTACGCGGTGTATCCAGGAAATATTGCCGTAGCTTGAACATGCCATCGATTAGTACTCGGCTGATTAGCTGTTTGCTGATATTAGAATAATTGTGGGAAGGCGTTCGTTCTTGCGGAGTGGTTGGGGATGGCTTATCAACCAGGCTTTTCACATACCGATGTAGCGTAGCCCCGTGTTTTAGAAACCCCGAGATATGGTTTTAGTGTTTTAGTTGATCCAAGTGGGCCAGCAACCTCGTCCGAGTTCATCGAAGGGTGAATTATATATATATATATATATATATATATATATATATATATGTGTGTGTGTGTGTGTGTGTGTGTGTGTGTGTGTGTGTGTTTTATCTTGAGGTTAGTCTTTATCATCAAATGTGGTTGCAAGTCAGCCTATCTCAAATCACTTCATTGCCAAACAGATGCAACTGTTCTGAGACTTCAATATTTTTGTTGTTTGGTTGCTTTTTGAATAATATTTGTATTTGATCAAAAGTCATGCTGCTTGAACAACAAAGTGTCACGGCCTGGGTTTGATGAGCTAACTGGCTTATCAACTTCGTTTGACCCAAACTATTGGTCAAAATACTTAGTTGAAGTTGATAACAGTACGCTCATCAGACATCTATAAGTCAATCTTAGTCTTGTTTACTTCTAATATGAAACTAATCATGGTGTTATAATTTTTCCCACTCAATGGTTTGATGTACTCGTTAAGGCCCAATATAGCCTAGATCAAATCCTAACATGATGCATGTGAAGCGTAACTCAGTAGTGGCTCCACGCTGTAATGAGTCATCTGACTCTATCTATAGATAGTCCTTTCCTACTTGAGCCTCTTCACCATACACAAATATTAAATCAATTCTGATATCAAATGTTACAACTCGGGCTTGATAGGCTAACTCGTCTATCAACTTTGTTTGACCCAAATCATTAGACAAAATGCGTACGTTGAAATTGATAGTAGTATACTCATTAGACTCTTATAAGCCAATCTTAGTCTTACCCACTTTTGATGTGGGATTAATTGGAGTGTTACACAAAGACTATGCATGATGATCTATATTAAAAGCTCATTGCATAGATTGAGCATAACACTTACTCAAAGTAGATTTCCAACAATTCAATAACAGAGGGGAAAAAAAATAAACTCCATGACAGAGAGATAATGGAAGGGTACATGATTCGCAAGACAGAATCACTTCTCACAAGTGCTTGGACAGGGTCTTTATGTCACTGCATATATCATTCTTATCATACTCTTACACGATAGCCAAGAAAAGAAACCATAAAGTTTGTTTTTTTTCACTATATGGATTTCTCTTTTAACTGAACATGGATGTTTTGCTCATAAATTGTTACAAAGAGATGCGCTTCACTAAGAATTGTCCTATTTACAATAAAGTTACTTGAACGAGCTGCTTGAATGATTTGCTACTTTACTGTGGGAAACTGCTGTTTCATTGAATTATAAACATTTCTTTAATCCTTCCTTTTTAGTTAGCAACCCATGCGGTTGGGACATAATGGCTTGTTGTAGTTGTTGCAGCTGTTTTAGATTGTATACAAAAAAATGCAAATTCAATTTCCTTGGGAAAAATATTCAAATCCACCCTGTAATCTCTTTGGGTTCGGGACTTGAGATATCATGGTGAGAAGCACTTCCATAGTAAAACAAGGACTTTGTTGTATACATATATATAGTAAATACAAAGGTGATTTTTTTTGCAGTTCTAATAGGTTAACTAAGAGACCCTTATTTTTAATTTGTCCCTCATTTTGAGTTTCTGTTTTATGTGATTCTTTTTTTCTAAATAGTTATATCTTCAGTAGGAAATTTCGTAGGCTTTTTTATCACCAATTTGTGCTTGTTAAGATGGCACATAAACCATTGACTTGAATTCCAATTTGAGGAAAATTCTGGTTGAATGCAGTTCTGTCAGCGACTCAGCTATTATATTTATTTATTTCTCATTTTCCACTTGAAATTTAGTGCATTATTGTGGAATCACAATCTATATATTAAGTTACTTGAACGAGCTGCTTGAATGATTTGCTACTTTACTTCTAACTTCTGTTCAGTATATTCTTTTTGTTTGTTATTCTTCACCAGCACTTGTCGAAAATGCTATAGTTTTTTAGAGAAATTTTTGATGATTTATGTATGTTTAGCTTCTAGATAATTTTTTGCTCTTAGTAGGTTTTTAGTTTGTGGATGGTTGTTTCCTTCTTTACCTAGAGTTGACAATGTTTAGTTGGCCTAGAAAGATCATATGGCTTGAAGAATACAAACTATTGTAGATCTATTTGAAATCCTTGTTTTCAGATTCTGTCTATTTTGCTATTACATTCTGTGCTCTGTTTTAAGTAACATGTTCCTGGTTAACATAATTGCAGTTGCTGGCTCTTCGGCTCGTCCTCGCACCTTTAAACAGGTTGGATGTTTGTTTTGCTAGTTAAATGAGGATAATAATATTATTTGAATACTTTTATGTAAAAAGTAATTTATGGCCATGACCCTGTCTGTTCTCTGTTGGCACTGCTCGTTACATGCATAAAAATCTTCTATATTGTATGCACTCTTAATTTACTTGTGCTGGGAAGTAACTTATTTCAACATCTCTAACCAAATTAGCCATGCATCTCCCTTCTTGATTATCTATCAGGTTTTGGGGTATATCTAGTATTTTTCAACTACTTGTATTAAATATAAACCATGCTAGGGTAGCATGTTGGGTTTATGCAGGAGAGAATGGCAATGAGGAAAAAAAAAGCTCACAATTTAGTTCTGAACTCAATTTGTAACAAACCCTTGTTAGGAGTCTGAAAATGCTGTTGTTTGATTGCTGATATATATAACTCGTTAAAACTTTAAATAATGAAATGATTTTTGACAGCCTAAGATGGCTATTTCAATAGCTTTTGGCATTTCATAATTTCATGATGCATGTCAACCATTATCTTCTGCTAACATTTCTTTCTGAATTTCTCTTGTTTAGACTACATATTGCTAGTTTCAGCTAATGCAGAAGTCTGTACCTTCTAGAT